GATCGGGTAGAAGAGTTGTGTGATTTGTGAAGTCTAAACTGTTTAACTGCATTGGTGCTGTCCACTGTATTCCTTGCCTCCACTGAGCTATTGAGGTTTTTACAATCTGGCAACCTGTTGCATTTCGCTCTCCTAAATCTAGAACATACTTTCTCGCTAATAATTCATGGCAATGCTTTTACGCCAAAATGTGCATGGATTATCCGTGACCAAAACCTGCTCCTGCACGCAGTTTCTGTTCTCAGGAACTGCCTACATTAGAATGCCTAATACATTTCTTCTTCCTATCTTCATAGTGAAATACTTTACCCTTTTTCATCACCCACTACCACCACCAGCGTTATTTTGTTGTCTCTTACCTTTGTGAGTGATATCCCTGTTACGGGAGGAATAAAGACATTTGGCTGATTAAAACCTTTATATAAATATCATTAATTTCACTGTTTTTTGGGTATATTTGTTTTACTTAACTTATGAACTTGTTTGAATTATTATTTTCGGCCATTTTTGGACTCCTGTTTGTCTTGGTTTGTTCATTTTCAGTTTTTTTTCTTTACGAACCTATAAAATTGAAGGTAATTGTAATTATATTGCGGGGTTGTTGCGAAGATTGTTAAGTTTTATTTGTAACCGTGAATCGATCAATGTTAGACCACCATTAGTAACCTGGAAGCACTGGACGGCCGTTTCGTCCTGGTATGGGACTCATCAGCAGTGCGCATCCACTACTCCTGCTCCTCGCAGGATTCGAACCCAGTGCTTCCAGGTTTCTAATGGTGGTCTAACATTGATCGATTCATGGTTACAAATAAAAATTGTAATTATTATAATTATTGTTGTTAGAACGACATTGGTCGCCTATTTGTAATAAACGAACGACATTTTGGTCGATTATTGTGAATTAAGGATAAACTTTGGTACCTACTTTGGAGTTTCGTTTTGATATAAATTTGGGTTCGTGAATTGCAAATAGATCGACACACAGTACTTCTAAGGAGAAAGGAGCAAAATTTGGACGTAACAATCCCCACCTCTGTAATTGATAAGATAGAAGACAGAAAATCTTTGGCATGAATAATCATTTTCAGTAATAATTGCTTCTGCTTGACCGTCAAACACTTCATTCATCAATCTGACCAACCGTAATTCGCTTGTTCCTAATCATAATAATATAAATCATGCATACTCCCTCGAGCGACTAATATATTTCTTCTTTGTACAACAAAATATACTATTAGCACTGATACAGAGACTACATTCCTAAGTATAACAATTTCATGAATAATATGCAAGAGCAGAAATAGTGATCATTCGAACATTAACAATACATCAAGCGATCAGTTAACAAACCTCAGAATAGTTTTACTATAATCTTGTAGAGATGTGAAGCTTGGATCGGGTGCTTTCAGTATGTTTTGGGTTTCTGAGCTTCATGGTTTGATTGCAGGTTGTCAATCAACTCTTTTCTCTCTCCTGTTTCTCTTAAGAATCTTGTCAGCAGCGAAAAAAAAATTGTGCTGCTTCTTTTACACAGCCTACAAATTACGTACAAGTTCGCGAAAATCACATTTGCATTCCAGTTGTCACTTTCCAACAAACACGAATGACTGACAAGGTCAAAGGTCAGCGAGACAAGTCGTGTGAGTTCATATGGGTATTAAGAGATTAACATTAAAGCGAAAAGGATGAGTCAGCGCGTAGGCTAAGCAATGCTCAGTCGTACAAGCTCATACAAACCACACAGTAAAAAATACCAAAAGTACATATAGGTTGTTGCTATAGAAATAGCGTCAAAAACCATTTACAAAATAAGTTTGTCATGCCATCTCCACAATCTCACTTTTCTTATTATCTCGAACAGAAACTTTGTGGTTGAACATTACAGACATTCATAGGCACAAAACATATGTGGATTAACTGCTGACATTTCCGTCGACGGAGCTCTTTACCTGAAAAAAAGATCCAATCTTAATCGGTCGTGAAGTTCACGAGGAAGTTGGGGGGAATCAGATATGGTGAAGCGAATCAGATGATCTGAATCAGCCTCATGTACAGTTCAGATCCTGTTAGCGAACAAATACTGACAAATAGATATAAACGAAAATTGCTGGAAACCTAAGGCTATTTTGATTCAATGTACGAATGGAAAATAACCAAGTTGGTCATTTATTACTCGCCAGTTTCTTTATTTATGTATATAAATGTTCAGCTATCAGTTGTTTGTTTCTGTAACCGTCGTACTTCAAGGAAATAAACATCCAGCCTATCATATGCATGTCGGTAAATTTACAGAAGTTTTTTATCATGCATCTGATTACGTTCGCGATATATTTTTATGAAATTAACCTTTTTCTCGTGATAGACTGAAGTTTAAGATCGTATGCTGTGAACCAAAAAAATAACAGTACATATTTGTTGTCCAGTTCGTTTCACTGACTTCTTGACACATTTGATCTTTAAAAAATTCTACCGTCCAACTGACTGTTTCAATACTTGTTGTGGATTTACTTTATTTTCCACAGTTGGTGTCCTTAATCATGGATCATAAATCATCCGACATGATTTACAGCAGTAACTATTCTTAGGTTAACATTTCAGAAAAGAGGAAAAAGAATATATAATGATTCTTAGAATAATGTCGAAAGTTTTCAGGGTATCTACGTCGACTAGCGATGTCTACCCAAACTAAGGATAAGTCACCTGCCAGGCAACTTAACTAACGAATGCGTGAACATCTCCCAGCATGGTTCAGGAAGGGTCTAGATCTTTTCGGGTGATCTATCGTATACCCCAATCATTTCCCAACGGAGTTCGATCCCGTCTGCTACACATAGTAGAAGCCATAGGAACTAGTACATTCATCCCCAGTTTATATGTTCAGAAGAAATTCGTGACACCTCTATCTCTTTTGTAACGTAACTAACGATTTAAGATTTAAAAATTCTTTTTTTTCTTTCTGGCTTTAAATTTTATTTTGTTATTATTAGCATTATTTTCACATCCTGTATTTGTCAGTAATTCTCTGCCTCTTTCCGTTTATAATGTTCACTGTCTAATTGTGTACACACTTCTTATTACGTAATGGTTTTAATGTTTTGTAAAGGATTACTTTAAGTCTATTTATCCACGTTTGACCAACTACTGATAAAAATTTTGCTTTTTTATTTTGTTTTTCTTACTACTATCAGTACATCTGTCTTCCTACTATCAACTTGTACTTTCGCTTATCACGTGTAGTAACGTAATCTATCTCATTTCATTGTGATTATTGACTCAAATTGCCTTGATTGGTTAAACTTTTTCATATAAATATTCATGTATATTAGAGTAACGCCTGATGACGATCTAATCGAAAACAATACTGTTCGCTCATATGTGTTGTTCTAATTTTCGCAATGGGAATCTTTAATATTCTTAAATACAGTATGTGAAAATAATGCTTATAATAACAAAATGGAAAATACAAAAATTATTTAAAACGTTGGTCAAGTTATATCCGACCAAGGACCGTTCGAAAGAAGCCTTTATTTATTAAATTACACTTCAATGGAGATGTGGCTAGCGATACTCTACAGGATAAATTAAGGAAAGCAATTAATAGAACATTCCACGCAGCTAAACTCGCGTCGACCTTCTCAAGTCGACCGGCGATGTTTACGTAAAAGAAGGATAAGTTACCTGAATTTGCTTTCTTTATGTGCATCTACAAATGCAGCTGCTCCTGTGGAGATGGCTATATCGGGCAAACTACCAGGCAACTTAACCAACAAATGAGTGAACATCTCCCAGCATCGCTTAAGAAGGGCCAGATAAAAATGATATGCAATTCTATCTTGGCACATCTGGTTGATAGTGGTAGATGAATCTAGATCGTTTCGAGAGATCACTGACCTGGTGACGTCATAGATGTTGATATCCATCAATCCTACTACCTTGAAACAAATGTACTTATCCAAACCACGGGATATTTAAACTCTCACTGTTGACAGCCTACAAGAACTAGCGCAGTTCAGTGGTCTGACCATCAACCATTGGATACTACCAAATACCTGGAACCGTACTGAAAAAACAAGAAACCATAGCAAAGAAATCAGTGAGGTCTACACAGATGGTGATAATGATATTGGGTATTTAACCACCCGAACCACACTTTTAAAACCTTCTTTACTTTTCAAGGTAAGTATAACGACGTTGTTGACAATGATGGATCAAATGTCTGGCTGAAAGAATATGTATCTTTGCAATATAAAAACCAGCTGCAAACTTTCCAATTTCTTTCGTTTCCTTCACCTCAGTTTTGGGAAGACAATGTGCTTCTGGGAAGTAATGGTAATAAATCGATGGTATCGCAACGAGGTACCCGTCAGTTGGGCGCATTCATAGTCATCAACCACGAATTAGAAATAATTTGAATCACTCGTTTAAACGTTTCCGTTGGCTTGAGTTTGTTTCCATGGATTCTTTGGTCCTGCATGTAACACCAAGGCCTTTTATGCTAGTTCGTCACAGGAGTATATGGTTCATTTCTTACTTTCTTATGATAAGATGAAAAATAAATAGACTAAATAGCTGAAATCATTATAATTATTTTACTCCTGAAATCGGGGGAATCCTTATAATAAGAAGTCTCAGCACGCGTTTGTTAGGAAATGACTGATGATAGCACCTGGACCTGACATCCAGTAATTAATTATATCATATTTGTATTCACTTACGCTTTTAGCTTATACATGTTCACTGAAAGACTAAGATTTTGAAATGATTAGTGCGCTGTAACGTCTGCTACTAAGGTATTAATCACAGTTAACATCATGTAGCTCGCATATCATATTTTATGTTCTAGATGATGCTAAATAAAATTATTAGTCGTATTTTATAAGTGGGTTTGCAACCTTTAAAAGTTAAATTCAGATCACAAAATTTAGAGTGGCTTTTAGTTTGATCTGTCTAACTTACTCTTAAATCCCAATTCTGATTCTTCATACAATTTTAAAACCCCCTCTAGACATTAGGTGGGCTCCTCCAAGGTCAACGGCGTCATTCAAAGGTCGTCCACAAATTATAGCATCTCAAGTCTTTCCCTCGGCCTTAAAGAATGTCAATAATTCACATTTGGTTTGTGTCAGCGTAATCCAGTTGGTTAACACGATGAAGAAAAGAAAGGTTTGGAGGTTTTCAACATCATCTTTGAATTCTCGATTAAGGTTAGATTTGGAGTCGTTATATAAGTATTTTACTTTCTAGCCACCGTAATCATGCTTCCCAGTCTAAAAATTTCATGGGTGATCTAAAGGAGGCAGAGTTAGTTCATTTATGGTGTAGCTGTTTTTATAATCATCGGAGCATTTTGCAAAATAATATCGATTGTCGCGTATCGAAGACAACGGTAAGATTTCTTTATTAAATTAATCATAAGCTAATAAAACTTTTCAGACTTGCAAAACAGTTTTGGACAATTTTATGGATATATTTTCAAGTTCACGTAGTTTAAACTTAGTTAAATGTAATAATTGTACATTTAATGAGAATGAACTATTGATGGATTATGATGTTGTTGGAATATCTCTCTATAATGTAATCAAGTATAGTCCTGGGCGCCTGCAAAATAGCGACACATTGTTGTTTCTAACTTTTCAGGTAATTCGCTACTTAATTATTATATAACTTTTTACAGGCAATTCGTGCCATCACTCAACTACATGAAATCAATCTACCTCATGGTGGTATAACATTGGATAATATATTTGTCGATGAAAAGTTTAACCTCTTTCTTGGTCTTCCAAAAACAATCGATTTGCTATCAAATCTTGAAATAAGTGAATTAAAGGAAGAAAAGATTTCCGCAGAGAACAACATTTTGGTGCACAATAATAGTAAGCTATCCACGATGACAACTAACTGGATACTTCACAAAGTGAGTGAATAGATCCTATCTTGGTGGGATTTGAATTGACAAATACATCTCTGTTTTAATGCGGTATAGCAACTTGAACTGATATATGTACGTACGTATGAAGTTCTTCGTTGCTGTTGACTGACTGATTGATCTTGATGTAGTGTAAAAAACAAAAACAACAATTCATTACTCTTCACTGGCACTTAAAAAATATAAATATATATTCTTACAAAGTTAACTGCTCCTACCACTATATCTGTATAAACTTACTTACTTAAGCCTGTTACCCCCAATGGAGCATAGGCCGCCCACCAGTATATCTGTATAAAGCCTTAATAATTTTCAAAACTATATTCACTAAACTCCGAATATATATATATATATATATATATATATATATATATATATTGCAGATTTTTAAAAATACAGTATTACTCTCCCATGGAAATATTTCGTCGAAATGTCACTTGAGTCTTTGCATTTTGTGTAGATCTACGTTATAAACCAGGTTTCCTCCATTTCTGGTTAAATGTTATGAGTGATTTTTCATACAGCGCTAGTGGTCAGAAAGATACGAGTTCGAAGATATTCATGGAGTATAACCCAGTGAAATAGATCTGAGAAGAGCAACATGAGGGTCTTGAGCAATTCAGAAGATTCGGATTTGTGAGTACACGAAGAGTGGATGCACCTGCGCCATTTCAAACGAGTTTGAGCCATGTCATTCAAGGTCTTTAACCGTCGGTTACTATCGTCTCGCGGACTCTAACTAGGTAGCCTACATCTACCAACATGACTCAGTTCACTTGTCAGTGACTTCATGGATTTCTGCCATGTTTTGGTCTGGCCGCCCCTAGCTTTCTTCCAGCCTACCCCTACACCAAAAAACCACTCGTCGTTGCGGTCGGTGGCTGGGCATTTGTAACACATGTCCCAACCACCTCAACTGATGAAATTTCAATGCTTCATCTTTTTATTTGCCATCCCCACCCAGTACTCGTCTCATAACAACGGTGTTACTCAGTCGGTTGTCTCACGATACACGAGCAATGCTTCTAGGACATCTATGATCGAATGCTAGTAACATACGCATATCTTCTACTCTTGCCGGCCATGTTTCGGATCCGTATAGGAGAACGGAGCGAACTGCTGCGAAGTACACTCTTCCTTTGGTTAGCAAACGGATATCTCGCCTACGCCATAAGTGATGCAACTTGGCGAAAACCCATATAGCTTTCTGTATCCGTGCTGAGATTTCGTCAGTCACCAGGCCATCAACAGCGATGAAACTCTCGAGATAAGTGAAGTGGTCTACACGCTCGACTACTTCACTCCTTATCACTGGTTCAGGTGCCGTTGAAAGCCAGTCCTGAAGCAACATTATGCATTTCAAAGGGGGAAAACTTCATCCTGAACATTTTTGCATTGTTGCTCAGAGTAGTCAGAAGACTCTGCATTTTGTCAGCCTATTAACCAAGTAGAACTATGTCAGCAGCATACTCTAAGTCAACAAGCGAGCCTCCTGGCAGAAGGTCCACTCCTGAAAAGTCTAACGAGGATAATGTTATATCTAGAAGCATGTCTACGAAAAAAATCAAACAGGAGTGGAGAGAGTGGACATCACTGACGGACACCACTTGATGTAGAGAATTCCGATGACAGTTCTCCATAAGCTCTGACTACCAGTAATGTTCGAGTAGATAGCTTGTATAAGGTTAATTTACTTCTTTGGTACACCTTTCAGTGAAAGACACTACCACAGAACCTCACGGTCCACTGAGTCGAATGCCGCCTTAAGGTCCAGTAACACAACTATTGTAGGGTGTCTAAATGTGTATCTGTGTTCCAGGACCTGTTGTAGTGTGAAAATGTGGTCTTTACAGCTGAGCCCAGTTCTGAAACCAGCCTAGTTTTCTCTAGTCTGCTCTTTACTAGCTTTTGTTAAGCATAGGAGTATTACTGAGGCCAATATTTTAGTTACTATATTAGTTAGACTTATTCCTCTGTGATGTCACAAGAGGAGTTTTGTCTTTTCTTGTAAATTGGGACAATTAGCGACTGAGACCAATCAGATGGGATTACATTCAGTTCACAGATTCTACCTACCTCAGTCAATCTAGCTGCTAAAACTGGATCACCATCCTTAAAAATCTCAGGGCTCAATCTATCAGGTCCTGTTGTTCTCCTTCTCTTCAGATTTCCTCTAGCTTTCTCAACTTCATAAAGACTAGGACTTCAATCGATTTGTCATTCAAGATGACTGGAGATCGTGGGCAATCGAAGTGTGGTAGAAGGCCAGTTGAACTGATACCTAAAGTATTGCGCCCATCGATCCTATCTCCTGGATTGAGAATGAACGAGACAACAATCCTTTTCTGCGATAGTTTCGCTAACAGATGGATTTCTAATACCAGTTTCCTTGATGAGTCTGAATAGTTGTCTACTGTTGCCTATCACTGCTGCCTTTTGCATCGCTCTTGCTTTCGCCACCCACCACCATTCGTGGTCGTTGCGTAGACCAAAATTCTACAAATACACATAATTTTTTATTGCTGAATGATGTAAAACATTTATTTCTTTTATTTCAGATTTCAAACTACGATTACCTGATATTTTTGAATGAACTGGCTGGTCGGCATAAGGGTGATCCATCAAACAGTGCAATCTTACCATGGATAACAAACTTTGATACACCCTTGGGGCAGTTAAGAGATTTAACAAAATCAAAGTATCATATATGTAAAGGAGAAGACCAGTTAAATGCGAATTTTACGGCATCTTTGTCCAATCATATAGTATCTAAGCGTCCTAGTTGGCCACCAGATACTTATAATTTAGGAGAAAAATACGATATTAGGAACCATCATCAAGATTTTATAAAATTATGTAATGAGTTAGGTAAGTTAGTGAATGTATTTATCGACCATTATTACTTCTGCTTCCAGGTACTTGTAGTTTGAATAATGCAGATACCAACCTGCTCTGTACTGTCGTAGATGAAAATATATCTGATGGTAAATTGTTTTAATTTTACACAAAACTTGAATATAGATAATAAGAAAAACAAAACAAACTATACCTTTTCTCCTCACCATTTGTTGGACATAATGCCCGATCTAACATATTATACATACATGGTAAGTAACGACCATTAGTGATCTAAGTTCAAGCCTTTTAAAACCTCTTATTAACAATTGTATTGAATCAAGATCGGATAAAAATGTTCCCATCAGGGATCTAAACTCTCCACTTTCCTGTAAATTTTTTCATGCAGTTATCCAAACAACAGTTTCCGCCACTTATTTTCTAGGAATTGACTTCTTAAAAATTATCTTTGAATTCAAAGGAACGAATCATATTTTGTTATACTTGTATGATAAAAATGTATGGTCGTTTGAATTATCTTGGAATTAGTTTGCCTCTATTTTTCATTCATTTTCAATTTCGGCAATCGATACTGACTATTAATTTCTCGTACATCTGATACGTAGTTTGATTATGTGACGTTCAAAATCTCCCTCCAGAAAATGAGTTCGGAAATCTCCTCATACCTTTCTTTCTTATTCTGTATCTGATCTTTTCTACTTGTACTACTCAGTTATTGCTCTTGAAACAATTTTATCTCACCGTAGTAGTAGAGATAGTAAAAGTATTACTGGTAATGGAGGTTAGAATTTGAAGATATTATTCAAGAAGTATAGTTCAGTGAGATAAGTTTAGAAGGAAAACGGTAGAGGTGATGACGAATTCAGAAGATTAGGATTTAGGAGAACACAAAGTGGATGGACCTGCGCCATTGCAAACGGTTTTGAGTTATGTCATTCAAAGTCTCTAACCATCGGTTACTATCGTCGCTCGGACCCCAACCAAGTAGTCTGTATATACTAGCATGACTCAGTCCACTTGTCACTGACCCCATCGATTTGTGCCATGTTTTGGTTTGACCGCCCCTAACTTTCTTCCAACCTACTCCTACATTGCGAAACATAGCTCGACGATGTAGTCGGTGGTTAGGCATATGTAACACATGTCCCAACCACCTCAATTGATGCAGTATCAATATTCATCTATTGACCTGTCTTCCTTATCTAGCATCTTTTAATGACGGACACTTCCACAGAACTTCACGGTCAACATAGTCAAATGCTGCTTTGAAGTGGAGAAATGCTAATATCGCGGGGCATCTGAACATGTGTCTTTGTTTCTTTGACCCGATGTGATGTAAATATTTGGTCTGTACATCCACGTCCAGCCCTGAAACGAGCCTGGTTGTTTCGAGTCTGCTCTTCACGAGCTCTAGTTAGGCTTCCAAGGATAATGAAGGCTAGTAATGTGTGCACTATATTTGTTAAACTGATTCCTCTTTGATTGTCACAGGAGGACTTTTGTCCTTTTTTATAGACTGGGACAGTCAGGGATTGAGACCAGTCAGATGGGATTGTGTCCAGTTCCCAGATTCTACCTAAGATCTTAGTCATTCTAACTGCTAAAACTGGTCCACCATCCTTAAAAATCTCAGGGGTTAGTCTATCAGGCCCTGAAGCTCTACCTCACTTCAGATTTCCTATAGCATTTTATTAAATAAATACTGTTATTTTTGGTCAATGTTATGTTATAAGTCTCTTATATGCACCAGGTTTAAATGTATTGTATCACTTAGTTTATATTGTGCCTAAAGTATTATTCAGCGAATTATTTATTTTATTCATACCAATGTTATTAAATATTTCAATTCACTTTTCTACTTAATTTCTGAACTTTATTTACATTCTGAAATATGTAATAGGCTAGAAAAACTCCTTTGTCCTTGTTAACGCAGTTCGTACGTCCTGTTTATCAACCTCAGGGATTTCCAACGACTATTGCCCGATTATATGAATCTACTCCTGATGAATGCATCCCGGAATTTTTCACAGATCCATCAGTTTTCTCTTCTATTCATCCTGATATGACCGACCTAGGTCTACCGTCTTGGTGTTCTTCTCCTGAGGAATTTATTAAATATCACTCTAAACTTCTGGAAAGTGATGAAGTATCTAGTAATTTGCATCACTGGATCGATTTAAACTTCGGATACAAAGTAAGCGATTGGAACTTTGTATCAATTACTGTCACTCTAATTAAAGTGTATTATGGATTGACATAGTGTGTATATACTTGGTTTTAGCATAGACAGTTTCAAAAACATCCTAACAAACAATAATCTCTAAGGGATATTCTGAGATGATTTACTTCACTGAACTGTCCACACTTGTTGAACTTGAAAAAGTGATAAGTTGATAAATATTTATTTTATTGACAGGATTTTCAACATACTGATTCTGTTTTCACTTTTATTCATGAATAAATGAATTCTTTCTGCTTTAAATGAATATTTTTCAATTACTGTTTATAACTGTAGTTACTTGGCTCAGCTGCAGTAAATGCTAAAAATGTCCATCTAGAATTAGCAGGTGATCAAACTGCTCTACGTTGTACTGGTGTAGTCTGTTTATTTCGTACACCGCATCCTCAAAAAATATGTAAAAAACTATCAAAATATTTTGGTGCAAAATTACCAGATATATTTCAAATAAGTGTAAATTCGCGAATTTCTGAACACAATTCAGTCAGTATGAAAACGCGAGCAAATAACTCCCCAAACAAATTTTCTTTGGACAAAACCAATTCTACTTTGATGAAATCCATTTCTAGTTCCAAGGTATGATATGTTTCACTGATTATGATAGTTTATCGTACTTACTGTAATATTATTGTATTTAAAACCTTTTAAACCTTGAGGAAAATTAAATTATTTTTCTGTTCATTTAAATGTTTTTTTTTCGTTTTTCTTTCCAACAAATATGTCTTCTATTTACGATCGCGAGTTTTAAATCAATCACTAAAAGTATTATTTCGTATTTGGTATCGATCAAATAGGAAAAGTCGAAGTTACGACAGTGGGAATTTCTTAATATTTTTGTCCTCAATCAATTACAAGTCATTATTGTTTCTAGTAACTTCAAGCACTTACTAAGACTTTCAAATGAAAGATACTGATTTTGTTGGTTGTTAAAGTTTCCACCTTATATTGTCCAACATTTTGCTTGAATAATACAAAATCTAAGATATGTGCCGTTGGAAATCGCCAGTCATATGTTCCAGTTCTTAACAGATGTTTTGTTTAAGTGAATATCAAGCTTATAGACACAACTGTACATTGATTTGTTTGAATTTATTAATTATTCAAATTCGTTAGCCCAATAAAGATTTGAATCACATTTTATAGTTGTGTATATGCGGAGAGGAGAGCTACATACAATTTACATTTCTCTGCAAAAATATAATCGGGAAATTAGTAGCTGAGAGTAGATTACTTTAGTGGCTGAACTATTACTCCATTTATCTTCGTTAGCCATAGAGAGACGTATTTATAACAAATGAATTTATCAAAAAGTTGTCAAGAATATAGGTCTATTTATTTCTAAGTTTATTAACTATATATATATATATATTTCTCCTCAAGGCAAATCCCACTCTAGATCGGCCCAAAGGTGATGGAGATTCATGTTTCAAGTAAGTAATTTACTTTTTTTTGTACATTATTAATTAGTTGTTTATCAGCATAAAATACTTATTGAAGTAGGTACCTTACTTTCTACTCTATTTTTGTCGATTGAATGTTAACTAGATGATATTTCATTGCTTTGAATCATGGGGTTTGATCATTTATTTAACTAGTACTGTTAAAGAAATTCGAAGTTTTACACTGAAGTCTTTTAGTTAGTTGATAAAATTACATAATTCTGAACGTTATTTAATTTCACCAGTTAAAATTAATCTTAATTGTATTCAATTCTGTTTAAATTAATTTGTGAATACGAGGGATTTCTAGGTTAGTTATTTTCTACCTTTGTGTGTTATTTATTTTCATTCATTGTTACTGTGAATTTTTACATAGAAATACTAGAGAAATCTATAGTACTTATTTGACTTTGAATATCCTGATGTATTATGGAAGTCGTATCGGTCATTCGTAAATGAATTTCTATTACAAGTGTGCTTGAGTCCAAGTTATCATACTTTATTCGAGTGTAGTGGAATGGTATTAATCAGATAAAAATTAAAGCAGTCCAAATGATAATACCAGCGCTAATGGAAAACTAAACATAGAAAGTATAGTTCAAAAAAATCAGGAGATAGGAAATCTGAACTGATATTTAAAATCAGTTTTCAAAGTAACTCAACGAATGAGTACATTTACTTTACTAGTACCAAATCGAACAGTATTACTTAAAATCTACAACTACACATCCTGACAACGTAGTAGACCACAATTCAAAATTCAGTGACGTAATGAATAGATGTATTGTCTAAAGACGTTACCATTTAACCTTTTTCCATCCGTCTTTTCATTGACTGCCCTAGGACCTTAAATTAGGCACTGGTCAGGAATGGGTAAAACATTTCCCAATTATTTCAGTGCATCGGATTGTCTTTGTCTGATTTACCATCTTCAAAAAGTGATCTGCTTTTAATGACGGTATCATTTATTCTGTTTATTTTTCATATGTAGACTCTATGACCAAAATCCTTCCAACTTGCACATATCTTCTACCATATTTTTGACCTTAGATTATATTGAGTGATCTGTTACACAATAAACCGATTACGGATAAACAAACATAGATTTCACTTGTACTAGACTTTAAATCATTCAAACTCGTTTTTCATTTTTCTCCGAGATTTCATTAACCACCATATCGCTACGGATAGTGCGACTCCTATATAGTCAGAATGGTCATTATGCCCAACTGCTTCGTTTTGTGTGATTAGCTTAGTTATTGTTTTAGACTATTGTAAAACATTTCACCTGCAAAAATCCTTACATTGTTGTTCGGTACTCTGAAAAGAACATCTTCAGCGTCTTCATAAAGCAGGACTACTATTTACATACTTTAAATCAATGAGAGTTTTCAGGTGTGAAATGATAAACCTTGTTTACTATCATCTTTAAGGTGTAGTTATCTAGCAATGAATTAAACATTTTTTGTCGCTAACTTAGTGTTCCGAATGTATTGGTTCTCAATTCATAACCTACTAATAACAGGATTATATCATGATTTATTCAATAAAATTGTAGTATAATGTGACCACCTGAATGCAAATGATCCTATTCGATCTTTTTTTATCGGTCTGTGCCTCTTTTTTAGTAAAGAAATCTGGCTTCCGGATGATTATGATCCCTTAGAATTGATTAATATGCATCAAAATCTGTGCAGATTTTTGTACACTGAAACACATATACAAGATTTAAATGATCCAGAATCTGTGAGTTAGAATAGTTGATCAGTAATAGTTTTAGCTTATTTATTTTTATGTCGCTTCCCAAAGAGTAATTGATTTGCTTTAGAAAAACAGCATCCCTAATGAATACACAGTGAATAAACATGTACTCCAAATTAATGCCACTTTAGAGGCGGCTTTTGGAAACTAAATTTTCTAAATTTTATGTTGTATGTTTAATTTAATCAGCTAAACCCATTTGTAAAAGCATTTTGGAAATTTGTACACTCAGTTTGCTAAGCAAAGGTGTAAATCAGAATATATTTCAAGGCTGAATTTTGAGTAGAAATTTTAGACCTGATAAACCGGCATATTATCCCACCAACACCTCTGAAAGAATTCATTACTGATAGGTCCTAAGAAAACCAACAGAGAACTGATAAATGGTCATAAGATTACCCTGGTGAGGTATAATATGAAAGTTTCGGTATGGTTGTTTCAAAAATATGGGACTTAATTTCCTAAAAATCTGTAAAGTGTTCACAGTGAGAGGTGATTTTCAACTGAAAATCACACTAAAGATTTGTGAAGGAAGTTATTCTTATAATCTTTGATAAAAGTAAATTTAACAGATGAAAGACTTTGTGAAGCATCAAATCAAAAAGCTAAAATTATAGACAGCATATTTACATTTTGTTTCATGATTGATCAATCCTATGTATCGCAGATTTCACTTAAACACTCTTCACAACTTAAAAGAAGACATTTTATGTATACAGGTTAAAGGATAATTGTAAATGACATCATTATCTCTCTTAGTATCGAACCCTAATATACATTTCTGCTACATCGGTATCATGCAAAAACTGAAGATAATCTAATCTTATGATATAATATGCTGTAAAATGTTATTTTTAAATTGACAAAAAAAAATTACAAAAAATTCTTAATCAAGATTGTTATTTTGAGAGAAAATTAAGTTATGCTTTGAAAATAAGCGTAGAACGAGTTAGACAAAAGTCGGTAAAAATCTTCAGTGGCTTGTGATTGTGAGAGTTCAGTAATGAGTATATATTCTTGATAGTTATAAACTTTCTAAATGAAAATCTCTAAACTACTGTCATTCATGTTTACATATTTTACGTAACATAGATCAGTATTCATTACAACTGGACAGATTTAATCATTCTTTATGATCATCCAAATTTTATTGTTTTAACACTAATATTTCTTATTATTTTTATTCCCTGATTTAGTTCATCCTTTTCGAACTACGTCTCTCATATTAAATATTTCATTATAATTGATATGATTATAGAGTGTGACAATTGAAGCTTATGTCATATATTGTATTGTATTTGTAAATTTTTTTTAGGTTTCGTCACGAAAGCTGAATAATTATGATAATGATTTTGACAATCTATTCAAAATTGATCTTGAATCGTTGGCTTGCCTTATTGTTGAATTAAGTTTATTTTCAATAGTCAATTATATTGAAGTTAATAAATGGAGCCACGAGGAACGTGTTGATTTTGCACGTTTGCAAGCACGTTTACATTGGGATAAAATCCCGAAGTAATTCACTATGTCGTTATAATATTCTTTTTACTTTTCATTTATGAAATATTTTGATTGAGTTTGTTATTGATAATAATATTAAATAAAATGAATTTATTCAATATTATATCTCCAGTAAGGAAATATTTCAAACAGTTCTCTTTAAAAAACAGTTAATGATCGACAGTTGGAAACAAGCTATCAACAAAGTGACATCCTATTAACCTTTATTATTTTCTCAGCAGATCGCCATCCACCGAGACGTCTCGGATTGTACATTTTGTACCTTGGGAAACGATAGCTCGTAAATTGTTTATATACACGCTTGAATGGGTTATGCGATTAAAATAGGTAATTAACGTGTTAAAGCAAATAGAAAGACGTAACCTGTTGAAACATTTTGATGTTAGAAAACAGGTATCCCAAATATTCTATCAAGCCGTTCGATTGATTGTTGTTGGGTTTCAAGTTTACATTTGAATTGGTCGCCTGTTGCATAAAATTGATCCTCATCCTGTAGATATGGTTCATCTGTGTCTTTGATAACATTGAATTCCTTTATTCGCTTATATGTGAACAATATACTCAATGCTCTATATTTGTTATATGCTTTCTAATTCATACTATTTCATACATGCAATAATCAATGAACGGATATTTGATATAGTTGTTAATTATTTCTCTCACCTATATTTATTCCGGCTATTAATCTCATAAGTAATCATTAAGTGGTAGTCACTTAGAGATGCTGACAAATTTATAGGTATCATTATCAAGATTTGACTTGGTAATCTCAAATAAATTAAGTATTGAGTAGATTGTTAATAATAAAAGTGATAAATATTTGTAGTATCTCAATTTGTTGACAAACTTTCTTTACAATCTTAAATCTATATTCTGTATCTAAAATGATTTTATTTGCTTAGAATTATCATTTCTGTTGATTAGTGATGTGAACCTGTAATTGTGAAGATTAATTTGAAGAACATCTTAAAAGAATATTCTTCATTCATATATCTGTTCTTTCTATTAGGAGTCATCCCGACCGTAGCTGCTACCTTGACGTGGTGGTCGGGCTTGACTATCGTGATGACCCAACCGAGCTATATTGGCTGGAACATATGTTCCTGTAGGTTCTACCATACCAGGCAGGTCGATTGGAGAACGATGAGACAAAGCAGCTACTGAAGATCTGAGGGTGAAGTCGTACTGCAGACTGCAGAGGGGTGTGACAGCAGTAAGGTGTTTCCCTCGGACAACCAGCATCTGCAGCGATGCTGCCTTCTCACAAGGAACGAAGGGTTAGAAAAGGTCGACCCTAAAAATGTCACTCCTCACCCTACCTCACAGATTTCCGTCTCTGGCGGTAGGGGCTTTAAAACAAGAGCGGAGCTAAAACTTCGAAAACTCATGAAAAGGTCGTGCATGACCGGCTTGTAGCAGTTGTCTTTTGGGCAGTGCGGTCACGCACCCAAGTCTCTAAGACCAACACTAAACTACCTTCCTTTTCAGGTTCCTCAAGAAACAACCTTCCGTCTGAACTACAGTCAGCGCGGGCGTAGGCAGATGCGACGAAGAGGCAACGACGGATTTGTTTGAGGCTTACTGGACGTAGGAGAGACACCGTAAGGAAGCCTCTTAGGGTTTTACTTAATGATAATAGGGTGAAGAATATATTTCAGGAACAACTAGAAAGACAGGCGACCATGTAAGTGATTCCCATTCGGAAGTAGGTTGGAATGATATCAATAAAACTTTGGAAACGGCAATGATTTCCTTAAGGCTGGGAAGAAGCTGTGGATCTCAGCAGCATCCACTGAACTGATCGACGCTCGTAATATCATCCCACCTGGCCCTGAACATGATGAAGAACGAAGTCAGCTTAGGCTCAGGATTATAAGAAGTCTACTCAAGACCAAAACATGGCAGAAATCCATAAAATCACTAACAAGTGGACTGAGTCATGTTGGTTGATTTAGGCTACCTGGTTGGGGTCCGCGAGACGAAAGTCATCAATAGCTAGAGACCTTGAACGACATGGCTCAGAATCGTTTGCAATGGCACAGGTGCATCCACTTTTTGTGTTCTCTCAAACTCTAACCTTCTGAATTCATCATCTCTATCCTTCTCTTTCTAAATTTATCTTACTGAATTATACTTCTCGAATCATATCTTCGAGCCCTAATCTTCTCCATAACTGCTAACACTTCTACTATCGCTACCACTCTTGGATTTGAACTTTCAGTTGCTTCTCTGTGCTGATGGGTAATGGCAACCTGAACATATGTACTCATGTACAAAGTTGTAAGTTGTAACTGACTAACTGAATGACTTCAATGTTAATCATACCGTAACACTACACCTCATTACATATATTAATGTAAGCAGTCGGCTGGAAACCACTGTATATTATAAATTCATATTATTCTTTGCCAAGCGTTATTCTTGTCTTATTCTAAATTTTTTTATTGAATTTATTATCTTTGCCGCATAATAACATCTCTGGTTATTATCGAATCTATTTTTATTTACTCATATAGTTGTCTTCATGATGCTGTTAATTCTGTTCTACACCCATTTGATCAAAACCTTGTTGGAGAACAATTTAATGAACGTTTTTTACCGACAGTAGATATTTTCCTTCATTTATTATGTGAATTTCCACCTTATATTTTTGATCTATTATATATTCGCGATTGGGTAAGTTTTATAAATTTCTTTTCCGATTCTTTAGATTGAGTAATATTTATTCTTAAGATTCAATATTATGTCACTCATTACAATGCTTGATATAGTTCAGCTTCAGATACAATTACTTCTTTATAAATGTAGTACTTTTTCATTTTAATTTTGTTAGAGATCGATCCATTCACTGATCCTCTAGTTGTTTTAGAGTACATCGATAGTGCTATGAGTGGATGTGTTTTCGTTTTTCATATATAAAATGCCGCTAAACATTTGGTATGCACTTATATCTGTTTCAATGACATAAATGAAATACGTCACTTTAAAAAATGTGTAATAAGCTGTAGTTGGTAGGTCGTTGATATAATTCGTGAAACTATTTCAAAAGTGTCCAACTGACGTTTTATCATTCGCTCCTCGTATGATAATAACCGACAATTTGTAGTGGAAAGGCGAGCATATTACTGAAGAAACTGAAAAGAGAAAATGAATCTTGGTTCCGAAAACAATCATTTTCCTAATATCGCTCTCTTATGTTGGCAGCAGTTAATAATGATGTATGAACGTTGACGAAATCCCAAGTATTTTATTGCTTGTTTCGAAAATCATACCATTTATTTAAACAATCTATTCACTGCCTACTTACGCCTGTTACTCCTTGTGGAGTATAGCCTACCAACCTCCGACCGACTCTGTCCTAGGCGCCCCCATCCACTTGTTCCCGATTTCTGTTCATTCTTTCTATGTTTGCCTTTCATTCCCAGCAGAATGTGTACTTTAATTTTCCTCTTTTCCTTTCTCCTGGAGGATAATGTAGTTAGGACTTGCTTTGTCATACAGTTTAGTGACAAGGTATGATTTTTGAATCATCTCAGAATCAGTTTGCCTCTATTTTTCATTCATTTTAAATCTTGACAATCGATACTGACCTCCTTATACCTTTCTTTCTTGTTCTGTATCTGATCTTTTCTACTTGTACTATTCAGTTGTTACTCACCGTACTAATGGGGTGTGGCAACTTGAACAGATGTTCATGTTCCAGGTTACATGCATCTGTGTTTCTGCTTAACTGAGTTGTGCAACTGTTGATTGGCTTCTCTGCGTATTGACTATATTTCATAAAATATTATTTTGTATTTCTCGTCGTTATTTGATACGGTTGGCGTACGGAAAATATCACGGTCCTTCTAAATCTTGGGCTTTAATTAAACAAAGTGCATCACTTGATGGAGTGACGTTAGTAAAGTAATCATGAAGTCGTATATTTTGTTATTAAATATGATTTTACTCAAACATACCTATGTCAATACTTTTCTTAACTTATGCCGGTTACCCATCGTAGAGCATAGGCCGCCGACCGGCATACTCCAATCAACCCTGTCATGGGCTCTGTTCTGTCCGGCACTATGCATTCTTTGGTCTGCCTCTTCTTTTTTTCTCCTTAAGGATTATAGATTTAGGACTTACTTTGTAATGCAGTTTGATGACCCCCTCACTGTGTTCCATCCGCCTTAGGCTCGTTTCCCTAATTTATTCTTCAGCTGGAATTTGGTTTGTTCTCTCACAGTAAGTTGCCACTGATGGTGTCCGGCCGATGGATCTTGAGTATCTTTTGTAGACAGTTGTTAAACAATACTTCTATCTTTCGGCTGATGATTGTTCTAGTTCTCCACGTTTCAGCTTCACACAATAGGACGGTTTTGACGTTCGTATTGAAAAGTCGGATTTTGATGTTGGTTGACAGTTGTTTAGAGTTGCACATGTTCTTCAACAGTGCAAATGCTGTCCTTGCTTTGCTAATCCGTGTGTTTACATCGGCATCAGATCCTCCTTGTTTATCAATGTTGCTGCTCAGGTACGTAAATGCTTCCACATCTCCCAGAGCCTCCCCATCAAGTGTGACCTGTTTGTTGCATGTTGTGTTGTGTCTGGTGATCTTGCTTTTTCTCTTGTGTCTGTTGAGATCTACTGTTACAGAGGCTGCTGCTACACTGTCAGTCTTCATCTGCATTTGTTGCTGTGGGTTAGGTAGAAGAGTTGTGTGGTTTGCGAAGTCTAAACTGTCTAACTGCATTTATGCTGTCCACTGTATTCCCTGCCTCCACTAAGCTGTTGAAGTTTTCACAGTCCAGTCAACCACCAGCAGAAAGAGAAAGGATTGGTAAATTTTTTCTTGGGTTCTGTTTTCATGGCAGTTTAGTTTTTCACGGCATTTGCTTAACACTCCCTGGTTATCGAGGCTTACGAACGACAATAATCTTTGATAGGCTCCAATTTGAGTTTATCTATTCTGATTGAATGATTATCCTAATTGAATCAGTAGCCGCTTAAGTAAACTGAAATTAAATGTATCTTTTAACTGTTTTTGTTATCTGCTGTAACAACGTTTTGCTTATTAGTTGTTACATTAAGTTTTCATGTATAGGTTTTCCTATATTTTATCATTAGTTTCATTTATAATATTCCTTGTATTTCACTTTTTGAAAAACATTTTTTACAAATAGCTAATTGATATTACCAATTCCAATCAGTCGTTCGAACATCTACAATCATTCTCTCCTTACATACCCAAAACCGGCTTGTTTTCAGCATTTTTTCCCAGTAATCATCAAGATGAATTGTGTAATTTAGTAACCTTATCCACTGTTCACATTCCAGTTGATATAATTAGATTACTGTATCCACATATTCAGTCAGCAGTGTATGCAAATCCTAATTGGTTTGTAACCATTTTAAATTCAACTAAAATGTTTGAGCTGTTTTCAACAATTGGAGGTCTTGAAGTAAGTTTTCCTGGTAGATGTTTTCTCAATATAACTTCATAGAGACTATTTTATAGTTCTGATGAGTTTCATTTTATTGCTTCAATTATTGTCATACTGTTAATCCGTTTTTCTTGTCATTCTAATTATTGATCAACAAGGATAATTTAGATTCTATGATTGTTATTTTCTTTGTGAATCTCATAAATTTCTATTACTACTTGATAGATATATCGTACAATATATCGATTGAATCTCTTTTCTGACAGTTAGGATTAAATTACTTGAGAACTTTTTGGTTTATCAAGATTAACAATATACATGTTGTCATGTAAGCTTCATCGCTTTATAATTTAATTCGCTGTCATCTTAACTGATAGCTGAATGCACTTATATTATGCTATCCATAAAACTTTACCTTCCTGTATGTGACATGTATTTTTTGTCAGTTGGAATTCTTGAACTATTCAATGTAAGTTTACTTCATCTTTACATGTTGATTACAATCTTACCGCATAATACTTATTTTCCAGATACATGTAAGAGCTGGTTGGCTACAAGGAACAGCAAGTTTGAAGTAGATGCAGTGATGTAAGAAAAAAATATACTTTTCTCAAACACAGCGTACTTATTCTTAGACACAATATTATATCCGGTTGGTTGTTTATCTTTCAGTATTAACGTTGGCAAAGTTGCCTAACAATGGTCGTCTTGTTATAAAATCATAGTCAGACGTATAGCCTAGAAATGCACATCCAATGTACTTGCAACCCTTTTCTTAACTGAACACTATATTATGATGCTTGACAATAGCAGCACCCTAAGTACTTTTTTGCATTTTTAAGCAAACTTATATGGATCAATACGTTCCCAGAATGCAGACTAAACTAAGAGTAGCAATAGTTTCTTCATTGTTTCGCTGGAACAACAGACATGAAAGGAGAATTCTAGGTAACAATTCATAATATCATCGGTCTTTTCCAATCAGTTGTTTGTTAATAAATTCCGGTCTATTGTTCAAAACATACTTTTCGAATTTTGTGTATTTTCATTTGATTAGTGTCTATATTCTACCTTTTTGGTCTGAAGTAAAAGTTTATTCTATTCAAGCTTCCCATATATTTTGTTTAGAATGTAAATAATTCAATCATCAGAGCTAAGCAGTAGTGCACATTCACAATTCATATATATTTCCACATCATTCGTGATGGCTAATTCGGGAGACTCATCATAATGGATGTAGAAATCGACTAGGTTCTGACAACGTGGAGATGAAAAAAAAGCTACAGTCACATGAATTGCGATCTCCGCATGCAATTAAAAAGTAAGCACTAAAGATGGCAATGAGAAATCCAGTGAAGTCATTAGCTGAAACATATAGTCCAGATTAGCTGTCGTCCGAAGTCACGTAAATGTTGACAGTATAAGCGAAACCGTATTTGTTCAAGAACATAACGTGTTAAGGTTACGCACTGGATGAACTCCTTCCAATACATAAATACACATTAGGTTAACACTAGTTTACATTTAAAAATGGCTATGCCACTACCGCACGTTTTCTTACTGCTAGGTCAATCCTGATGACTAATATTGAAACCACGTGGTAATACTAAACTTTCGTCACGCTAATCATATAACCAGTTTTTTTGAGTTGTGATTACAGCACAACCATAGTTCCTATTAAAGCTTTGTAGAAATTGAAGATAGTTCATCTCGCCCATCAGTGATCTGCATTTCAAAGTCAACAGTTCAGAAATGAAGATCTATGTGTATTCTTTTCAATGCAAATTATCAACCACCGTAATGTCTCCAATTGTATTCTACTGTCCTTCATAAAGCTATAAGTTGTAAAATTTTTATATACGCACTCGAAAAGGTCATACGATTTATAGATATAATTGATGAGTCTCTAGGTGTCATTATTATTTTCATAGTTAATGCATTAAAGCAAACAAAAAACATAACTTTTGAAATATATGACTTTTCTTAATTCTAGTGCAAACAGTGGATACAATACTAAACATCCTCAATTGACCTGCCTTTATAATTTCATTTTCTTATTAGTAGCTATTTATATTGTAGGATTAAAATAAGTTACTACTTGTCAAATATGTTTATTGACACTGGTGATTAACCATATTTATTTAACTATCATTCTTAATTTTTATTTGTTATTTTAGTTCATACGATCACATCTTCTCCCATTAATTATCTATCTTTACAAACCTGAACAACTTAAACGTATGTCAAGTGATGTTTCTCCGGGAATTCCTCTTGCTATATTATATTCACGTTCATTTCTACGTCGTCTATTAACTTATTTAAATGTGAACACATTTCTTGTACATATTTTACCGTATATAACCCTGAGTCTTATTGGAGGCAGTATAAACGCTTTATCTGATGAAAACATTGTATGGCATCAAAGAAGTTATACTGGTCTGACAAATGAACAAATAGATTCTAATAATACAAACGCTAAACAAAACACACTTGATTCGATTAGTAGTAATCTAGATTTAAATGATGAATCTTTAATATATGATCAAACGGAAAATGTATCATCACCTTGCAATTTATCGCTTGACAAACAAAATATTATGAATGTAGATGAGATTGGAATCGATCTTCGAAGTTTGGTAAATGATGAGGAATTTCAATTCTTAGAAGATGCTCAAAGTTTATCGTTGTTTACTTGTGTAAAGTCCAATGAACAAGAATGTGATGATATGAGTCACAAATCGGTTAATAGTTGTTTAAATGATGAACCTCCAGCGCCTCCTCCTCATTCTCCAAGGTAAGTAATTTTTATGTTGTATGGTTCGTAACTATGTAATTCGAGCGCTGTGATAGGCGTTTTGGCAGTTGTTCAGTACTCTATACTGTAAAATAGTTTTTCATTTGAAGTACCTGAAAAGGAACCACAATTAGTAGTGGTGAACATAACTGCATCCCCCAGGAGACAATTGCTTAAACTTCGCCAAATGCGACCGTTTTGCAAAACGTACTTGATATACTAACTCTGAAGGCTTTACTACCGTCAGCAGAAATCCATGGAACATATTGAGAGGTGTACTATTTTTAGAGTTAACATTTCCTAACTCTTTTACTTTGTTGTGAAAAGACAGCGTTGCTGCAGATCCTGATTGTTCGAAGTAGACTCTACTACTGTCACACCCTTGTACAGTCAATATTATGACTCAGTCTTTGGGCCTTAATTGATCGTTCACCAACTAACCTGCTTGAATTTAGTTCTGTTTATGCATTTTTTTATGACTATTTGGTAAGAACACTTCTTGAGTCGTGGTTACTACTCATGATTTTCATATAGAAATCTTATTTGTAAAAGTAGAACATATTAGGAGTCGGGCTAGTATTATGAATCAGGGTTATCATTCCATTGAATTTTTTCACCAAATGACACTAGCTATAATTCCAAAAGGTTAGGGTTAAGTATTAAAAGTTGAGCTATAATTCTGAGTTGAATTTAAAAATTAGGGTTGGGATTTTCATTATGAATGGATAGCTCTGACTCAATACTTTGTTCCCCTTCGGTTTAAAAACTTAAGAAACTTCGGATTTGGATTTAGAGAGAGTGAATACCACCAAGCTTCGTTAAACGCTCTTGATTACGCATAATATCAAAACAAGTACTTTAACACACAATCTGCCATAGCAGCTGGTATGTTTTGTAATTTAGTTTAAGTACCATCTTTGATTCACCTTTGGTCGCTTATTAGAACTTTTTATAGATCTCGAAAATTGTAAGGGTTAAACGTTGCCGATTTCAGAAATAATAAGCACATTATCCATCTCTGAACTTTAAATCTCGAACAAAATACATGAGGAGCTATCTTCGCTCTGATTGCTTAACTCAAGGCCGTCAGTATGTTATACTTTCACCATTTTACTAAACTATATGGATACCAATGCCAAACTTAAATGAAAAATAGTTCGTAAATGATAAGTGTAATCAATAGATGAAAATTATAAGGTAATACCAAAACGCAAGATTTAAAGGAGCTGAAAAAACGAATTTATATTTCCTACTGCGATTAAGGTCAACCCAAGTCACTTAAGGTTTTCAACCATAGATTTTGATTCTATTCCGAAGTTTAACAGAGAATTCTGTACATCCTAAAAACATTTCAGAGTAAAACTCAATGAATTCGCTAGTCAGTCAGTTACATCGTACAACTTCGTACATGAGTACATAAGTTCAGGTTGCCATATCCCATTAGTCAGTCAGTCAGTCAGATGCAACGTAGAACTTTGTACATAAGTACATCAGTTCATGTTGCCATACCACATCACCCGACCGAAGCTGCTACCTTGACGTGGAGGTCGGGCTTGCCTATCGTGATGACCCAACCGAGCTATACTGGCTGGAAAATATGTTCCTGCAGGTCCTACCATGCCAGGCAGGTCGATTGGAGAACGATGAGACTAAAAGCAGCTACCCAAGGTCTGAGGGCGAAGTCGTACTGCTGACTGCAGAGGGGTGTGACAGCAGTAAGGTGTTTCCCTCAGACAACCAGCATCTGCAGCGATGCTGCCTTCTCACAAGCAAGGAAGGGTTAGAAAAGGTCGACCCTAAAAATGTCACACCTCCCCTAACTCACGGATTTCCGTCTCCGTCGGTAAGGGTGCCCACTAAGGGCCTTTAAGTACGGAGCTAATCCTCTAAATATCCCATCAGCACACAGACGCAACCGTCAGTTCAAATCCCTTAGTCGTAGAGATAGTAGACGTATTGTAGTGAATGAGAACACAGGTGGGCCAACCGGACTGTATTTAACGAAATTACAGAGTTACTCAGTAAAATAGGAAAACCATATCGTAAATTGTTAATTTGCAAAATATCAGTCCATCATATCGAACTGGACTGTTCCTGTTGCCAAACATCAATCGATTGTCACTATTCATGCGTTTCATACAAATTCCATTGTTTTCTAACTCTTCCTTTCTTGATCTTCCCCCATATTATGCTGCCGGACATTATGTTTACACTCACGTCATATACTACTTATAAGTAGCTCACACCACAGTATTAGTAGTAATGGAGATGATTAGGGTTCGAAGACACGATTCGAGAAGTATAACTCAGTGAGATGACTTCAGAAAGAGAAAGATAGAAATAATGAGGAATTCCGGTGGTTAGAATATGCGAGAAAACATCACAAACGATTTTGAGTCATGTCGTTCAAGGTATCTAACCATCAGTGGCTTTCGTCTCGCGGACCCCAACCAGGTAGCCTAAATCTACCAACATGACTCAGTCCAGTTGTCAATGACTTCATGCATTCGTGCCATGTTTTGGTTTGGCCGCCCCTAGCTTCATTTAATTTACCAGCTGGTGTTGTGTCATGCTCATGTCAATCTGAACCTTTTTCCAACCAACTTCTCTGACACCCAAGAACTGTTTGAAGTTGGTAGACAGTAACAGTACTTGTATGAGATTATATCACAACCTGAAACCTCACTAACTAATTTTTTCTATCACTACCTAAAATAGTACGTTTAATCACAGCGTTACTCATTTGTGAGTTTATCATATGTTAGTAACAGTTTTGAAGTATGCTGTGTTCAAATATCAACAATCTAATTAATTCTTCCATTTTCATAAGCTATTTTTCTCAGTTATAACATGTTGCCTTAAATATAAATAAGTTTCATGTACGTGCATGGCATATTTTAGTTAAAAATAGAAAATCAATATTAATCATAATAATCATATTTTGTCTGTTTATATGACTGTTTATTTTTACTTACTTTAGTTTCATGTTATGTGTTAATATAATCAATTAAGCTTTGATCATATATCAAAATTTTTTATCTTCCTTTTCTTTGATAGTTCCATTTTGCATAATTCTAATTCATCACAATTGTTACATGGAAATTCAACAGAAGACGAACATGTAAATCATGAACAGAAGAAAGTTCCTTTTTTAAACAAATCATCCATTAATTATGGTCATAGTAGTAATTATTCTAATATCAGTAGTATTCCACCAATTACTGCTGCTATGGATAGTCTTGACTGGCTTGCTAGACGTATTGGTCCTGTAATGACTAATAAGTATATTGTCAAATATTTATTAACTACATTGACATTATGCTATGAAGTAAGTAGATTTTTACTATGATTTTAAAATTAAAGATGAATTTGTACTAATAAAGATTTTTTTCAGTAAAATAATATCTAATAAATTAGATGATGTATGCATTAAATTAGTAAGAAAAAAAGGATTCTTTGAGAAATGTGTACATAGGTAACTTACTGATCTGAAAGTTTCAATAATATGCAGTTTTTCCTGGATATCGTACTGTGTTCATTATATTGTTACACCAAATTCAAATACAGTGATTTAAGCTATAAGTATGTTTTTATAACTGCTAGATTTATCCGTTTTACTTATCACCAACTAAAAAATCCATTTCTATTGGAATTCCGACTATGGTTGATTGCTTGCATAATGTCAGTCAGTTGCAACGTAGAACTTTGTACATAAGTACATCAGTTCATGTTGCCATACCACATCAGCACAGAGAAGTAATCGTCAATTCAAATCCAATAGTAGAAGAGGTACTAAGGGAATTAGAAGTAGACGGAGAGGTTAGGATTAGAAGATAATATTCAAGAAGTATGATTCAGTGAGAAAAGTTTAGAGAGTCGAAAGTAGAGGTGTTGAAGAATCCAGAAGATTAGGATTTGAGGGAACACAGAGAATAAATGCACCGGCGCCATTGCGAACGATTTTGAGCCATGTCATTCAATGTCTCTAACCATCGATTGTTATCATCTCGCGGACCTCAACCAGGTAGTCGACAATTACCGACATGGCTCAGTCCACTAGTCAATGACTTCATGGATTTCTGCCATGTCTTGGTTTGGCCGCCCCTAGCTTTCTTCCGACCTATTCCTACACTACAAAACAAGGCTCGACGAGGCAGTCGGTGGTTGGGCATACGCAACACATTCCCAAACCACCTCAACTGATGAAGTTTCATTACTTCATCTATTGATCTGCCATTCTTACCTAGCACCCGTGTCCTAATAACAGCGTTGCTCACTCGGGTGTCCCACGATATACGAGCAATGCTTCGAATACACCTATGATCGAAAACCAGTAACCTACGAATATCTTCTACTCTCACTGGCCATGTTTCACAGCCATATAGGAGAACGGAGCGAACCACTGCGCAATACACTCGTCCTTTAGTCAGCAAACGGATATCTCGCCAACGCCATAAGTGACGCAGGTTGGCAAAAGCCAATCGAGCCTTCTGTATCCGTGCCGAGATTTCGTCAGTCACCAGGCCATCAGCACTGATGAGACTCCTCAGATAAGTGAAGCGGTCTACACGTTCGACTACTTCACTCCCTATCACTAGTTCAGGTGCCGATGCAACCCAGTCTTGAAGCAACATTTTGCATTTCGAATGTGAGAACCACATCCCGAACATGCTTGCATTGTTGCTTAGGGTGGTCAGAAGACTGCATTTTGTCAGCGTCTTCACCAAGTAGGACAATGTCATCGGCATATTCTAAGTCAATAAGCGAGCCACCTGGTAGAAGGTCTACTCCTGAAAATTCAGACGAGGATAATGTTATGTCTAGAAGCATGTCTATGATAGAATCGAGAGAGTGGACATCCCTGACGGACACCACATGATGTAGAGAATTCCGTTGACATTTCGCCATAAGCCCTTACTCGACCAGTGGTGTTTGAGTAGAGAGCTTGTATGAGGTTAATGTACTTCTTTGGTACACCTTTCAATGACAGATACTGACACAAAACCTCACGATCCACTGAGTCAAATGCCCCTTTTGGGTCCAGGAAAACAACTATTGTAGGACGTCTAAATGTGTGTCTGTGTTCCAGGACCTGTCGTAGTGTGAAAATGTGGTCTATACAGCCACGTCCAGGTCGAAAACCAGACTGGTTTTTTCGAGTTTGCTGTTCACGAGCTTTCGTTAAGCGTCGAATTATTACTGAGGCCAATAGTTTAGATACTATATTAGTTAGACTTATTCCTCTGTGATTGTCACAAGAAGACTTCTGTCCTTTCTTAAATATCTCAGGTGTCAGTCTATCAGGACCTGCAGCTCGCCCTTGCTTCAGATTTCCTAACGCTTTTTCAACTTCATTAAGACTAGGCGGACTTACGTCGACTTGCCATTCAGGATGACTTGAGATCATGGGTAACCAAAGAGTGGCTCGAGGCCAGTTGAACTGATCCCTAAAGTGTTCCGCCCATCGATCCAGTCTCCTAGATTGAGAATATATAATAGTCCAATCATTTTCCGAGATAGTCTCACTCACACTAGGATTCCTAATACCAGTTTCCTTGATAAATCGGAAAAGTTGTCTACTGTTGTCGATCGCCGCTGCCTTTTCCATCGCTTTTGCTTTCGCCACCCACCAACGTTCACGGTCGTTGAGCAGGCTTTTTATAAGTCAGCGCGTAAGTTGACTTCGTTCTTCATCATGTTCTGAGACAGGTGGGATGAGTTTTCGGGCATCCATCAGATCGGTGGATGCTACTGAGATCCACGGCTTCATTCTAGACTTATGGTTAACCTTACTAGCAGATCTCACTGCTGTTTCCACAGCCTTTTTGATATCATTCCATCCTGCTTCCGGATGGGAATCGCTTAAATGGTTGCCTAACTGTCTTTCTAGTTGTTCCTGAAATATATTTTTCGCCTTATTATCATTAAGTAAAACCCTAAGAGGCTTTCTTACGGTGTCTTTCCTACGCCCAGTAAGCCGCAAACAAATACGCGCTCGCACTAGGGCATGATCTGAATCTAAACATGTGTACCAGAACGAGCGACAGTCCTCTATCTAACCTCTCCATCGGTGGCTGATGGCGATGTGACCTAGTTGCGTCCAACGTTGAGACGACTTTGGAGGTCGCCAGGTCATCATATGCTTTTCCTTATGCCTAAAGTTAGTGTTTGCTAAGAATAGGCGGTTGTCTGAGCATACTTGCAACAGACGGTCACCATTGTCTGTTCTCTGAGCCGCGACACCATAATATCCACCTAGGTGTCTTTCATTTTCACTCAGTCTACCTGCTTGAGCATTAAAGTCACCAGCCATTATTACTATATCAGAGCGCCTGGCGTTTTGGAGGAGGTCCGAAAGCTTTCTGTAAAACTTATCTTTAACCTCGACTGAACTGCAGTCAGTGGGGGCATAGGCAGATACGATGAAGAGGCAACGGCGAGTGTCCCTATCTTTCCGAGTCCTTACTGTCCCGTTTAGTCGGACGGCGCACAAGCGACTACCTACTGGGATCCAGTCTAGGAGATTATTCAGCTCTACGACTCAATGCTATGCCTACGCCAGCAAGACCCCTGGAAGCAGCATCAGGTATACCGGATACACGAAGAGTAAATCGAGCTGCTTCTTTATCTTGATAAGGTGAAGTCAGATTAATAGTTTTACTAGGATCCTGTATGCGCGTTTTCGAGACGCAGCATACATCGATGGCATGAGATTCTAATTTCCTAGCTAATGATGCCTGTTGCCCTATTTGAAACAATGTCCTTACATTAAATGCTCCAACATGTAGTTTAGAGCGGGGTTTCAGGAGACCAGAAATGACATTTCGTGAACTCGCATTGTTTGCATTAGCTGTGCAGTGTGATAAAGGAATGTGAGAAGAGTTAGTCGTGGAGATAAGAGAGGTACTAGGAGCTGTAGGAAGGATTTGATTTTGACCAATTTGGTCTCGCGTGCTGGTACGGATATGAGGGCGGTTGTCACTTCCCGGCTGCCCACACCGTGGAAGGTTTTTTTCTTGAGGAACCTGAAGAGGAAAGTAGTTTAGTGTTGGTCTTAGAGACCTGGGTGCGTGACTGCAGAGTCCAAGGGACAACTGCTTGAAGCTGGTCACGCACGGCATTTTTATGAAACGTTTTTTGAGGATTAGCTCCGTTCTTAAAGGCCCTTAGTGGGCACCCTTACCGACGGAGACGGAAATCCGTGAGGTAGGGTGAGGTGTGACATTTTTAGGGTCGACCTTTTCTAACCCTTCCTTGCTTGTGAGAAGGCAGCATCGCTGCAGATGCTGGTTGTCCGAGGGAAACACCTTACTGCTGTCACACCCCTCTGTAGTCAGCAGTACGACTTCGCCCTCAGACCTTGGGTAGCTGCTTTTAGTCTCATCGTTCTCCAATCGGTCAGCCTGGCATGGTAGGACCTGCAGGAACATATGTTCCAGCCAGTATAGCTCGATTATGTTTTGACGATAGTCAAGCCCGACCACCACGTCAAGGTAGCAGCTACGGTCGGGTGCTTGCATGATGGAGCATAGGCCGCCGACCACCATTCTCCAACCTGCTCTGTCCTGGGTCATCCTATCTAATTCTGTCCAATTTTCGTTCATTCTTCTCATATCTATCTCCGTTTCGCATTGGAATGCGCTTTTCGGTCTTCCTCATTTCGTCTGACCCTGAGAATTCCAAGTGAGGGCTTATCTCACAACTCAGTTGGTCGCTTTCCTCAACGTGTGGCCTATCCATCTGCAATTCCTGAATCTTCCCTCTGCTGCAATCTGATTTGTTCTATCCCACAGCAGGTTGTTGCTGATGATGACCCTCGTGGTTCTCCAAGTTTCCGCCTCATACAGTAGAACTGTCTTGAAAACTGTGAGTTTGGTGTTGGATGATGGGTGTTTTGAGTTCCATATGTTTTCCAATCGGGGCTTAGGACCGGTGGTAGCCACACAGTGGCTCTAGGTTTAGTTACAGCGGTTACTGATGACGTTGAATTGTCATCCCACTTTACTGTTTAATTAATATAAACGTGAAAGAGTGAAAGAAGCTCTGTTTGCTACAATCTAACAATGTTGTAAACTATCTAACTAAATTTATCTTCTTTCACCTTGTTTTCTCCAGGTTATTCCTTTGTGAAATTTGTCTATAATTAAGGTATCTCAAATTTTATTAACATTTAATAATTATTGAAATGTGATTAAAACTGTTGAAAAATGACTTTTATTCAAATATATGCTGAGACATATAAATCACAATAGATATGGGTGAAAAAAACTAATCGATTTAAAGAATCTCTGGTAAAGTCTGATTTCTATTTAAGTAGCTTCTCAGAAAGTATAAAAATCAGACAAACATTTCTTTACTACTCTTATCAGTTTCCTGTTATATATATATATATATATATATATATTTCTGTGTCAATATATAATCTTGTTTTAACACTGTTTTACATTTTACCAATTTATTTAGGGTAAAAGTCAATTATCCGTGAATGCTGTCAATGTTATTGCATTTGAAAAATGTTCACCGTTTCCTTTACAATATAATAATAATCATCCATTGATTGGTGATCGTTCAGCATTTAGTGTTTTAAAATGTTTAGTACAATTAATACAAATTTATGGTGTATCTATGGTTTTAGATGTCTATTTACCTTTTGTAATAAAAACAATCACATCGATTACAACTATGGTGAATGCTGTATCATCATCACAGTGTATCAATGATCATACTTTAAATGAAAATAATGATTGTTGTATGAATTCATTAGAAACGGCTACAAGTAATAAACTAAGTGTCATGACAATACCATTCAATCGAAATTATCATCATTTAGCACAACTTATTGGAGTGCTTACTTTATTATATCATATTGTTATATATTTACCGGATAATGAACTTGTTGAATTATTACAAGTAAGCTCTATTTTAAATAAGTATTTTGATGAATAATAAATTGTTATTTTACTACTTATACTAATTACTCATAACAAAACTGTTCAGAATACAATTCAGGGTAAATTTCCGTTTGCAAATAACTAAACTAAGAAAAACATGTTTACAATTATTTGAATAAGAATTTATAGGTTTTTACAATTTATACTCTTTTGCAAAGGTGTCAGTAAAATTGGTAATCATTCATTAATAACTCAATTATTAAACACTATACTACTAACATTCTTAAAGGTAGATTTCTATTTTGTTTTGAAAAAACTCATCCATCTTCGTTGAAACCGTTTACTGATACTCAAACAAGAACTGTGCCTTTTTTATTATTTGTGAAACTTACATTTTAATCAATGTCTTCTACGTACTTGGCTTCCTATTCCTGTCAAACTTTTCGAAGAATTGTAATTTTTATTACTATGCAATTCTCAATTTTTCAAAAGAAAGCAATTCAACCTTTTATACTATAATAATGTAACTGGTTCTATTGTGTATGTTTGAATATCATTATCCATTTGTTCAAATCTAGAAATAATGTGTAATCATATTCGGAGATTTGTTTAAGGATTGAATACTCAAACTAATATAGTATTCCATTTAGAGTATCTCATGTATTCTAAAGTGCTTCTGCATTCGGATAAAAGTTATTCAATCTGCTCATTAGGTTTTTGTCCGGATACATATATATGACACTAGTTAACAGTTTATCAAAATAAATTTGTGTTACTAATAACCGTAAAGGATACCTAAAATGATGCTATAATGTGTACGATTGCATGCTTGATATAATATCAACCAAATGCCTATACTACAATATTCATGATATTAGTTCTACAATTTTAAACTTATTTACCTTGTTAAATATAGTTACACATTAATAAAGTTCCTTCAGCATAGTATAATACCTCTGTTAATAGTTGTTATGTTTAAAGAAAATGATACTATGTTTATGGGGCTGTAGCGATTGTTGAGTTTCATTGAACTTATGAAATGATCAATGCTAGATCACCATTATAAACATAGAAGCACCGAACGGTTGTCTCGTCCTCGTATGTGACGCATCACCAATGCGCATTCGCGACACCCACACGCTTGAGTCCAGCACAGGACCTTCGGCCTCTTGTGCGAATGCTTAACCGATAGACCACTACGCCTGCATAGGACGGCGTTCATGTTTAATTTCAATCAATCCACGATATTAGGTGACACCATCGATTGTCTTCAGTGGGTAACTGCCTCACACCCGATACCGTTGAACTCAGCTGGTCATGGTTTCTCACCAGAACTCTTAAAATTTCATCCAAAGCTAGTCACTAGTGAGCATATGCTAATTTTCACTATACGGTAATGGAGATTGTTAAGTTTCGCTGAAATCATGAATCGATCAATGATGTTTGATTATGCTTCTTTCGAAATTTTATCACATATTTTTAAAAAAAAACAGGAAGTATGTTTTAGCAGAGCTTGTTTTTACTAGACAATCGCACTAGGATATTCAATTGTTTGACTTTTACAACTAGACTGATCAGTTAACACATGTTGTGGATTAATTTCAATTTGCTTATAATTTCAGTTTATGATAGTATGAACAAAGTATGTTGTTGCCTACGACAACACGTTTACTAGTCATATTTTAATTGTTTTTTTTAAAATTTTTTTCGCTCTGGTTGTTAGATTCTACAAAATTTAGCTGATTGCTAGTAGGCTTTTTTTTCGAGGAATATGTTCCGTTTTAGAATGCTGTTTTTTAGAACAGCGGTTTCTTTCGATGCGAACAATATGCCATATATTTGTCATCATTTATTAATTAAATGAAATATTGGATAAATACGTTTCAAATTAATGAGTTGTAATATAGATATAGATGAAGAGAGTTTTCATTATGATCATCTGATTTGTATGTGAGTTTGTGTTAGCATAGACTTCTAAGGTATTTTTTTATGCTAATGAGATTGAAACAAATATGTGTAGTACCAATTTTGTCAATTTTTTTCTAAATCAAGAAGCATATTGTACTCATTGTATGGATTCACCGACGTTCGTTACATGTAAACGCATATAGGTATATTTTAAAACGATTATGCAGACTTTGAAAGAACTTCACTTTTTTCAACTTTGTATTGAGTACACTGTGATATAACCATTAATGTAAATTAACGTTTTACTTTTCCTTGAAAATTACGCTTTATACAGAATCGAAACTGAATACCACACATAGATTCATGAAGCGGGAGTATTTGATTTCCAACAAACCTTAAATTATTCTAGCTTATTCAGGATTGATCATATTAATTCATCGAATTACCATAAATAAATATAAAATCTTATATGTCAAATAAGCTAGTAATATATTCTGTAAATAAGTGTAGGATGTACGCCAATTAACAGGTGTGGTGATTATGTTATTACGAATTTCTTGACAAAACGTAATTTCTCAGTTACTTCAAACCAAGCATTTTAGATGAAATTTATGAGAATTTCGGAATCATAACATTTGTGCAAGGTGCGTATATCCAAATCATATTATTTTACAATATACCATTATTGACTATATGCACTCCATAATACAAGTAAATCCAGTATTATGAAAGTTTTCTTCACTAGTATAAAAACTGATAGCATCTAAAAATGCTAAAAAAAAGTAGTATAAATGAATCATTACAACGTTTAGTATAGAAAACGCTAAATATTTTTCATAAAAGCTCTGTGAAATAGGTACGTACGTATCAAGTTCTACATTGTAACTGACTGACTCTTCAATTGAAAGTGTAGTGTTATAGTAAGTCGATGGACTGTTTTTGTAAAATATTTTGCTTCAGTTTTCTTCCGTTTTTATTTTTAGGAATCCGTTATACAAGATATTCTTATCAAAGCAATTCAAATGTCTGGGCGGTTAGATATCAGTTTTCCTGGCGGTGTTATTGGACGTCGTGCTGTTTTATATAAATTTATTAATGTTGTCTACATAATTGGTTTAAGAGTTGGTTTTGAATTGACACGTGCCCAATTGACATCAATATTTCAAGTGTTTTTCGCACTTTTCGATCGTGTTATTAATACTGCTGCTACGAAGTGTATTTTAACAGGTGGGTGATCTGTATCTAACTTGTGCACACATCACAGACTGGTCTTAATTAAACTTCCGTCGGGAACCACGAATCACCAAATAGCTGTTTCGTCATAGTATTTTTATTTATGAACCAAAATATATGTGCGATAAACAACAGTTTTGTACAGCAATCAGCAGTAGACGTATGTCACATTGGTTGTTGCATAAGAGATGTTAACCATTCATCAACATAGAGACGATTGCCAACTATCATTCCAAAACTTCGAAAACACTCTAACTCCCAAACATTGACAAACTGCTTAGTCCCATAACCAGAAGGTTTTCATCATCGTTTTAAAAAGCTGGAGGTAATCATTCTGAGCTTAGTGATTGGTAGCACTTCAAGAGTTGGGGCTCCTTGAAAACTTCTTCTTTGTTAGATGGATCAGTTAATACCTGCCAGAGGGGATAGGACAGTCTGACCGATGTCATTAGGATAACAGACCAGCTGGACCGTTCTTGAAGAACTCTGCTTATGGTCCAAGACGTCGATAGATGTTATTGATTAAAATTCCATCAACTTCACAGATTGTTTCACTCACACCAGAATTTTTGCTGTCAGTGGCTCAGATGAGTTAAAAGATATTCCGATTGTTTCCAAATAAACAATCACTGTAGGAAATACGCCAGTTGTAATCAGTTGACCTATTTTTTCGGTCAATCCAGTTAATATGTCCCTGGTTATTTATAAATCAATGTTATAGTTACTAAAGTCGCTCTCATTGGATTGTAGGTTTAGATCTGATTCCAGAACTCAGTGTCAGAGCTCCAAGTTATTATTTATTTTCAATGAATTTGCACAGAAACGTAATATCTGTGAAATGTGTAACTTCAATTAGTTGCATATATATCTTCACATAAAATAAATAATATCTTCATATATAATGATGTTTACGTGTGTATAAGTTTGTTCATTTTGATGTTGAAATCATTATTTATAGCCAAAATTATTTTCAAAACACGTTTTTCTTTTTAGATAATAGCCTATTCGGTAGTAAAAGTAACAACTCTAATTATAACAGTGATAAATGTGACCAACGTAGTCTTGGTGATGAAGAACTGCTGTCCTCAACAACATTTCCAGTAACAAATGTAGAAGAGGTCACACAAAAGTTGAATCTAAATACTATATTTACTGAATTAAGTGGAACATTCGATTGTGATCTTGCTCGACTGGCGTACATTTCATTTTGTCATCTTGCTGGTAGGTCTATTTTTATCTTATATAGTTTAAAAGAATTATCAATCCATTCATAATCCTCTCTTCCTATCCATACTTTGAATTGTTGTGATTAATTTTAAGATGTTACTTACTCAACCTATATTTTTATTAACATTTTAACGTATTATGTTGGATTTCATGGTAGACCTACGAATGGTAGTTGAATGAAGCACATTTCAAACTTATCACTTAATTGAATTATCCTTTATTTGTAAAAAAGCTAACCATTAGGTAAATTTATGCAATCGTAATTTAGTCTTTTAGAAATTCTCTCATTAAAAATATAAGAATTTCATTTCAATGAAAATAAAGGCCATCTTATATATATGTGTTCGAATTCATACAAAACTAAATAATAAATTGTTTATATAATCTTTTCAGACAGAGTTTTGGAGGCTTGTGTTTTTACACATTTGGATGCCGGCCCAGTGGTCCGATGGTTAGGCGTTCGCGCACAATACCGAAGGTCCCGGGTTCGAATCCTGCGAGGTGCAGGAGTCTTGGATGCACACTGCGGATGAGTCCCATACCAGGACGAAACGGCCGTCCAGTGCTTCCAGGTTTCTAATGGTGGTCTAACAATGATTGATTGATGATTTCAAATGTATATGTAATCAGTTTTTGCGTTTAAGGCATTACCATAGATAGATTGTACTATGGTTTGTCAATGTATATCATGGGAAAATGCGAATGAACAATTTACAACTTAACACTATTCTATTCTGATTATAGAAGAAAAATTTTTTCTTTGTATAATACACAGGTTATTTTAGTAAATACACTTTTTTTATTTCAAGGAGACAAACTCAACTAGAAGTAATTTATCTAAACTATCAATGAATTTTTCTGCACAGAGTTAACATTGTTAACTATTACTAATATTCAGCAGCAATATTTGTTGGTGCACATATTTATATATATATATATATATATATATATATATATATATATAAACGCAGCGATATTTTGCAATAACCTTGATTGTTAGTTTCGTTTTGTTTTGTTTTTCTTGCTAAATTTAATTTAACCTAGTGAATTTTAAATGAATGATTAACAATTAATCATTTTTAAACTATGAATTACTATGGATTACATTTTTCACCATCTACTATTACAATTATTGGATTATAAATTTACGATACAGTTATAGTTCATTTAATAAATCATTTCTTGAATAATTATTAATCATAACTTTGCTATCAAATATTCAGTCAAATTCCACGGTTTTTGATCATCTTAACATGAGAAATGTTTTAGCCTGTAAAATCACTTTTTTGAACTCCGCCTGTAGACCCTCTAGGGCTACTGCCGGTCCCAAGCCTGGGATAAATTAGGAGGGTTGGGATCGGGGTTGGCGACTCTATCCCGAAAAAAATCTAACTCGCTAAAAACCGTTAACAAGAACAAATATTTCAAACTATTTGAACTCTGCTCTGCGAGTTATGACTTTCTCATGATGAAAGTCGAGTTCGTTCGAAAGTCACGAGGCCGATGCTCCTTCTGACAACCACAGCCCTCCTACGGTGTGAGCTGCCGGGAAGTAACATCCGCACTCATACACCCATAAAAGCACTTGAGACCGAAGTGGTCAGAATCATAAAATCACTTTATTGACATTGGTGATTATTAGTTATCATACTTTGTATTTATTTGTCATAATAAAATGTTTTATGTGTACCTAGTTTTAAAAATCTTTTCAATCATTCAATTTATCAGAAACTTCATTGAATTTTTTTTCCGTAAAACAAAAATAAATAATGTAACAGAATAACATGAATTCATTTTATTTCACGGTTTCTCATCAGCTGTTTACAACTTGATCGTAATAATACTAATCATGACAAACTTATTATATCTCTTATCATAATATTGAAAACGATTCTATTTCTGCGCTCTTAGGTTTTATTCTAGATTATTCATTTATTCAACCTATAAACATATGAATATCTCTTCTAGTTCTTTTATACCTACTGAACTTCTCATTAATGCTCTTCACTGATAAGAAACTTTCCAGACAAAAATCTAATACAAAGCTGATTTTTAATGATGAATACTACTATTTTCGGGCAGAGTCTTGGAGGTTTGTGTTTTTACACATTTGAAATCATCAATCATTCATTGTTAGACCACCATTAGAAACCTGGAAGCACTGGACGGCCGTTTCGTCCTGGTATGGGACTCATCAGCAGTGCACATCCAAGACTCCTGCACCTCGCAGGGTTCGAACCCGGGACCTTCGGTATTGTGCGCGAACGCCTAACCATCGGACCACTGGGCCGGCACCCGACGGTATTAATGTCTAACTCTTATTGGTCTACTATGTTTAAAAATTGTAGGCAGCTAATTGGAAACCACAAAATAAAATGTAATCATAATATTCTACTATACAAAGTGCTCTTGTTTTATTCAAATTCATATTGTTTCATACGATGAATTGTTGCTTTCAATTGGCTTACTGAAGTAGTTTGATGATATTTAGTCATAATGCTGATGATGATGATGACCATACATTATATAAAATGCATCCAATCTGTGTTGGGACATGTGTTGCGTATGCCCAACCACCGACTGCCTCGTCGAGCCTTGTTTTGTAGTGTAGGAATAGGTTGGAAGAAAGCTAGGGGCGGCCAAACCAAGACATGGCAGAAATCCATGAAGTCATTGACTAGTGGACTGAGCCATGTCGGTAATTGTCGACTACCTGGTTGGGGTCCGCGAGATGATAATTATCGATGGTTAGAGACCTTGAATGACATGGCTCAAAATCGTTCGCAATGGCGCCGGTGCATTTATTATTTGTGTTCTCTCAAATCCTAATCTTCTGGATTCTTCAACCCCTCTACTTTCGACTCTCTAAACTTTTCTCACTGAATCATACTTCTTGAATAATATCTTCTAATCCTAACCTCTCCGATTACTTCTAATTCCCTTACTACCTCTTCTACTATTGGATTTGAATTGACGATTACTTCTCTGTGCTGATGTGGTATGGCAACATGAACTGATGTACTTACGTACAAAGTTCTACGTTGCATCTGACTGACTGACTGCATCCAATCTGTAAAGTGGTATTTTCTTTTCCAGAATAATTTCTTTAATTGAAGGGCATGTATTTGTTGGAAATTATATTCTGTTGATTCTTTAGAGTTTTCGGGAAATTGTTATGTTATTGCATTAATTACTTTTATTTTGGTAGGTGGCACATATATTGATGATTGTTTATACAATACACAATCTATACAAAAACTAATCAATCAACTAATATCTGACGAAACGAATTCGACTTTAATAAATGATACACCAAAACAATCGTCTCCTGATCAACCTAGTAAAAGCAAAACTACTCCTTCTGCTGACGCCACTACCAATGTTCAAGGAGTTCAATTATCAAATCGTAGTAAAATAGATTTTGAAGCTACTTTAGTAAGTAACTTACAAGTTAATTTACTCCAAATAGTTTAACTTTTTGTTAGTGGTGTCTTTTTACAAAATTATTCATTGATTTTTTTTCAACTTTTAAATAGTACAGTGAAATATATCTCTAATTTGTGTTAGTATGAAATATTAACATTTATACTAATGAATAATCAAAGTATTCAAATGTGAAAAAATACAAACATATGTGTAATATCATATTGGTCGATGAAAATTTCTCCTTTAAATATAAAATAAACGTCGCCATAGTGCATTTTTATCCAACTAAATGTATATTATTATGTAGTGGGTAAAAGGGAAGAATTTTTCTTATTTCCTGTGAAATTTTCTCAAACTTGCTAATACCAAATGAAAGATTTATTTCGTTATTTGAAGTTTTTGGGAAAAATGTAAGTGTGATAAATGCCAGGGTATAACAAAATCTATTTATTCCGCTTTGTAACAATTTATACATTTTATTTTAAACATTCATTTAACATTTTTCTTCATTTATTTCTGTGAACGGAAATATGTATGCAGCATACTTAATATCAAATTGTTCAGGGCTGTAGAGTTGAAGACTCTGAGTTCCTGATTATAATGTTGCATTTTCGAAATGTGTTCCATAGACTTGTCTTTGAAAACTACTAATACTCGTATGACATAATCTTTAGTATACAAATCTAAAACAAAACCATGATAAGAGTTGCAGATTCGAAAATTAATGCTAATTATTCATATGGGGTATGATAAAAGTTTCGAGTATTTTAGGTTAATACTGAAGGTCAATACGTTAGTGCCAATAGTTGTATTTTTGAGATTTATGAAATTTCGAACGTTGTCGCTTTGTAATTACATAATCTGTCATTGTTAATTCTACATTTGTAATTTATTTATTTGTTCAGGCAATAATTCATAATATTATTGACGTAAGGCTTCAATATATTTGTAATGTGTTCGTTAATCAGCCATAATTCACTCTTATCTAACTTTAGTGTTTACGTACAAAGTGTTTTATTTCAGGGATGATTTTTATGCTTTTAACATAATTCCCGTTTTGACCGCATACGTTTTCATAATTTTCATGATTTTCTTACAGTTTGTTATACACTTGGAATGTTGCATGGTGATTAGTCAGTTAGTCAGTCACAAAGTAGAACTTCGTACGTAAGTAAGTACATCAGTTCAGGTTGCCATACCGCATTAGCACAGAGACGCCACTGTCAGTTAAAATCCCATAGTGTTAGCGATAGTAGAAGCCTTAATGGTAATGAAGAAGATTAGAGTTCCAAGATATTATTCAAGAAGAATCTTTAAAATACTTGATTTGATTAGCATATCATGATTCATATGGTTTATATTTTTGTCCTGTAATAGCACATCAACAGCAACGTAGAACTTCGTACGTAAGTACATCAGTTCAACTTGCCATACCACATTAGCACAGAAATGTAATTGTCAATTCAGATCCCATAGTAGTAGAGGTAGTGAAAGTATTAGCAGTAGTCGGAGAGATTAGGATTCAAAGATATTATTCAAGAAATATAATCCAGTGAAACAAAGTTAAAAAGAGAAAGACAAAGGCGACAAGGAATTCAAAAGATTAGGATTGGAGAAAATACAACAAATGGATGCACCTGCACCATTGCAAATAGTTTTTAGCCATGTCATTCGAAGTCTCTAACTATTGATTACTATCGTCTCGCGGACCTCAACTAGATATTCTACACTTACCAGCATGAATCAGTCCACTTGTCAGTGACTTCATAGATTTATGCCATGTTTTGCTTTGGCCGCCCTTGGCTCTCTCCCAGCCTACACCTACATCACGAGACATTGCTCTTTAAGGCAGCCGGTGGTTGGACATACGTAATACATGTTTCAACAACCTCAACGGATGAAGCTTCAATGTTCAATCTGTTGGTTTGCCATCCTTACCGAGTACCCGTTTCTTAACTATAGCATTGCTTACTCGGTGGTCCAATGATATACGAGCAATGCTTCGAAGACACCTGTGGTCGAAAACCAGTAATCTACGATTATATTTTTTCTCTGACTGGCCATGTTTCGCATCCATATAGCAGGATGGAGCGAACTGCTGCACAGTAGACTCTTCCATTGGTAAGCAGATGGATATTTCGCCTTCTGTATCCGCGCTGAAATTCCTTCGGTCACCAGGCCATCGGCACTGACGAAACTCCCAAAATAAGTGAATTGGTCGGTATGCTCCACTACTTCACTCCCTAACACTAGTTCAGGTGCCGATGGCATGGTGATTAACTCTTACGACTCTATAAAGTAAGGCATTAAAGATATTCACATCGTCCTCATTACCTTTTGTTTTGTACATCAATAACAAGTTACAAGACTGCTATACTTGATTTACTTTAATTAATATTTCAGTTTACTAGTTCAGCATTATACAATGACTGTAATTTGCATTTGCGTGGAGCTTGGCGTCAGGTTATTTGTCAAACTCTTGAGACCAGTTCTCACCAGACAGCTTCTGCTCCAGAGTACCACGGCATACAAGTAGCTGCATTTACAGGTAACTTTATATCATGTGTATTGAGTCACAATAATGACGTTTTACCGAATGTTCAAAGACAATGGCCTTTCAGTTTTATTCAGCACCAAAATACGTATGATGTAAAATATGAAGCAGATAATATTTCATTTAGCAATCAACTCCAACCTGACAGTTTATTTATCCGTTAAATAACTTTACCAAACTGAATAAATTGGAAATCATGCATTCAATACTGGATTTTTATCAGTTTTTATTATATTATTTTCATCATATGCACATAATAATTTAAATCTGAATAAACACATCTCTAATTCTCATCTGTGTTTAACTTCGGTAGAAACTATGATTAAAATATTAGTCCTAACCTACCGACTTATTGCTTAGAGATATGACAAACGAGCACCTTTGTTTTCCAATGAAGCAATAATATGACAGATTGAGCTCAGATTTTTCGTGCTCAACTTGGAATTACATACTGTTTATGTGTGTGTGTTCATGATGCTAACCAACAGTCAAACCTAAAATAGATGTTCCACTATTTAAACATACAATCAAATTATTGGTAATGTAGTTGTTACATATACACGTCTACACATCAATTTGATATGTTTGAACGATTGCGAGTTTACCTTAGAAAACGAGAGCGAGGATAAAGTATCCGGCCACAAGACATGCTACTCTAATCCGAGTGTCCCGACCCCCATTGAGCGAAAGAAGAAGACTTGATATGAAGTAGAACCTGTACTCTACAAACATCCAGAAAGTACGAGGTCCGAGTCCAGAAGAGAATCAGGATCCCGGACTAGGGATCCGGGTCATAAAACGTTACAAATAATGCATATTTATACAGTTAGGTCGAATAAGAAACAACATTGAAGTATGTGACATTGATAATTAGGACGTCCAATGGGAAACATCATTTGAAGTGACATTGACAGTTAATACGACCAACAGGAGACAACATTGAAGTATGTGGCATTGATAATTAGGCCGACCATAATATTGACCAATAGGAATCGATCAATAGAATTTACACTTACAAAATAATTCTTCGTAGGATATTTGGTCAATATCCTAACAGTAGTATATTAAAGCGCACTTATTGTTTCAATATATATAATTTAGAATTGAACTGTATATTGTTTTCTACATTTTTTTTCGTAAAACAAGGCATTTTCAATGAGGTTATTAGTTCAATTCTCTTTGTCTCTAGTCTATGCCTTAGACATTAATTGGTAAACAATGTAGTGAAAAGTTAAATTAGTATATTTTAGGAGCAGGATATTCTATTAATATGACAATTCGAAAGATTTTCGATGAATTGTACTTGTATTTACCATTAACATATCATAAAAGCTTACTGTCAAATAGATTCAGTTTATTGACAAAATTAATAATCTTCTACAAGAATAGATAGCATCTTACAAATTCATTTATTATTGTTTTTATTATCTAATTAGACAAAAACTTATATTTTTTTAGGTCATGTTCACAAAATTAACTGTATCACACATTTGAATACTGAAAATTGCTTCATTACAACAAGTCGTGATAAAACAGTTCAATTATGGTCATTAACTGATACTTATAATTCCGGTCAACATTCTATATCAGTTAATCATAAAGTAAACAGTAATAATTTGAATAATTCCAATAAAAGTATACTGAATGATTCAAGTAATCATGTAGTTGCTCGTTTAATATATAGAGGGCATAGAAAATCTGTAATTGCTGCGCATTATCTGGAGCCGTATCGATTGGTAGCTTCTATTGATGGTTGCTTAATTTTTTGGGATCCATGGACAGGAAAAACTGTATGTGTTATTATTATTATTATTCATTTATAAATAAACTTCATATAACTTTTCAAAATCTTTTTTATTATTTTTATGTCCTAAAGATATATAAATGTATAATAATACTTTCTATTTACTTTTGTGATTTAGTCAAGTACATGAAAACACTATAGCTAGTTAGACTACATTTTCTAAGTAGACACCTCATTTCTATTTAGAACTATATTCTATCTATATACCATGTGAAAAAGAAGAGGTGTGTAGTAGTCGTTGTAAGCTAAATAGAATAAAATCAATAGTAATACTCCTTCTCAGCATAATTATCATCATCTTCATTGAAATAATATTAATATTGAGTGACCTTATTATACCTTAGTGTTTTGTTTTAAACAGTTGATTATCGATTGCTGTCTAGCAGTGGAATGATCAACTGGATTCATTTGCTCTCCAGTGTTGATGTTCATAACTGAACTTGAACCCTATGTCTATATAGCTTCAAACACATAGCGTGTTATTTGTTTAACCATTGAATGGTTAAAAGAAATATTGTTTGAATTGTAATTTAATGCCATTATATGTGTGCATTTTTTGCACTGATCATTATGTAGAAAAATTTTGATTATCGTCTTTGCTGTATCGTTACATAAAATAATAATATTTAGCACTGGCGTTCCTTTCAATAAAGTCTATTCATCACTTCATTTCTTTAAAAAGTTACAATTAGCTTTCTTTTGTGTAAATTTGTAGTGTAGACTCTAAAAAAAATGAAAACATATATTGAGTGCGATAACCATTTTCATTAGATGAATATATAAAATAACAATAATGGCTTTATTCACTAATATATATTCAGTAAAGCATGGGATTCTCAGCATGGAGATATTACAAAAAGTTCTCTTTACGAAACAATTAGTGGTCGACAATTGGAAGTAAGCTATTAAAAAATTGACAACTTACTAACATTTATTGTTTTCTCAACAGATCGCCATCCACCGAGATGTCTCGGATTGTACTTTTTATACTATATGAAGCCGATAGCTCGTAAATCGATACTATACGCGCCTGAATATATTGTGTAATTCATAGACATAATTGACGTGTTAAAACAAACACAAAAAAGTAACTTGTTGAAATATTTTGATGTTAAGAAACTGGTAGCTCATATATTGAAACAAGCAACCAGACTGCATATAGATGATGCTTTATGATATTCTTTTACCAGTAAAGACTTCAGAATATTTTAATATTTTTGTCTCTGAAATCATATCAAATTAGAAAAGATTATCTAACAGTTCTCTTAAAGTTTTATTTAATTAAATCGATTTTGTGTCCTTCGTGTGTGTTCATGTATAACTGTGTGAACAACAACAACTCAGTATTGTTTTGGAATAGTATTACTCTGTAAACTTAAATATCTAAAATGAATTGCTATATTTCGTCGTGTGTAGTAGATAAAAATAGTTTACATTTCTTTCATTAATAAATAATATGTCATTTAACGTAGAATTATTGTTGTACAAACAAGTGAATATTATATTTTTTGTACAGGTAGATCTTATTCTTTGGCACTGAAGGCGATAGGACACATTACTTTTAGTTTATGAGTATACTAGTAAAGTTAACTGTTTTCTTCTTAGTAATCTGTAACATTTTTCTATCTTTATCCCATTAGGTAAGATCCACTAATCGAATTGAAAATTCATGGCAAAATTTAACTGCAATGAATTGTAGTGCTATTCCTTATGGTTCTGTTATCTGTTCCGATCAATCAGGTTTTGTTCACTTGATAGATCCTCGTGCAATAAGTTCAGGACGAACAGGCAGTTTACGTTTTCATAGTGGTGCAAATTTAGCCTCATTTCTATTCAATAAAGAACGTTCAAAATTCGAAGTTCCTATCAATGAATCTATTCAACATGCAAGTTATGATACGAAATTATATTGTAAGTTTTAATATTAAACATTTACTGTTTCCTATGAAATCTAATTGTTTCACTATAATAGCACTAATACTAATGTTAAATATCACATACTGATTTATATATATAAAATAGTTTTATTCAAAAAGTATGATTTATCATATAATAATTAAACTTGACAAAAAAATAATAACATTTTCAAAAAAAAAACATCGAATTGATTGTATTCCATTTGGCTGCCTACAAACTAATAAGTTTTTGTGAATTCCAACTAATAACATCACATTGAATCCACGAATTTCATTGCAAATAGATGGTTTAAACCTGATGTTTGTATTTAAATAATCGCTGGTTTAAACATTCAAGCAGTTTCTTCAAAGAAATTCAATTAAAAGTTTGATATTCTTTTTTATTATTGCTGTAGCGAATGGTAATCACAATCTAATATGTTTCTTCTTTCTAAACCTACCTGATTGCTACATTCTGTATTGCAAACAACTTATTCTTCATTAATTGACATTTTGAATTCCTTTTTTTCTCAAACTCCATATTAATTTAACAGCTAAACAAAAACATTTAAACGAATTAGCTGGAGAGTAGGCAAAAAAAATCATTACGATTTCATCATACTCTGTAAATATTGTCGTTCACGCGACGTTAAAGAATTGTGTGAAATAATTGTATGATGAAATCTGAAATTGTTCAATATCACAGAACAACTAATGAGCAATAACTTGCTGATTGTAATTTTCTACAAAATACTAAGTATTGAAACTTACTCACTAACTAACTATTTAGTGTTTTTTTAAAATATTTTGTTTAAATTTACAAGTTGTTTACTAAAACAATAAATTATTGTTATTTTTATGCTTCCTGTGACAATTCACCCTATTACTTACACGCACAAGAAAAAATGATGATTTTTTAAATCAGCATAAAATCAACCGTGTTTTTTTTATCAACCTACGTTATTTATTTAAATCTCTTTTTTCAAATAATCATATTACAAATAATTCTCTATCAGTTTCAATGCTTTATTGCGCTGGACAGCTTATAGTGTTTGTTAGATTTAATCATAAAATAAAATAACGTATGAGTACACATTGAATTACTCGAATTGTAGATACAATTTCTATAAATTCTAGTGGCAGTACCTAGACATATGAACTGGAATTATTGAGTGGTGCTCTAACTTACTGTGTAAGAAATATAAGCTGAGTCTTTTTGCGGTGGAATTTTGTACTCTTAGCTGGATAGTTTGTTCGTGGAGCTCATTGTTTTTCTGAACGAACTACAAGTACAAGTGAAGTATTCGAATTTCTCCACATATGATTTGTAGCTTGTCCTATTGACCGTTATCATAATCGGTTGTTACTGAACTTTAACCTGTCGTTGTCTGGTAGTTTATTTTGATTGGATTCCTCTTTAATATGGTTCTTGATGCTTTGACGCTTCTAATCAGTCAATAAATTGGAATAATGTCGATATGTCTGCTGATTGACTGGAGTGCTTAGTGCTTTGACCATTAAGTCACTGTTTTCTTTAATTATCAAATGAAACGGTTTAACATGTTGTATGTTTTTAATGAATAGAATGTTTATAAATTTCGTTGGTATTTCTTTTCACCTGCTTATTCATAGTTTACGTTTATTTTGTCCATTGAAACAGCTCCTCCTTACTATCAGTCTCCAATGAATTCATCCATTACAAATATCATGGCGAACATAACTAATCAATTTCAACCGTATCATTTATCAATTAATTCATTAACCAATGTGAATAGTAGTTCATCCGTTTCATCTCTATTGACTTCGAGTACTAATATGGCTGGTTTGTTAAATTGTTTGACAACCAGTACAAATGGTTATTATTTATTGTGTGGTTTTACAACAGGAATAATTACTGCATTAGATCTACGAATGGGACAAGTTATTCACTTATGGAGAGAGTATCAGGATTCAGTAATTGATGTGAGTAATTCCTTTTTTAGTTTTTTTGTTTTGTAGTTCCGATCGTTTTAATAAAGTTGCCTCTGCAATAACAGCGAATTTTTCATAAAAAAAACGTTTACGTGTTGACTAAAAGTTTCCACATGTGTATTGAGTGGAACTAATAGCTTTTTCATATGTTCGATCAATTGATTTCACTCAACTGTAACTGGGTAATAGTATGGATGAGATAAATAAAAAAATTCTTGATATAAAATTTAAAACGAATTTTACAGAACAATAAATACAACTGTTGTTATAAATGTGACATAAAAATATCTCGTCACCATCTGAAATTGTTTATTAGCCTTGGTTGATTGACTAAAAGAACTTGTCAATATGTCTTCATTGATCATGAAATCTACGTTCTTGGAAGTCTCCTCTTATATAACAGATTTTATTACTCATATTCTGCAAAACAATTGCGTAGAAAATATGAGAAAATGATGTAAAATGCTAAATGATTATATATTCGCAGTATTCTTTTACGCATGATGAATTATCACCCACTTTGATTGACAACATGATGAGGTGAAACAGATTTACTGTTAGTGTTATGTTGTTATCAATAGTAAAATTTTCTCTGAATTCCTCTTAAATCTTTTATATCGTTTTAGTTAAGATACGTTTGTTCTATTGTTATAATATAATAAGTGTGGACTGAAGTCAAAGTACTAACGCATTTTGCTAAAATGAAGCAATTCATTAAGCGATTAATACAAGAATGCAAATTATGGTTCAGACTACGACAATCGTCTTGGATTGTACTGTACGTATACTGATTTCATCTATCGCCACACTGTCACCAGCATTTTTATGTAATGAATTAAGTTTATTGACAGATTTCAATTGCTTAACATGTAACTTAAATCCGAGAGAATGCATTTGTTAATGTTGGAGAAATATTTTCGATAGAACAGATTAAACACTTTACTGATTTTATTTATTCAGTCATGTAAGTTTGTATCAGAGAAAGTGAATCTATGACTAAACTTTTTCTTATGTTTAATAAATTGTATAATATATTTTGCATAGTAATATTCCCTTTATGTATCAATACTATTTATTATTCAAATTAGATTATACCACATAATTCAAATGGATTTATATCATGTAACGATCGAAGTATATCATTCATTAATCCAACTACTATGTTCACATCACATCAGAACTCATCTAGTAAATTGCAAAATGTAACTTATTCACCGAATAATAAATCAACAATTTCTTTTCGATCAAAATCTATTCGTATCCCATTCAAATTACAAAATATCACATGTTTAACTAAATATCAAGAAAATCCAATATTTTGTGCTAATCCATTACCTTCATCGTATCCACTATCGAGTACAAGTCGTTTTCCAATTTTTAATAGTGCAAGTTCAACCGCAGGTTCAACCAATATAACTACTAACACAAATAAATTGTCACTATCATCCGTAACCAATGAAGCATTAACTATGCCAACATCAATAACAACAACAACAACTGCTACAACAGTATCACAATCACAGTATCATAATAATAACACTGGAACAATATTAGCAACTTATTCACATTCACTCAATAATAATAATAATAATAATCATGATAATCTAAATGCAAACTTTGTAACTTTAGGTAGAATTTCTTCAAATTTTCTACGTGGTTCCATTAATGTCATAAGTTCATTATCAGAAAATAATTTATTATTAATAGGAAGTGATACTGGTGCATTAAGTTTATTATATTGAATTGTATAAATAAAAAATTTTTATTATTATTATTATCATAACAAAATAAGAAATCAATAATTTTTTTCAGAAAAAAAATTAAAATAAAATGATAATAAAGCATTTCATATTTGGTTTTGTTTCATGTGTTTCATCATTAACATATAACAAACACATTGATGAAGTACACGATAATGTGAAATTTCAACATAGTCTTAAGCAAAACAACAATAATACATAAATGTGCATTCACTCTCATTCAATCACATTCTTTCTGGAATTATTATAATTAGTCTTATCAACATTCCTTGATTGATAAAATTTAAAAAAATATTCAATCATTTAAACATAAAGTTATTTGTATACAATTATTTTACAAGACTATAATTTGAGATTTTCTATGAATTATACACTGACAGATCAATATGAATTATAATTGTGAAAATGTCGGTGTCCATTTTTTTCCACACTTCATTGGAAAATATGAATTTCTATGCTCATGTGTATTATTGATTATCCTGACTTTCTTCATTCTGCACTCTTGTGTATTTTTTTTTTGTTTTGTTACTGTAAATTTTGTAATTTCTCTTTTGTTTAATTTTCAATTGTTTTTCTTTTATTGTTTCTTGTCAAAATGTTGAATCTTTTTGTTTGTTTGTTTGTTTTTTATTTTTCTACTCATTTGTTTTTTTCAACTCCAAAGAAAACACTACCAAAATATAAATAATGACTTGATGTATTTACCTTTGTTTTGCCAAACAAACACCATGCTCCTTTTGACTTGCCATTGTTATACTCATGTGTGCTTATGTTTGTGTGATTCAAATCTGTAAATGATATTTATTTTTACAATTATATTTCATTGTGATTTAGTGTATATTTGGTTAGACAGTGATTTTGATTGGTAGAAGGGTTCTACAGAGACACACAGGGGATAAGAATCAATCAAGCGAGTTTATTATGTTGCAGTTATATAAATGGCAGCTACCCTATTTCTTAAATATTCAATGTTGATAATGAAAATAATAATATTATTATTATTTCTTTAATTATTTGACATAATTTGAGCATATAATACATCTGTGTGTATAGCAACATTAGGCAACAATTTTTTTTTCAATGAATTATTTTATACATCTTTCTTCTACTTCAGAATAATCATTTTGGACAAATTTTTCTGATATGTTAATAATTTGAATAAAATGAAAATTAAAAAGATTCTTGTACGTTTTTATGTGTTTTCCCTTTCATAGTTTTTCCATGTCTGTATGTATATTACAATGACTAACTTTTTTCTCAAATATCTCCTAATGTTTCCGTTTGTCAAGCGTGCTTATGTTATGGATGCGTTCATAAAAGGATTTTGGAAGTATTTTAATGAAAATAGATGATCATCTCCTATAGTCTGATATCAGATCTGTGCAGTAATATAAAAAATAGTTATTGACCAACTACATTATTTATGCGTTATTTGTTTTTCCGCTTTATATCTAGTAATTTGAATGTAGAATCTTCTTAAGTGACAAAAAGCAATGCGAGTGAATATATATCTAAATGTTTCTCTAGACTATATACATCGTTACTTAACTTTGATGTTAACTGGAGTATAAGCAGCTGTTACTGAATGATGAAAAAAAAATAGGGTTTCAGTTTTTACAACACAAACTGTATGGATTGATTTTAAATATATTTGGATCTTATCATATTTCTTAATTTCGATTTATTCAATTAAAATTTCTTCTGTATCGCATAAATCACGTTGTTACAAATCAATTTATTATCTCAAAATTATCTGGGAAGTGAATTGTTTACAGATATCGTCGCCTTACTACTGGACAATTATGCTAATTAAACAATAGACGAGTAATTATATACTTCTATTTTAATTCAACTCATTAGAAAAAATTCATGTTTACACAATGTTCAATTATGAAAATCCGAATAAGTGTAGTGGTGATTAAATGTATATTTTCTGTGAACATAGGGAAATAAAATTGCAAGCTTTTTTTATCGGAGGTGAATGCACTTACTTGAAATTAAATTTTACGATGCTGTGCATGAAAGTTGCTAAATCTACTGGATTTAATCAAAATAATTCTATACTTTACACAAGTTTTTACATCTTGTTTATATAATATCTATATATATAAATTACCGACATTGTTGTTTAAACTGTAAGATATTCTGTTTAGATGATTAATGAAACCATGTTTACTTCAAGTTAAACTCCTTATTCTGAGAGAATTATTGTTCATATACCATAGTATGATAATTTTAAAACATTAATATGATGGTTAGAATTGATTAACTCTGATTTATATCAGAATATAATCCAAACATAAATTCATATCTATAACTTGTTTCGATATTTTGTTTCAATATTTTATTACTATTAAACTTTTAAAGTTACATGTAAATTACTGCTTTGATTGATGTTTATTTTTCACAGCTATTGCAGAATGAATTGTTTTTTTGCTTTCTGTCTTTAAAAGTAGTTTATTCCTTTTCTTTTTCCTCTTTATAATATACAAGAGCTAATAATAATAACAATAATATTATGCCAAAGTCATCTGCTAAAAGTGATAACTCCAAAGGTGCCAAGTCGAGTGGGAAAAATTCAACTAGTTCCAACAATAAAACTGATAATGCATCATCAACTGGCTCTGGTAAACAGTCCAAGTTGGCTAATGCAGTGAAGGTAATTCTATGATATATATATATACAAATTGCTTTTTTGTTGCTCGTATCTATTTATTGTAAGATCATCAAAACATATTGTGTTTACTTCGAATTTGATCACTTTATTCGTATGTTTGTATAGTTGTAGGATAATTTCTTTATTTGATCGGTAATATCTTAGAATATTTGTCTTTTAATTTATAGTCTATGAAATGTTAACCGTTGATGTTGTCTGTCGCCAACTGATCATTGATAAACCCACTTTAATTTACTCAATATGATGGGTTATGTTTTATACATGAAAAAAAATGCATTTGCTTGTTTGATTGTGATTTACAGTGATTATTGTCATTTGTAATGATGAATCTTTGATTTCAAAAAGATTCTTAAGTTACTGAGAAATTAAAATGTAACAAATCTTAACAGTTTTATATTCATAAGTTTATAGAAGGCTTGATCATGAGAATATTGAATCGTTGAAAAATAATGTGATCTCACTTTTATCTTGATCTAGTAATCTTGAATTCAGTTCGAAAATGATAGGGTAGTGTAAATTATGCCTTATTATGTACACTTGATACATTCTTCCCTAATTTACTGTTTCTTTTTTTAAGGTACGTCATATATTATGTGAGAAACAAGGTAAATGTTTAGAAGCTTTAGAACAACTTAAAAATGGTAAACGTTTCAATCAAGTCGCAGAAATGTACAGTGAAGATAAAGCTCGTTCAGGCGGTGATCTTGGATGGATGTCCCGTGGATCAATGGTTGGCGCATTTCAAGTTAGTAATAATATAATTTATTTGAGATTGTACACTAATTTTGCAATAGCTTTTATATTCTATCTCTCATGATAACATTATAATTTCTTTAATATTCTCTAATTATTGTATAAATCTCATAAATATGTGTAGTTTTAAGCTTAATACCTTTGAAACTGATCATTTCAACGTGAACTACACTGATACAAAAATTATATAAATGTTCTTTCAAGACTTTTTTATTGGTTATTGTCTAAACAGAAAGTTACAGCTTTCAAGTTTATTCCATGCTTCTTCTGTATTATGAACAGCTGCGTACCCATCAAAATAGGCCATCCTGATATTTCTTTTCACATTTTCATTATCAACTCTGAAATTGCATGCCTGAGAGTATTGTCAATGAAAGTAAATCATGTGCAGTGAACTTGATGTTCAGTAAACTGATTTAATGTATTGAATTTATCACAATATACAACTATTTTGACGTAGTGTTTTCATTCTCAGAGTACCTAAAAACCATTTATATCATTTACTATTTTTCTCAATCTCAGTCATCTTGACCCACCACTTATCTCTTTATCCAAACCTATTTTCATTCTAACGGGTGTATTTCTATTGTTTCATAACACCTTTTAGAAAACTTATAACCATACTTTCAAGAATATTATATAAACGTATTTGCACACAAATACCTATCGACCTAATTATTCATCTATCATAGCTTTAATAAATCATCAAAGCTATGTATTGTTTGAATTCATTAGTATTGAAACATTTATGAGGAATTGTCAATGTTCCATGTAGAGCAAAATCAAAACTAGTTAGAATCTATTATGTATCATCTGAATTTATCGTTGTCTGACTTATATCCAATCTTAGAAACCATCATATTATTTACTTTTTTCTTAACTTATCAGTCGATCAGATGAATACATACACTAATTTAAGAGCTTCAAAAATTTATCGACATTGATAGAATATTTTATAAAGAAAATATTTTCTTTTTTTGTTTTTTAATTCACAACTACGTTTTAGCAAACTTTTAACTTGCACTTTGTACATTTTTTTTTTCATGAGAAATAATCGGAATTCTTCTTTAAGTACAACTCGCTGTAATTATAGCGGACATGAATAATTGCTAATAAGGATGTATACTTTGTTGTTAGTTTAATTTGTATATTGTTGACTATGTGAAATAATGATAATGTTAAACAAACATTTTATCAAATATTACAAAAATTATCACCAGACCTTGTTTCTGTTGTTCTTCAACAAAAACCATATAATTGTTATCTTAAAAAATATGGTAATAAATTTGTTCTTTTTTCAAAAAAAACCAACAAGATTATATGCATTTGTGTCACTCGGTATGATAATCATTTCGATTCCCTACACCTGTTATCCCCTCCTTCCAAAATAACATCGGCCGCCGACCAGCATTCTCCAACCCACTCTGTCCTATGGCCTTCATTTCTAGTTACAGCCGATTGCTGTTGATCATTTTCATCATCTGTATCTAATTCTCGGCGTTATGTGTTCTTTGGTCTTCCTCATTTCCTCTGACCTTGAGAATTGCAAGTGAGGGCTTGTCTCAACGCAGTTGGTTGCTTTTCTCAATGTGTGGCCTATCCACCTCCTGCAATTCCTGAATCCTCCCTCTGCTGCAATCTAGTTTGTTCAATCCCACAGTAGGTTGTTGCTGATAGTGTCTGGCGAACAGATCGTGAGTATCTTGCGTAGACAAGTGTTAATAAATACTTGTATCTTCCGGATGACGAGCTTCGTGGTTCTCCAAGTTTCAGTCCCGTGCAGTAGAACTGTGTTGACATCTGTATTGAAAACTGTGAGTTTGGTGTTGGTTGGTGGGTATTTTGAGTTCCATATGTCCTTCGATTGTGTGAATGCTGCAGTTGCTTTGCCAATGCGTGCCTTCACATCTACATCAGATCCTTCGTGCTAATCACTTATGTTGGCCAGATATGTAAAGGTTTCTACATCTTCCAAAGCTTCACCGTCAAATGTGATTTGGTTGGTGAGTGTTGTGTTGTATCGGAGGATCTTGATTTTGCACTTGTGTTAGTTGAGACGTGCCGCTAAGTCGGCTGCTGCTACTGTAGTCGTCTTCATCTGCATTTGTTGTTGCGTGTAATGTAGAAGAGCTGTGTAATCTACAAAGTCTACATGATCATCACCTGGACGAGTCTGTGAGCTGTCCTCTGTGCACGATTTTGCAGTTTGTCCCATCATAAGGATTTTGTATTATGTTGACTATCTTCTCAAACACTCCATATTGTCGAAGAATCCTCCATAGTGTTATCCTGTGCACGCTGTCGAATGCTTTCTCGTAGTCGATGAAGTTCATGTAGAGTGGTGAATCGCATTCAATTGATTGTTCCACAATGATGCGTAATGTAGCGACTTGGTGGGTACACGATCGATCCTGATGAAATGCAATCTGTTGATCTGGAAGTTGTGCGTCCATGAAGTCGTTCATTCTGTTTGAGACAACACTCTGTTAAAGACTTTTCATGGTACTGAGAGAAGAGTGATGCCTGTATAGTTCTCACACTTGCTAAGATCTCTTTTCTTTCGTGTGGTGATCGTGTTGTCCTTCTTTCCAGTTTGCGGTACTTGTTCTTCATGATTAAATCTTGCTGAAGAGAATGTGGGGTATCTTTTCATTTGCTACTGCATCTGCTTTCAGCGCCCTAGTTGGAATGTTTTCTGGTCCTGATTCCTAATAACTTGCATGAAACTGGAATAATCTTTAATAAACCGTCTAACTCTCCTATGATCATCTATTCGCTAGTGATTATCTGGAGGTGAATTTTGAAAATGCTAGAGAAAACCTATATCTGTTTAGTGTTCATACAAGTTCATATGTGGTATAGTGATCTACAGATAAATGTAGACAATTACTGCACTATTGTTTATTGTTCTATAGATTAAAATTGTTTCTCAAATGATATCAATCAGTTGTGAAAAAAAATCTTCAGCATTCAACTGATTCTCACAAACTGCTCGTATATATTAGTGTTGTTCATTGCTCTCATGTTAATTACATTCTCTTATTGATTAGATATTTTTTTATTTTATCACGAAATAAAGTTTTATCAACGTCTGATCTTATTATTTGTATTAAATTTTTTTTTCCCAAAACATTTTTATAGGATGCAGCTTTTAATTTGCCTATATCAACTTTGGAAAATCCTAAATATACTGATCCACCAGTTAAAACACAATATGGATATCATATTATTATGGTTGAAGGAAAACGATAAAACAGAAGAAAATGAATCGCTTACTGTTATTGTATAATCAAGATTCACTATTTTCTATAATACACCAGTATGTATTGTATTGTAGTAGACAACAATTTTTTTTTAATATTTTAAATGTGAATAACACTTTTTGTCTATAGTTTGCATGACATGAAGCATAATAAATATATTGTTATGTGTTCAGTTATAGTAATAATAATGACAATTTTTTTGTATGAGAAAACGATTTATGTAATTAGTTTTCAAAATTTAAGAACATAAAGTGTCTCTGTAAACATGTTTCTGTCATTTGTTAATAAAACAAAAAACTATTAACGTTGATTCAAACAAAAGCACTTTGCAAGCGTATTTCCCTAAAATGATAAAGTTTTCTATTCCACAGTATGTAATGAACCACGATCACACATTGTCGGACTTAAAACCTGAGATCATTTACGAGATTGAACTGAATATGTCAAAAGGTGCATGCAAAAACGTTCCCAACGAGCAATGTAGAATTAAATTTATGCCTACAAAAGTAGTTAAGGGTAGAGTTTTATCGATGTTTCTCTATGTACCTTCATGGACTAGGTATTTTTTTGTTGTATGTTGGCCTCTTCTGCATTGCGTCACATATTAACTTTTCCCTCATTTTCTACATTCCAATATACTGCCTCAGCAATCAATTTCGTTATTCATTTTATTATTATCAATATATTACCTTAATTAATCAGTTCTTGTTCACTTCGACTGATGCTCTACCTGCCTATTCATAAATTCACATGTAAATCTCATACTCTCGTTTCTTTGACTCCTACTCTCTCTTATATTCCGTAAATTATAGTCCCTCAGATGACTATTATCAGTAATTTAGAGTTATGGAGATTGTTGTTTATTACTGAAATCATGAATCAATCATTGTTAGATCATCATTAGAAACCTAGAAGCACTTACTGGCCGTTTCGTCAGCAGTGCGCATCCACGACTCCATCTACTTGCAGGATTTGAACCCAGGACCTTTCGTCGTATGTGCAGACGTCTAAATTCTGGCCCACTGAGCCAGAACTCAACGGTGTTAATGTCTAATTCTGACCAATCGAGGAATTTCGCGCGGCCTAACCCATTTGTTTTCGGTAGTCACTGCCTGTAGCCGACTGAGTGGAACCTATTTTTTTCCAATTACCTGATAATTTTCACTTAAAATTCATATGAACATGTTCTTTACATAAATATAATTGGCCAAATTTTGGATATGAATTCGACGAAAAGAACGAATTTTTCACTGAAATAATTAAAATGTTACATTTATTCTAATGATAGTTCACTGGAGTTATAATCTGTTGCAATTTCTGAGAACTAAACTGAATGGTATGTTTTAGTGACATTAGAATTTTCTAGCCTAATTACATGATAAGAATGTCGCTAATCAAGTACTGCTGAGTGGATTGCTAGGATGATGTAGCCTTAAGTTACAAGTTTTAATCAAGTTAGCTAATAGAGATTGGTCAAATGCAACTCTTAATATCAATCGTAGGAAAACTCAAACCTTTATAATAAATAATCGTTTCATTAGTCTTGATAAACACTACCATTCATAATACCATTGGTAAAGATCGTAAGTCGCTGGCAGTGGGCTACAGAATGCGGATTTTGCCTTATTCGGGACTCATCACCTGGAGATACCTGCATCCCAGAATTGATGTTCACAACATGACTGTACCTTGCGTTTCAATCGTGTTATCCACTGCTGGACACTGTACAATTTTAATTAAAACTTCTGTATAGATAGCAATATCGATACAATCTTCACTGAAAGCAAATACCAAGATAAACTGGTCAACTGGAGTCTTTAACATGAACAACAGAAGATACAAACGCTTACAGATGATGCTTTAATGTTTTACTTCGCAGAACATTCGAGAGATAGTAGTTCAATCTACTCCTATTGTCATGCTTTTTCTAATTAAACGTCATTGTGGAATTCATTCTGTCCAACTCATAATTTACTTTTTGCAATTTTCTAATAAAAATTGTACTTCTGTTGGATTAGTCAGCCAACATACTGCAGATTTTTAATACATTTAGTGCCATTTATCGCCCGACCTTAATGTCCCAAAGCAGTCAAATCCAAAACAACATTAGGGATTACCTACTGCGTGTTCATTAAACATGCTACAGTCCACTTGTACAGTCTCCGTAGATCTGGTAGCTAATTTAACATCTCTATATATAACTAATAAACAACATGCTTCCAATCTTCCTTAGGTTTTTTTTTGAAGCTAAAGCCATTGCTCTCCTGAAACCTGTTGCCAGGGAAACAGTACTTAATCTTTCTTGTCCTTCTCAATTTACTTTTTCTGAGCAAATCGTCTTGCAATATCTGTAGACTCATTACTCAGCTAACTGACATTGAGATAATTCGTTTCTAGTGAGGACAAAAAACTAATGTCCGGCACTTGAACCGGGTTAGTGTGTACCAAGAATCCAGCTTGGATAGTTGGGAAACCTTGGTCTCAAACCACTAATCAACATGGGCTCGAAGATCCTGAGTAAAAAAATGCTGAGTGAACCTACTCTTGGTCACCTGCTCCCATACAACTGCATCTCCGAACGTTGCTACACTGCCTTGTAGATCAGATCGCTGCATCGAAGCCTAATTCAGTGGCTGCTTAAGAAAACCGCCTACTTTAGTTTAAGAACCCGGACAGCATTCCAATACAAACTAAATTCAATTTATGTAGCGCATACATATTTTGTTGCTTCACTGTACTAATTTTTGTGTTAAGATAGATAAATCTATGGATTACAGGACACGAAAATCTCCTGATATACCGTGGGATGTGAGAAAATATCTTATCATACCACTAACGATTTTAAATGGCATAATGTAAACGTACATTTGTAGAATCTCTGCAAGGGAATTTCTCTACTTCGTCTGAATAGTAGCATCCATAAAACCTATTCTAGCATTAGATGCATCATCTCTGTTGTAACTCAAGTTTGCTTTTGCTCATCAATAAATTTTTACTATCTCAAACTACCTCGGCTTGCAATATTCCAGCATCCCGGTGAGATGGTAGTATAAACATTCTAATATAACCATTAAATTCTAACTTTTGCATCGGTTTTAGTACACGAAATATTTAAATAGCATTCAAAAAGATAGCACGTGGTAGTAAGAAAAGACAAGAATTAATGGATAGAAAAATATTTGCGTCGCGTAACAGTTCTCATATCACCGAATATCGGAAATCGAGACCATTAAAAAACTGGACGACGATGATACAACACAGAAATTCGTACATATGTACATCAGTTCATGTTGCCATACCACATTAGCACAGAGACGCAATCGTCAATTCAAATCCCATAGTGGTAGAATTAGTAAAAGAATTAATGCTGATGGAGAAGATTAGGATTTGAAGATAATATTCAAGAAGTATAATTCAGTGAGATAAGATTAGAAAGACAAAGGTAGAGGTGCTGACAAATCCAGATGATTACGATTTGAGAGAGCACAACGAATGGATGCACTTGCGCCATTGCAAACGAATTTGAGCCATGTCGTTCAAGGTCTCTAACCATTGGTGACTTTCGTCTCGCGGACCCCAAACAGGTAGTCTACATCTACCAACATGACTCAGTCCACTTGTCAGTGACTTCATGGATTTCTGCCATGTTTTGGTCTGGCCGCCCCTAGCTTTCTTCTTCTTCCACCGGATGGAAATCCATGAGGAAAGGTGTCGTGTGACATTTTGAGTGTCAATCTTTTCTAACCCCTTCCTTCCTTGTGAGAAGGCAGCATCGCTGCAAGTGCTGGTTTTCAGAGGGAAACACCTTACTGCTGTCACCGCCCCAAGCTTTCTTCCAACCTACTCCTACACCACAAAACATAGCTGGTCGAGGCATTCGTAACACATGCCCCAACCACCTCAACTGATGAAGTTTCACTACTTCATCCATTGATTTGCAATCCTTACCTAGTACAGCATTGCTTACTCGATCGTCTTAGGATACACGAGCAATGCTTCGGATACACCTATGATCGAAGACTAGTAACCTACGAATATCTTCTACTCTGACTGGCCATCTTTCGCATCCATATAGGAGAACGGAGCGAACTGCTGCGCAGTACACTCGTCCTTTGGTTAGCAAGCGGATATCTCGCCTACGCCATAAGTGACGCAAGTCGGCAAAAGCCAGCCTTCTGTATCCATGCTGAGATTTCTTCAGTCACCAGGCCATCAGCACTGATGAAACTCCCCAGGTACGTGAAGTGGCCGACACGCTCAACTTCACTCCGTATCACTAGTTTAGGTGCCGACGCATTCCAATCTTGAAGCAACAGTTTACATTTCGAGGAGGAATTTCGTTCGGGAATTCATCCTCTACGAATTGTTCTATTGACAGTAAAAGCTAATGGATTAGTCCAGTATATCAAGTAGCTTAGTTGATGGCTGTGACGTAGATGTCAATCTTCTATATTGGTTTTTGCAAACAAAATTTACCAGTTATCAGCTTGACTAATTCGAAACATTTCACTCTAGAGCGAAGTCAAGTAATTTATGGAAAACAAATACTGGTTATTGGACAAGTTCATTTAGGTTATAAAAAAATATATTTTGTGGTGGTGTTTTGTTCTCTGAGCTGGTTGTTTTGGTTGTGGAGCTTTCATTGTTCTTCTGAACAACATCATCAGCACAAACTTCAGTAAGAAGAGAAGCATTCGAATTTCTCCACGTTCGACCTGTAGCTTGTTCTGCTAACCTCAATCTTGATTGGTTGTTGTTGACTTTTGACCTGTGGTTGTTTGCAACTTTGTTTTGATTGCATCCCCCTTTTGATCTGTTTCTTGATCCTGTGTCACCTATGATTTTTCTGATTAGTTGATAAATTGAGTCAATGTCGATGTGTTTGTTGATTGCTGATTGGCCTGAGTGCCAAGCTTCTAAAAATTCTCTAGTGTTCTTTGTCCTCCCCCTACCTAGTATTTCCACATTGTTCCAATCAAATGTGTGTCCATAATTGTCGGTATGTATTGATAGAAGCGAAGCTTTGTCGTGGCGTTTGATTGCTAATTGATGTTCACGTAAACGGAGCTGAAGAGGTCGTCCACTTTGTCCTATGTAGTGTTTTTCACAGTTTGAGCAATTTATTTTGTAGATAATATTTGGTTTTTCTTCCTTTGTCATTTTGTCCTTTGGTCTACATAGGATTGTGTGCTACACCTATTCCAAATGGTTTCAGTAGTCGTGCTGTATGCTCCGATATGTCTTTGATGTATGGTAGGATGATGCGTTTATTTGTTTGTGCTTGATTTCGCTTCTGATGATGGTTTCGGTCAAAAGTCAACAACAACCAATCAAGATTGAGGTTAGCAGAACAAGCTACAGGTCGAACGTGGAGAAATTCGAATGCTTCTCTTCTTACTGAAGTTTGTGCTGATGATGTTGTTCAGAAGAACCATGAAAGCTCCACAACCAAAACAACCAGCTCAGAGAATAAAAGACCACCACAATCATCCACCTGAGCTACAAGTTTTCTCCACCATCTCAAAACATATTTTACTTTACAGCAATGATTGAGTATCGTTTAAAGCAGTTCTCCCCAGTTTATCACACATTGAAATTCAGAAAGAAAAATGAGAAGCGAAATTAACCACAGTCGGAGGTTGTATGTATGATAATGGTTTTCGTCAAAAGTTCACCAGTGTGAAGAGATTGGAAAGAAGGATTGTAGTGTACTTGGATCTAGAGAAAGCCTGTCCTTAACTGTGATTTTGTAGGTCAGCGAGTAATTGAAAAGGTAGAGCTCAGATCACGGGATTGACCGGTTTAATATTAAACAGGTCCCACATCCAGACGTTCTAAAGTGGCCAGTGGAGAAAGATAGTTGCATCCTTTTATTCATTCCGTTTGTATATAAGGTCTTGAAGATGCTAATAAAATTATCAGACATCCTCTTTTTAACAGAAAATACAACGCAGAACTTCGTACATAAGTACATCAGTTCAGGTTGCCATACCACGTCAGCACAGAGACGCAACTGCCAGTTCAAAACAAGAGTGATAGCGATAGTAGAATTATTAGCAGCAATGGAAAAGATTAGGGAGCAAAGATATGATTCGAAAAGTATAATTCAGTGAGATAAATTTAGAAGGAGAAAGATAGAGATTATGAGTAATTCAGAAGGTTAGAATTAGAAAGCACACAAAGAGTGGATGCACCTGCGCCATTGCAAACACAGAGAGCAATCTGGTCCAATAAATCAAATGAGACTGATATGTTGTCTAGGTCTGATGGAGGGTGAGTATATGATTAATATATCTTCGACTAGAAAGAAAATCAGCCTGCTCCTCACAAGTTAGTGTATAATAATTTTCAGAGTGAAAGATTTACATTTTATTGATTGAGTTGATAGAATTGATTTTTCTGGTTAGCGTTTTTTTAGCGAGTTACTTTTCTACGGGATGGGGTCGCCCAACCCGCCTCCTTTATTCGGGCTTGGGACCGGCAGTAGCCCGAGGGGCTTCAGGCGTCAAAACCTCACTCGGAACCCTCAAGGACAAAGGAAAAGAGGAAGACCAAAGAACACATTACCCCGAGTAATGGAGACAGACATGAGAAGAATGAACAGAAAGTGGATAGAACTGGAAAGGGAAACCCAGGATAGAGTAGATTGGAGAATACTGGTCGGCGGCCTATGCTCCGGCGTAAGTAAGTAATTGAGTTGATTAGAAACTTGAAAATTTCCAAGTTACTCGTACCATAGTTCAGGATCTTAACCTAATAATGGTCAAGTGAAATTACAATAGTATGGAAAACTGAATCATAACACTGATTCTACAATTTTTCTTAAGATGAAATTTTCGATGACCCTTAAGGCGTCCATGAACACTAGGATAACGTGCTGCACAACCTCCAATAAGTCTAAAATTAAATCGAATTTTTCAAAATAAACACTGAATTCTTATTTAAATGAAAATATACACAATGAGTTCAATAAATAGATTAAATTCTAAGATAAACGGTATGATAAACCACTTAAGTGTACATAAAAGGACAGTAGATTATAGATGAATTAGTAATAGATATATACCTCGAAAAAGCCTAAACAAACATTGCATGAATATAAATAGATAAAGAAAACTAAGAATGCTGTATTCTTTATCCGAAGGAGTGGTAAATGAGAAATATACAACTGGTGGATAATAATAACCACACAAAGAAACAATGAGAAAAAAAAAGTTATAGACAATACAGAATTTAATCCACAGAATGAAAAAAAATAACCTTGTTTGTTTTCATCAATGATTACATGTGATAATACTAGTTAAAATTAACAAGAAAATGAATTCAGCAATACAAACGTAATAATAGTGTAACTAGATTCAATAATCTGATAATCAATGTGGCATTAAAGTGTTAATAAAGAATAATGTCATTATATTTTTTGAACAATTGAAAGAAGAGGATTTCAGTAAAATATATTCAAACACAGAAATGTTAAGGGAGATACACGAGGATGATTTCACAGTGATGCTACTTTTATTAACAGTTGTACGGTACAATAAAACCTAGATGAAAGTGTGTATATCCATGATGGAATGGGAAGTTCTCTTATTTATTTTTTCTAAATTATATTTTAGGTAATCTGTTCACAATGATATAAACTGTGAAATTGTGATTGAAAACAACTTAAAGTATTACTAGACGTAGTTGATCTTGATCAAGACATTTAGAATTAATATTAGAATAATGAATTGGATTAGGATGTACAGGTAATTTTGTCATATCAATGAATGATTGTGTTGGACCTAGAGATTCTGAAGGTATAGCCATATGTGACGTTGTCTGACCATTGCCATTAAGACTACTCTCTTTAGTTCTACAATCAAGAGATAAAGCAATCTGCTCACCATGCTCACCCCAATTAACCGATATATCAGCACTTCTTTCAAGGACAGATCTATCACAGCTGACTACAGATGTAGTAATTACTGGCCATACAGGATGGATAGGCGAGAAGTCAGACTGACATACAAAATGATTTTCTGGTTTGTTTTCACATGGAATTTGTTCAATTACTGCTGGTAAACAATTTGTTTCAAGTGACTGTACAAGAGAATTTTTATTCACCTCACACAGTTTTCTTTCCGATGATGAACTCGAAGTAAATTGGGACTCTATATTTGGTGAATTTACACTAGCTTCCGAAACTAATAGATCTGGTTTAGGGATTTGAACGCAGGAATCGGCTGAAGGATACGTCTTAGGTGGAGAATTCGAGATGTCTTTGGTCATCAACGTTTGTTGCGAATCACCAACAGTTGTTATATTTTCTTCAATAGGAGCTTTATATTGGCTACAACTTTTTACAGGAGTTGATGTTCGACCTTCGTGACTGTCATAAGATAAAGGCTCACATTCTCCATTCATACAAGAATTATTAACAAAATGACAATCATTTTCGGCAAGTTGAAAGGGTGATATTGTAGTGTTTACATTTTCTCCGAAAGAAGTTATTGAAATCGAACATACTTTAGAGGGTACACTTTCCTCCAACGAATTTATAGGTTCAAATGCATTAACAATTTTAGGAACATCTTCCTTATGAGATGTGGATGTATCGCAACACTGATCATTTGAAAGGTTCAAGTTATTTTGTTCAGTAACACTTTTTATTGTTAATGTTGCTGGTGTTGTGAAATTCTGTCCGTAAGATTTGGGGCGATTAGCAAGCTGAGAAGACAGAATACACTGATTTCCAAATACAGGATATTTAGTAACACGTTTTAGTTTGTAATCGTACAAACCACGGCAGAAGAAAACACTTTGACTACTGACACTGTTAAAACATTCATCACACTCAGACAGAAACTGCTAGAAAAGGAAAGAAAATTATAAAAATGGTAAACTAGGCGCAAATATAAATAAAGCATCAATAAAAATGAGATTTCATAGAGGAACTAGATATCAAACACTCATCTGTTTGGGAAAATTTTTACCACAAATTAATATCAGCTTCAGAACATAAGACTAAAAACTTCTAGATGATTTTTTCTGATAAATTTAGGATTCCTTAGTAATTTTCACTAAAGTCCCGCACAGAAACGAACCCCGTATAATTTATGTTTGTAACTAGATTTGTTTCAGAACAACTAAAAAATTGATGATGCTTAGGACACAAAATCGCAAGTGTCTCAGTGTAATTTGTTAACTGTATACAATGATGTATGAGTTTCGCACTCAAAGTATGGAAGCTAACAACATTGTACGATTGTCCAAATCTTAATAAAAAGAGACTCAAATGTATAAACCCGGTGCAAAATCAAAACACTTAGATTTACAAAGCATATTTTGATAAAACAGTTCAGAAATAACAAACTAATTAATTTATTTTACTAATTTAATGGTTTGATTACTACAGATTTTCATCAAAATTAATGATAACCACACATTCCAAATGAAGTCATAATTTTTTCTATGATACTGAGGTATGAAAGATTATTTAGGGTTGAACATACACTTCTAATGCCATTATTTCTAATCTAATTGCTCAGAATATTAGTAAAAAAATTCTGTAATCAGATTTCAGTCATTTCATAGGAAAGCTGATGATACCAATCCGCTTATCAGAAAAACAAATAAAGCTGGGTACCAATTCGAGTAATGTTATCATAAAGCCATCCATTCAAAGCAAGCACAACAGTTATCTATATCAGTCAACCAGCTACAACGTAGAACTTTGTACGTACGTACATCATTTCAAGGTGCCACACCACATTACCACGGACGGAACAGCCAACTCAAATCTAGTAGTGGCAGAGGAAGTAGAAGTATATGGGGTAATGGAGAATATTAGGGTTCGAAGATATGATTCGAGGAGTACAGTCAAGTGAAGGAAATTGAAAAGAGCAAAAACGGTGATGAGAAATTTAGATTACGATTTGAGGGAAAGCAAAGAATGGGTGCATCTGCGCCATTTCAAATGATTTTGAGTCATGTCATTTAAGGTCTCTACGCGTTGGTTACTATTGTCTCGAGTACCCGAACCAGGTTCAGTTGTTAATGAATTCGTGGATTTTTGCCATGTTTTGGTAAGGCCACCACTGGCTTTCTTCCGGTTTACCCCTACATCAGACAACATCCCTTGTCGAGGCAGTCAGTGGTTGGGCATTCGCAATACATGTTCCAACCACCTCCACTCATGAAGATTCACCACTTCATCTACTTACTGATCTGCCATCCTTACCTAGTACCCTTTTCCGCACACCATCATTGCTTTCTCAGTGGTTCCAGTTTATACGAGTGATGCTTTGAAGATACCTATGATTGAATACTAGTAACCTATGAACATCCCCTATTCTTAGAGGCCATGTTTATATATATATAGGATAAGGTATACTAAATTTAACAATAGAAAACAGACTAATGTAAGAAAATAAATAATTACAATAAAATATGATAATTCTAGTTATAAACTTATCCGTAGTGCAAAACTATTATCACGAATTTCTTAATATTTTATATCTAAGAAAATACGTAAATGCTCATTAGTCTTACAGTTATCTGTGCTGATCACATACAATAAAATCTAATAGTATTGTAGTCTTAACAATATTTTTATTCTCGATAAAAAGTTGAGGAGAGTTACTTATATATGTGACTAATGCACTGTATCTAATTCATATCTTGAAACAAATTTTGAATCAATCTGTACGCTTATTGAAAATGTATCATTAAAGTGAACGTTAATTTATGACGGACGAGTAGTATATATAAAGAAAAGAGATTTTGTTGCGTATTGTGAACTCACTTTGTCCATGAAAAAGTCATCATTTGAATTTTTAATACTATGTAATCCACAGTGTATGGATTGCGGTACGATGGAGCTAAGTGGCATCCTGCGATAGCCCGTCTGAAAAAGCGCAAGGAAACATAATTCATTATAAGTAAATCTGAGTTGAACACAATACTTGTCCACTGAGTTATTATGCATATGTCAAATAAAAACTACAGTGAAAACGAGTCACATTACACAATAAAACTATAAAAGAAAACAATTCAGTACCGACGGTGATGAAGTTTATCAAACCGTGAGATATCGAAGTGCAAATGAATTGAAGATGGAATTCTGTTCCGTCGAAATCCTAGGGTTTGTAGCACTGTTTGTTAGTGAAAGACATGTCATTAGCTGATTAAACTCTCTTTGTTCGAACACTTGTGGTTTCGTCACCTTACGAGATACAGTCTCCCTTATTGGCAGTTTTATTCACCCTGTTATTAAAAACCTGCCTGGAAATAAGGAGGAATATTGACACCGGAAAAAGAATAGCAAACAGAAATGACAAGTCATCTGCGTTTTGCTTCGCTATGCTTTCACGTTAATTCCGCCAAGAACCCATCTGTGGTTGCGGACGATCCCAAGCCCCGAAAAAGGAGGAGGGTTGGGCATAGAGTTAGCGATTCCATTCCGTAGAAAACTAACTCGAAAATGCTAACCAGAAGACATAAATAGAACCATTTTAACTCTTTCCTGGAAGTTAAAAGGTCTTCATTTAGGAGAGTTATGACGTTTCATGATAAAAAGCCAAGTTTCATCACAAATTACAACGATGAAACCCTTTTTGACAACCAGAACAACCATTCTTTTAGGTACAGGGAATATTCAAACAATATTGGAGACCAGAAGACTGTCCTAAATTGCGGCAAAGATGAAAACATGCAACCTGGAGGTGCTCAGAATCAGTGAAACATATTGCACACAGGTCACACAACAAAGACTAGATTCAAAAGAAAAAGCTCCACATACACAACGAGTTGCACTGATACTGTCCAAACAAGCACAAAATGCACTTATACGATGGGAATCTCATCGACCAAGGATCATCAACGCATCCTTCAAAACAAACAAAGAGGACATTACTATGGACGTCATCCAAACCTATGCGCCTACTAATGAATACTATGATGATGTCAAAGTATATTCTACGAGAGGCTGTAGCCAATCAATGAGAAATGCCCATCAAACGACTTGACCATTCTGATAGGAGACCTAAACTCCAAAGTTGGGATGGACGACACCAGATATGAAGACATTATGGGACGACATGGAATGGAAGAAGAGAACGAAAACGCTGGGGCATTTGAAAACCTATTTGCCTTCAACAAACTAGTCATACGCGGCACCACATTCTCACACAAACGCATACACAAAGCGACGTGGATTTCACAGTATCATACTACACACAACCGATTCGATCATATCTGCATCCGAAAAGAATTCAGAAGGACCACAGAGGATAGAAGAACCAAGAGACGAACCGACGTACCTTCGAGTCATCACTTGATGGTAGCCGAAGTGAAACTGAAATTTAAGAGGCACTGCACAACGCGGCGGACAACATCACAAGAGTCTATTACGGCTTTTTTCAGAAGACTGGCAAACTCAACAATACGTTCTAGGCTTTTCAGATCTACTCAACGGAAACGAAAGTACCATGGAAAACCATTGAAAACGGATCAAGAAGGCAATCACTTCAACAATTCAGGAGGTTCTGGGACACAAGAAGAACCATCACAAGATATAGATCTCTATTCATACTCTCAATGAGATGCAAGAAAACAAGAACAGCAAAACAGCAATCAACATCCTCCGAACAAGATCAGAAAAAGACAAAGTACATACATACAAGTAAGCAAGTGAGAGAAGAAAGGCATCTGAACTGACAAACGGAAATATATGGAAGACCTAGCAAGGACAACGGTAAAGGCCGCAAGAGAAGGAAACATGAGACAGTTCTATGATAAAAGAACTCTGGAAAATATTGTTAACCAGAACGAGCAGTGAAAAGGAAGAAATGCAAAATAATCAGCAACATAGATGGATAGCGAAATAGGTGGGTAGAACACTTTAAGGAACTCTTGAATCGACCCAGCCCACTGAACCCACCTAACATCAAAGCAACATTCACGGACCTCCTAATAAATGTTGACCCAACAACAAGTGAAGAGACCAACATGGACATCACACAAATCAAGAATGCCAAAGTAGCAGGACCAGAAAACATTCCAACTAGAGCGATGAAAGCAGATGTGGTAGTGAATGAAAAGATACCCTACATTCTCTTCAGCAAGATTTGGCATGAAGAACAAGTACCAACTAAGTGGAAAGAAAGACAACTCGATCAACATACCAAAGAAAAGAGACCTTAGCAAGTGTGAGAACTATAGAGGCATCACTCTTCTCTCAGTGCCAGTCAGTCAGTAAGATGCAACGTACAACTTCGTACGTAAGTACATCAGTTCGTGTTGCCATACCACATTAGCACAGAGATATAATTGTCAATTCAAAACCAATAGTAGAAGAGGTAGTAAAAGTATTAGAAGTAATCGGAGAGGTTAGGATGAGAAGATATTCAAGAAATATGATTCAGTGAGAAAGGTTTAGAAAGTCAAAACTACAGTTGTTGAAGAACCCAGAAGATTAGGATTTGAGAGAACACAAAGAATAAACGCACCGGCGCCATTGCGAACGATTTTGAGCCATGACATTCAAGGTCTCTAACCATCGATTATTATCATCTCGCGGACCTCAACCAGGTAGTCGACAATTACCGACATGGCTAAGTCCACTCGTCAATGACTTCACGGATTTCTGCCATGTTTTGGTTTGGCCGCCCCTAGCTGTCTTCCAGCCTATTCTAACACTACAAAACAAAGCTCGTCGAGTTAGTCGGTGGTTAGGCATACGCAACACATGTCCCAACCATCTCAACTGATGAAGTTTCAGCACTTCATCTACTGATCTGCCATTCTTACCTAGCACCCTATTCCTAATAACAGCGTTGCTCACTCGAGTGTCCCACAATATACGAGCAATGCTTCGAATACACCTATGATCGAAAACCAGTAACCTACGAACATTTTCTACTCTCACTGGCCATGTTTCACAGCCATAAAGTAAGACGGAGCGAACTACTGCGCAATACACTCGTCCTTTTGTCAGCAAACGGATATCTCGCCTACGCCATAAGTGACGCAAGTTGGCAAAAGCCAGTAGAGCCTTCTGTATCCAAGCTGAGATTTCGTCAGTCACCAGGCCATCAGCGCTGATAAGACTCCCAAGATAAGTGAAGCAGTCAACACGCTCGACTACTTCACTCCTTATCACTAGTTCAGGTTCCGGTACAACCCATCTTGAAGCAACATTTTGCATTTCGAATGTGAGAACCACATCCCGAACATGCTTGCATTGTTGCTTAGGGTAGTCAGAAGACTCTGCATTTTGTCAGCGTCTTCACCAAGTAGGACAATGTCATCGGCATATTCTAAATCAATAAGCGAGCCTCCTGGTAAAAGGTCTACTCCTGAAAATTCAGACAAGGATAAGGTTATTTCTAGGAGCATGTCTATGATAAAATTAAACAAGAATCGAGAGAGTGTACATCCCTGACGGACAACACTTGAAGTCAAGAATTCCGGTGATAGTTCGCCATAAGCTCTCACTCGACCAGTGGTGTTTGAGTACAGAGCTTGTATGAGGTTAATGTACTTCTTTGGTACACCTTTGGGACAATCATTGATTGAGATCGCTCGGATGGGATTACGCCCAGTTCCCAGATTGTACCTAAGATCTCAGTCAACCTAGATGCTAAAACTGGACCATTATACTTAAATATCTCAGGTGTCAGTCTATCAGGACCCGCTGCCCTTTCTCACTTCAGATTTCCTATCGCTTTCTCAACTTCATAAAGACTAGGAGGGCTTAGGTCGATTCGTCATTCAGGATGACTCGAGATCGTGGGTAACCGAAGTGTGGCTGGTCTTGGAGACCTGGGTGCGTGACCGCAGAGTCCAAAGGACAACTGCATGAGGCCGGTCACGCACGGCCTTCTTATGAATGGGGTTTTTGATTATTAGCTCCGCTCTCAAAGGCCCTTAGTGGGCACCCTTACCGACGGAGACGGAAATCCGTGAGGTAGGGTGAGGTGTGACATTTTTAGGGTCGACCTTTTCTAAGCCTTTCTTCTTTGTGAGAAGGCAGCATCGCTGTAGATGCTGGTTGTCTGAGGGAAACACCTTACTGCTGTCACACCCCTCTGCAGACAGCAGTAGGACTTCGACCTTGAGTAGCTGCTTTTAGTCTCATCGTTCTCCAATCGACCTGCCTGGCATGGTAGGACCTGCAGGAACATATGTTCCAGACAATATAGCTCGGTGGGGTCATCACGATAGGCAAGCCCGACCACCACGTCAAGGTAGCAGCTGCGGTCGGGTCTCTCAGTACCATGAAAAGTCTTTAACAGAGTGTTGTCTCAAACAGAATGAACGACTTCATGGACACACAACTTCCAGATCAACAGACTGCATTTCGCAAGGATTGATCGTGTACCACCGACCAAGTCGTCACATTACGCATCATTGTGGAACAATCAATTGAATGCACTTCACCACTCTACATCAACGTCATCGACTACGAGAAAGCATTCGACAGCGTGCACAGGATAACACTATGGAGGATTCTTCGACAATATGGAGTGTTTGAGAAGATAGTCAACATAATACAAAATCCTTATGATAGGACAAACTGCAAAATCGTGCACAGAAGACAGCTCACAGACTCGTCCAGGTGATGATCGGTGTCAGGCAAGTTTGCTTACTATCACTCTCTCTCTCTCGCTTTCTTCTGCTGATCCATTGGATTATGAAGATGTCAATATCTGAGCAGAATCACGAATGGGGCTGGACGATGTGGACTTTGCAGATTACACAGCTCTTCTACATTACACGCAACAACAAATGCAGATGAAGACGACTACAGTAGCAGCAGCCGACTTAGCGGCACGTCTCAACTTACACAAGTGCAAAATCAAGATCCTCCGATACAACACAACACTCACCAACCAAATCACATTTGACGGTGAAGCTTTGGAAGATGTAGAAACCTTTACATATCTGGCCAACATAAGTGATTAGCACGAAGGATCTGATGTAGATGTGAAGGCACGCATTGGCAAAGCAACTGCAGCATTCACACAATCGAAGAACATATGGAACTCAAAATACCCACCAACCAACACCAAACTCACAGTTTTCAATACAGATGTCAACACAGTTCTTCTGTACGGGGTTGAAACTTGGAGAACCACGAAGCTCGTCATCCGGAAGATACAAGTATTTATTAACACTTGTCTATGCAAGATACTCACGATCTGTTCGCCAGACACTATCAGCAACAACCTACTGTGGGATATAACAAACCAGATTGCAACAGAGGGAGGATTCAGGAATTGCAGGAGGTGGATAGGCCACACATTGAGAAAAGCATCCAACTGCGTTGAGACAAGCCCTCACTTGCAATTCTCAAGGTCAGAGGAAATGAGGAAGACCAAAGAACACATAACGCCGAGAATTAGAGACAGATGATGAAAATGATCAACAGCAATCGGCTGTAACTAGAAATGAAGGCCATAGGACAGAGTAGGTTGGAGGATGCCGGTCAGCTGCTTATGCTCCATTGAGTTAAGAGGCGTAAGTAATGCTACCAATTAAGACCATCTGAACCAACAGTAACGTTTTTTCGAACCCACACTATATGTCCTTTTATATCTATCCTAAATTATTTAAGTCAGTAAGACATGAATAAGCTTGCACTCTTATTTCATAAACTAAGTGGACAGTATATTCAGTACAGTAGCTTGTTTATTAATATACAGACACTGTTCTGAACACATGGTAAAATGTCAAAGCAAAATTTGATAGTTGTAATGATTTTGAATACAAACTATCATTTGGTAGTCCTCATTGGTGGATTTGAAACGTTTAGTTTGTCGGCTTAAAACCTTCGAATACATGATAAATCTCAACCAAAAAGCCTTAAAACTTAGGTTCATGAAACGAAAGAAAAAATACAAGTTTTCATTACTTTTTTTCTTAGTATACCATACCAAAATGATATGAAATTTGAAAATTCTTAAGAAAACAATGAAAAAGTAATCAAGCTCTATAATGGAAAATGATAATGAAGTTTGGTAGAATCAGTAAGAACCATCTTGTACCATGAAATAAATTAAGTCGATTATAACTAATACATGAAATGAAAATATTATTTAGAACCTAATAAACAGAAGAACAAATGCAAAACAGACAACAATGATTCTATAGAGAACTTAAAATACAGTTTGAAACTCAGTTCCTGCTAACTAGCAAGAAACCTTTGTATTAGATTTTGACCTAATTTACTTGGCTGAGCAAATTATAAGAGCTTAAAAAAACAGTACCAAATGCCTATCAATATGTATCTGCATATGACACATAAATAAATAAGATGAAAGACAAAATATGAACAAAGTTTCAGTTGTGTTTCAATTAACTAATAGTATTTAACTGTTTCACAGGCAACAAACAATACACATTCTCTTTTTGGTATTTAACAGTTGTACTTAGATAAAGTTATTAGGTGAAATTCGTCAATCACAAATTCATTTACCGCAAACATTTTGAAAGTACATATGGTCGACTTTGATAATTAAAGCTATCCTGAAAATTGACAAAAAATTCTTAGTTTTGAAGGAATAATGAAACCACTTGGAACCATCACGAAACCAAATACTACATTTTCGTGTTTGTGGTTGATTTGCATAACGATTTAGTGACTAATATTAACAGGATGTTACTATAAATTAAGACTTGATGAACAGGTAAAAAATTACTTTCACATCACATAGAACAAGCCTATTTTAAGAATAAGTTGCTTTCAAACTGCAACCCAAATAACTGATTAGTTATAACAGTGAACATTGACTCTAACTACAATTAGTCTAAATAAATTTGGAAAATTACGGTTACCTGTTGACGTTTCAGCTTCGCCATATAACGACTATATGCGCTAACAGAGAGTACATAAGCCTTGTCTTCTATACAGTCAAGTGGATTAGTATCACGATGTCTACTGGCATAAAGTTCATTTTTAACAAAATTTTGTGATGCGCCAGATATGTGTTCAGGTCGATAGTACCATAGTAGAGACATCATTTTTGTGTCTAAAAAGCAATTTAGATAAATATCATACCAAGGTAGTATATCGAATAATCAGCATTTAGAATACTAAAGTGAAAGAGGATGAAATATGAAAAAAAATGAGCATACGTAAAGTCTCGAACATAAACGTTTTTGCAGTGTATTAACAACTAATTGATTTTCAACATTGGAATAAATAAACAGCTGCCGAGATTGTCGTAGAACTTGTAAATCATAGTTCATTACCAAGTAATTTTAAAAACGCTCTAATCACTAGAAGACCTATGCCTATCAATGTCATAAATAATTGGTGGAGATACAGGTAAAATACTCAGTCTACTTACCTAAAGAGAGCTATATTGACTAGAATACTCGGGTTTTCTGTGGAGCAGTAAGACTAAACTTCCGAGCGAGGACTCACTGCGAGCGTACACGAGTTAGAAGTTAGTAAAGTGTTTCCCAAACATAACTTGTATATACAACAGGATTATCTTTTCATACAAGAGAAGAAAGCTGATAGAAAACATCGGTCTTGGATATAACAGACTTGACCTTATACCACAGATTTCAGTTGAAGGAGGTTAAGACTAAAAAGCAGACAGATAATACAATAAAAAACTACTTGCGAAACACTTAAGTGTGACCACCTACAGGCAGATATTCCTAAGGTGCTATAGTCAGAATCGCGGCAGAGATAAAAAGATAAAACATCGCCATGCTTCGATGCGTCTCCGAAACTCACATACAGAATCCGAGGTTTTATCTTTTTAGATTCAGATCAAGTCCTAGTGGGAACGAGTATTTATTTGCGACATACCGGACGTAAGAAAGACACCGAAAGGAAACCTCTTAGGGTTCTACTTAATGATAGCAGAGCTATGAATATATTTCAGGAACAACGAAAAAACAGTTAGGCAGCCATATAGTAAGTAATGCCCACCCTGAGGCAGCTAGGAATGATATCAAACAGGCTGTGGAAACAGCAGTGAGATCTGCTAGTAAGGTTGACCATAAGGCTAGGAAGAAGCCGTGGATCTCAGTAGCATCCGCCGAACTGATGGATGCCCGAAAACGCATCCCACCTGGCTCTGAAAATGATGAGGAGCGAAGTCAGCTAAGGCACAGGCTGATAAAAATCTTACGCAACGAGCGCAAGGTGGTGGGTGGAGAAAGCAAAAGCGATGGAAAAAGCAGCGGAGATAGGCAAGAGTAGACAACTTTTCCGCCTTATGAAGGAAACCGATATTAGAAATCCATGTGTTAGCGAAACTATCGCAGAAAAGGATGGTCTTATTATTCACTCTGAATCCAGGAGATTTAATCGATGGGCAGAACACTTTAGGGATCAGTTCAACTGGCCTCGAGCCACACTTTGGTTACCAACGATCTCCAGTCATCCTGAATAACGAATCGATTTAAGCCCTCCTAGTCTTTATCAAGTTGAGAAAGCGATAGGAAATCTGAAGTGAGGAAGGGCAGCGGGTCCTGATAGACTGACACCTGGGATATTTAAGTATGCTGGTTCAGCCTTATCAATGAGATTGACAGATCTTAGGTACAATCTGGGAACTGGACGTAATTCCGTCCGACTGGTCTTAATCACTGATTGACTCAGTATACAAGAAAGGGAAAAAGTCCTCTTGTGACAAACAGGGAGGAATCAGATTAACTAATATAGTATATAAACTGTTAACCTCGATAATCCATGGACAGACAGCGACAGACAGATACAACGCAGAACTTCGTACGTAAGTACATCAGTTCAGGTTGCCGTGCCCCATCACCACAGACGCACAACTGTCAGTTCAAATCCAAGAGTGATAGCAATGATAGAAGTATTAGAAGTAATGGAGAAGATAAGGAAGCGAAGATATGATTCGAGAAGTGTAATTCAGTAAGAAATTCAGCAGGAGACATCCATGATCAAAGACCAGTAACCTACGGAAGACCTGCACTCCTAACGGCCAAGTCTCGCAGTCGTATTGTAGGACGGAGCGAACTACTGCGCAATACACTCGTCCTTTTGTCAGCAAACGGATATCTCGCCTACGCCATAAGTGACGCAAGTTGGCAAAAGCCAGTAGAGCCTTCTGTATCCAAGCTGAGATTTCGTCAGTCACCAGGCCATCGGCACTGACGAGACTCCTCAGATAAGTCAAGCGGTCTACACGCTCGACTACTTCACTCCTTATCACTAGTTCAGGTTCCGGTACAACCCATCTTGAAGCAACATTTTGCATTTCGAATGTGAGAACCACATCCCGAACATGCTTGCATTGTTGCTTAGGGTAGTCAGAAGACTCTGCATTTTGTCAGCGTCTTCACCAAGTAGGACAATGTCATCGGCATATTCTAAATCAATAAGCGAGCCTCCTGGTAAAAGGTCTACTCCTGAAAATTCAGACAAGGATAAGGTTATTTCTAGGAGCATGTCTATGATAAAATTAAACAAAAGTGGAGAAAGTGGACATCCTTGACGGACACCACTTGAAGTGAAGAATTCCGGTGACAGTTCGCCATAAGCTCTCACTCGACCAGTGGTGTTCGAGTAGACAGCTTGTATGAGGTTAATGTACTTCTTTGGTACACCTTTCAATGACAGACACTGCCACAGAACCTCACGGTCCACTGAGTCAAATGCCGCTTTGAGGTCCAGGAACACGACTATTGTCGGACGCCTAAATGTGTGTCTGTGTTCCAGGACCTGTCATAGTGTGTAAATGTGGTCTATACAACCACGTCCAGGTCGAAAACCAGATTGGTTTTCTCTAGTCTGCTCTTCACGAGTTCTAGTTAGGTGTCCGACCGTAGATGCTACCTTGACGTGGTGGTCGGGCTTGCCTATCGTGATGACCCAACCGAGCTATATTGTCTGGAACATATGTTCCTGCAGGTCCTACCATGCCAGGCAGGTCGATTGGAGAACGATGAGACTAAAAGCAGCTACTCAAGGTCTGAGGGTGATGTCGCACTGTTGAGTGCAGAGGGGTGTGACAGCAGTAAGGTGTTTCCCTCGGACAACCAGCATCTACAGCGATGCTGCCTTCTCACAAAGAAGAAAGGCTTAGAAAAGGTCGACCCTAAAAATGTCACACCTCACCCTACCTCACGGATTTTCGCCTCCGTCGGAAAGACACCTAGGTGGATATTATGGTGTCGCGGCTCAGAGAACAGACAATGGTGACCATCTTTTGCAAGTAGGCTCAGACAACCGACTGACGAAATCTCAGCTTGGATACAGAAAGCTCAATTGGCTTTTGCCAACTTGCGTCACTTATGGCGTAGGCGAGATATCCGTTTGCTGACAAAAGGACGAGTGTATTGCGCAGTAGTTCGCTCCGTCTTACTTTATGGCTGTGAAACATGGCCAGTGAGAGTAGAAAATGTTCGTAGGTTACTGGTTTTCGATCATAGGTGTATTCGAAGCATTGCTCGTATATTGTGGGACACTCGAGTGAGCAACGCTGTTATTAGGAATAGGGTGCTAGGTAAGAATGGCAGATCAGTAGATGAAGTGCTGAAACTTCATCAGTTGAGATGGTTGGGACATGTGTTGCGTATGCCTAACCACCGACTAACTCGACGAGCTTTGTTTTGTAGTGTTAGAATAGGCTGGAAGACAGCTAGGGGCGGCCAAACCAAAACATGGCAGAAATCCATGAAGCCATTGACGAGTGGACTTAGCCATGTCGGTTAATTGTCGACTACCTGGTTGAGGTCCGCGAGATGATAATAATCGATGGTTAGAGACCTTGAATGTCATGGCTCAAAATCGTTCGCAATGGCGCCGGTGCGTTTATTCTTTGTGTTCTCTCAAATCCTAATCTTCTGGATTCGTCAGCACCTCTACCTTTGTCTTTCTAATCTTATCTCACTGAATTATACTTCTTGAATATTATCTTCAAATCCTAATCTTCTCCATCAGCATTAATTCTTTTACTACTTCTACCACTATGGGATTTGAATTGACGATTGTGTCTCTGTGTTAATGTGGTATGGCAACATGAACTGATGTACTTACGTACGAAGTTCTACGTTGCAATTGACTGATAACTGTGAAACATGATTGGTAAAGGAAGAAAACGTTTATAAACTGTGGCTTTTGATCATAAGTATCTGCGCTGAGTGGCCAGTGTTGGGGATAGGCTTAGGGTAATAGTGCACAGATGCACTCATCACTCATCCTCCTCTCGATCTTGAATTCCAGGATTTCTACATGCATACTTTTTCACTACGTCTTTTCAAACCCTACTCTTAATGCTTAGTCGTTTTCATTAGTCCCGCTACTACATTATTTCGACTCCATTATTCATTCAAGTAAATTTTCATCTAGGGATTCCACTGTGTTACAGCAACTAGAACCAAGTTAAAGGTTCCACGTCCATTATGACTGACTGCGACAAAGCAGAATTCAAAACCAATGAGAGCAATACTAAGATACCACTACAAGTATGCACGTGCTGTGTACCACGTTACATTATACTTGTTCGCTAATCACTAGTCTTCTACATGAGACAGTAGGGTCCTCAGCAAATTAAGAATTAAGTTTAATAATAATAAACCGTAAATGACAGAACTAAACAGCACATTTACAGGTACCTATCGCTACATGATCCTATGAAACGACATAGATTCACAAAATCAATGAAAAAAACATGACTACCCAACTAGTTTCCTTATTTAGCCAATCAATCTGCTACAGAGTAGAACCCCGACCGTAGCTGCTACCTTGACGTGATGGTCGGGCTTGCCTATCGTGATGACCCAACCGAGCTATACTGGCTGGAACATATGTTCCTGCAGGTCCTACCATGCCAGGCAGGTCGATTGGAGAACGATAAGACTAAAAGCAGCTACTCAAGGTCTGAGGGCGAAGTCGTACTACTGACTACAGAGGGGTGTGACAGCAGTAAGGTGTTTCCCTCGGACAACCAGCATCTGCAGCGATGCTGCCTTCTCACAAGGAAGGAAGGGTTAGAAAAGGTCGACCCTAAAAATGTCACACCTCCCCTAACTCACGGATTTCCGTCTCCGTCGGTAAGGGTGCCCACTAAGGGCCTTTAAGAACGGAGCTAATCCTCAAAAAACGTTTCATAAAAAAGCCGTGCGTGACCGGCCTCAAGCAGTTGTCCCTTGGGCTCTGCGGTCACGCACCCAGGTCTCTAAGACCAACACTAATCTATTTTCCTTTTCAGGTTCCTCAAGAAACAACCTTCCACGGTGTGGGCAGCCGGGAAGTGACAACCGCCCTCATACCCGTAACAGCACACGAGACCAAATTGGTCAAAATCAAATCTTTCCTACACCTCCTAGTACTTCTCTTATCTCCACGACTAACTCTTCTCACATTCCTTTATCACACTGCACAGTTAATGCAAACAATGCGAGTTCACGAAATGTCATTTCTGGTCTCCTTTAACCCCGCTCTAGACTACATGTTGGAGCATTTAATGTACGTACATTATGTCAAATGGGGCAACAGGCTACGTTAGCTAGAACTTTAGAATCTCGTGCCATCGATGTATGCTGCGTCTCGGAAATGCGCATACAGGATCCTAGTAAATTCAATAATCTGATCTCCCCTTCTCAAAACAAAGAAGCAGCCTGATTTACTCTTCGTGTATCCGGTAGCCCTGATGCTGCTTCCAGGGGTCTTGCTGGCGTAGGCATAGCATTGAGTCGTAGAGCTGAACAATCTCTCCTCGACTGGATCCCAGTAGATAATCGCTTGTGCCCCGTCCGACTAAATGGGACAGTAAGGACTCGGAAAGATAGGGAAACTCGACGTTGCCTCTTCGTCGTATCTGCCTACGCTCCCACTGACTGCAGCTCAGACGAGGTTAAAGATGAGTTTTACAGAAAGTTTTCGAACCTCCTCCAAAAAGCTAGGCGCTCTGATATAGTAATAATGGCTGGTGACCTTAATGCGCAAGTAGGTAGACTAAGTGAGCAGGAGAAACACCTAGGTGGATGTTATGGTGTCGCGGCTCAGAGAACAGACAATGGTGACCGTCTGTTGCAAGTAGGCTCAGACAACCGCCTATTCTTAGCAAACACTAACATTAAGCATAAGGAAAAACATCTGTGGACCTGGCGACCCCCGAACTCGTCTCAACGTTGGACGCAACTAGATCACATCGCCATCAGCCACCGATGGAGAGGTTCGATAGAGGACTGTCGCTCGTTTTGGTGCACATGTTTAGATTCAGATCATGTCCTAGTGCGAGCGCGTATTTGTTTGCGGCTTACTGGGCGTAGGAAAGACACCGTAAGAAAGCCTCTTAGGGTTTTACTGAATGATAATAAGGCAAAGAATATATTTCAGAAACAACTAGAAAGACAGCTAGGCGACCATTTAAGCGATTCCCATCCGGAAGCAGGATGGAATGATATCAAAAAGGCTGTGGAAACAGCAGTGAGATCTGCTAGTAAGGTTGACCATAAGGCTAGGAAGAAGCCGTGGATCTCTGTAGCATCCACTGATCTGATGGATGCCCGAAAACGCATCCCACCTGGCTTTGAACATGATGACGAACGAAGTCAACTTAGGCGCAGACTTATAAAAAGCCTACGTAACGATCGCGAACAGTGGTGGGTGGCGAAAGCAAAAGCGATGGAAAAGACAGCGGCGATCGACAACAGTAGACAACTTTTCCGACTTATCAAGGAAACTGGTATTAGGAATCCTAGTGTGAGTGAGACTATCTCGGAAAATGATGGGACTATTATTTATTCTCAATCCAGGAGACTGGATCGATGAGCAGAACACTGGCCTCGAGCCACACTTCGGTTACCCACGATCTCCAATCATCCTGAATGGCAAATCGACCTAAGTCCCCCTAGTCTTAATGAAGTTGAAAAAGCGTTAGGAAATCTGAAGCGAGGGCGAGCTGCAGGTCCAGTTTTAGCAGCTAGGTTGACTGAGATCTTAGGTAGAATCTGGGAACTGGACGTAATCCCATCCGACTGGTCTCAATCACTGATTGTCCCAATCTATAAGAAAGGACAGAAGTCTTCTTGTGACAATCACAGGGGAATAAGTCTAACTAATATAGTATCTACATTATTGGCCTCAGTAATACTTCGACGCTTAACGAAAGCTCGTGAAGAGCAGACTAGAGAAAACCAATCTGGTTTTCGACCTGGACGTGGTTGTATAGACCACATTTTCACACTATGACAGGTCCTGGAACACAGACACACATTTAGGCGTCCGACAATAGTCGTGTTCCTGGACCTCAAAGCGGCATTTGACTCAGTGGACCGTGAGGTTCTGTGGCAGTGTCTGTCATTGAAAGGTGTACCAAAGAAGTACATTAACCTCATACAAGCTGTCTACTCGAACACCACTGGTCGAGTGAGAGCTTATGGCGAACTGTCACCGGAATTCTTCACTTCAAGTGGTGTCCGTCAAGGATGTCCACTTTCTCCACTTTTGTTTAATTTTATCATAGACATGCTCCTAGAAATAACCTTATCCTTGTCTGAATTTTCAGGAGTAGACCTTTTACCAGGAGGCTCGCTTATTGATTTAGAATATGCCGATGACACTGTCCTACTTGGTGAAGACGCTGACAAAATGCAGAGTCTTCTGACTACCCTAAGCAACAATGCAAGCATGTTCGGGATGTGGTTCTCACATTCGAAATGCAAAATGTTGCTTCAAGATGGGTTGTACCGGAACCTGAACTAGTGATAAGGAGTGAAGTAGTCGAGCGTGTTGACTGCTTCACTTATCTTGGGAGTCTTATCAGCGCTGATGGCCTGGTGACTGACGAAATCTCAGCTTGGATACAGAAGGCTCTACTGGCTTTTGCCAACTTGCGTCACTTATGGCGTAGGCGAGATATCCGTTTGCTGACAAAAGGACGAGTGTATTGCGCAGTAGTTCGCTCCGTCTTACTTTATGGCTGTGAAACATGGCCAGTGAGAGTAGAAAATGTTCGTAGGTTACTGGTTTTCGATCATAGGTGTATTCCAAGCATTGCTCGTATATTGTGGGACACTCGAGTGAGCAACGCTGTTATTAGGAATAGGGTGCTAGGTAAGAATGGCAGATCAGTAGATGAAGTGCTGAAACTTCATCAGTTGAGATGGTTGGGACATGTGTTGCGTATGCCTAACCACCGACTAACTCGACGAGCTTTGTTTTGTAGTGTTAGAATAGGCTGGAAGACAGCTAGGGGCGGCCAAACCAAAACATGGCAGAAATCCATGAAGCCATTGACGAGTGGACTTAGCCATGTCGGTAATTGTCGACTACCTGGTTGAGGTCCGCGAGATGATAATAATCGATGGTTAGAGACCTTGAATGTCATGGCTCAAAATCGTTCGCAATGGCGCCGGTGCGTTTATTCTTTGTGTTCTCTCAAATCCTAATCTTCTGGGTTCTTCAACAACTGTAGTTTTGACTTTATAAACTCTTCTCATTTAATCATACCTTTCGAATAACATCTTCTCAACCTAACCTCTCCGATTACTTCTAATACCCGTACTAACTCTTCTACTATTGGATTTTAATCGACAATCACATCTCTGTGCTGATATGGTATGGCGACATGAACTGACGTACTTACGTACGAAGTTCTACGTTGCAACTGACTGACTGACTGACAGCGCAGAACTTCGTACTTATGTACATCAGTTCAAGTTGCCATACCACATTAGCACAGAGATGCAATTGTCAGTTAAAATCCCGTACTGGTGAGTTTCCTAAATTAACATTATTTGAACTTCAGGATGAAATTAAATTCGTAACACAGATCAACTCTGACACAATATTATACATAGGATTCCATCTCAAAACTTATTTAGTATCCAAAAATACATGCGTAGTACACCTCAAATAGCGGACACAAAATTACAAGAATGATTGAATAAATATATTCTAAAATTTCCTTTTTTTAAATAATACTGAAAGCGAACGTTCTGTTGACGAGACAACTGTAAACAAAATTACTTTGGAAAAGCAATATTTCAGACTACTAACAATCGATTCCTACCACTACTTTCTACAAAACTATTCCTTTAAAGACATACTCCACATAAAATACTAGACACAGCTGTAGTAAAGCAGCTTACATACAGATCTCATAGTTTACAGATTAAATATATCGGAAACGATAGTCATGAATAACCTGGCACATATGTGAGGCACAATACTATGATAACTTACCTGTATTTTTATCATGGTACAATGCAATAATTTTAGCAATATGTGGTGGATGACTTCGACTTGGACCACTACACAATAAGACACTATCTTTCACACGAATCACCATACCATCTCGTCGGTGCCGGATTGCAGGATAACACTGGCAGAGCACTGGAGGTGCATCAGACTAATAAAAATAAAAGTTACACGGTGTTATAATTCGAGAAGAAGCAATGGATGTTTTAAATGTAATAAACTATTTTTCGAGCGACGCTTTCCAGAAACATTTGACAGTAGAAGCTCTCAATTTACCTTCACAGTTGTTTGTAATATAAAAATTACTCGAAATAAAGAATCGAGAAATGCACCACACAGAACGAAATTGAAAAATCGTAGGAAAAAGGATGGATGAAAATTATGTAACAAATACAAAACTGTGAAGTGAAAAGTTGGTCCAGATATTTTGTATCTACATTTTCATTGCTGGGTCGCGAATCTGAACCTTGGATATAACTACTTCAGCTTAAGTGGGTGGCAACACTAGCTACCGAAAATTGTGGATTAAAGCAAGAAACAGAAACCGATACGTCAGTCAGGAAGGATTTGTCTGTGACTAATTTGGTCTCGCATGCTGTTACGGATATGAGGGGAGATGTCACTACCCGGCTTCCCACACTATGGAATGGTGTTTCTTGAGGAACCTGAAGAGGGAGGTAGATTAATGTCAATCTTAGAGACCCGGGAGCATGACCGCAAAGCCCAAGGGACAAGTGCTTGAGGCCGGTCACGCACGATCTTTATATGAGAGGTTTTAAAGAATTAGATCCGCTCTTGTTTAAAATGCCTTACCGCCGAATGGAGTCAGTCAGTTTGTTGCAACTTCGTACGAAAATAGATCAGTTCATGTTGCCATACCACATTAGCACAGAGACACAATCGTCGATTCAAATCCCATAGTGGTAGAAGTAGTAAAAGAATTAATGCTGATGGAGAAGATTAGGATTTGAAGATAATATTCGAGAAGTATAATTCAGTGAGATAAGATTAGAAAGACAAAAGTAGAGGTGCTGACAAATCCAGATTAGGATTTGAGAGAGCACAACGAATGGATGCACTTGCGCCATTGCAAACGAATTTGAGCCATGTCGTTCAAGGTCTCTAACCATTGGTGACTTTCGTCTCGCGGACCCCAACCAGGTAGCCCACATCTACCAACATGACTCAGTCCACTTGTCAGTGACTTCATGGATTTCTGCCATGTTTTAGTCTGGCCGCCCCTAGCTTTCTTCTTCTTCCACCGGATGGAAATCCATGAGGAAAGGTGTCGTGTGACATTTTGAGTGTCAATCTTTTCTAACCCCTTCCTTCCTTGTAAGAAGGCAGCATCACTGCAAGTGCTGGTTTTCAGAGGGAAACACCTTGCTGCTGCCACACCCCTCTACAGTCGGCAGTGCGACTTCATCCTCAGACCTTGAGTAGCTGCTTTTAGTCTCATCGTTCTCCAATCGACCTGCTTAGCATGGAAGAACCTACAGGAACATATGTTCTAGCCAATATAGCTCGGTGGGGTCATCACGATAGGCAAGCCCGACCGACACGCCAAGGTAGCAGCTACGGTCGGGAGAAACCGATACGAACATACTGGCACATTAATTTTCTGACAATTTCAAATGTCGTTAGCAGCCGAGTTTAAATAACTTAAGTGGGAGCGTATTTTGGCATTATAAGGTGATTGGTTCACTGATGTTGATTGCTAACTGATTAAGTTGAATCAACAACATGCTTCCCACAGCTTGTTCTGTAAAACCAGTGTGACAATTTGATTCTTGTAAACGGCAAGATTATCCGATCTGCGAATCGAATTTCTTATCTACAATTTCGAGCTCTACCGTATAAACTTGGATGAGGATAACATATAGTTGGTAGTACATCCCTTTTTTTAACATTAAGTGAAAGATGAAACTTCATTTTGTACCGAGATTACCTTAGGATTTAATCTACCTTTTGCAGTAGCATCACAAAAACAACCTTTCATGGGATTCAAACGGCGACACCGATGCAAAAAAGGCAAGATTTGAAACACTAACCAAACCAAAGCTAAATATTTGACAATTATTGGTGTCTGCTAGAAATTAGAGTTAGCGAGATGCATGCAACTACTTTATCCAGATAAAGCAGAATAAGCGGTGGTTAGATGGACAAAAAGTCAGAACTTAACAATATATAAAAAAAAACAATTTACAGTCGCTAAAACTTGGATTTGAAGATCTGTGTGTGGTCGAAAATTTTAGTTTTTGTAACATGGTCAAAACATACTGAATAGCTTACCTGAAGGAAAATATGTTTATCAAAGGAACTTCCTTCCCACACCCATGCATCTTTTTGATTATCCAGACACACAATGGTCGGGCTTGGTTTTTTTCCACGGTTTTCTGCCAAGGACTTCATCCCAAAGGAATTGCTTTCACTCAGTGGAGACTTTTCGGTTTTCTTACAAAGTACAGGTGCATTCGAAGATAGAACTACCTCAGTAGTTTCATCCGGGATATTCGTATGTGGTGTTTGGCATAATATAGGCTCATTCACCTCGCTAATGGAATAACACGTAGATAGGTGGTTCTCTACATTTGGTTTGCTGTGGTGACTAGACGTAGGCTGATTTGAACTAGAACATGCCTTTGGTATGACTGTAGATTGATTCAACGTCAACTGTCCTAAACCTGTTTGAGGTAACAAGCTTATGCATTGATTACTTGGTACTTGAATAAATTGTGGTTGAGTGTTTGGAACCATTTGAGTGGGCGAGATCATCATAGGACATAAGAGTTCAGCACTGCTGTTAACCGGAGTATTAAATGACTGACAAGGCAGCAAACTAGGTTGAGTCCATGTTGGTAAAAAAACAGGTGACATAAGTCCATAAGGCAAACTAGGACCTATGCAAGATACAGGAATATTAGAAAATGGTTGTAAGACAAGTGGATATGCGAGTTGGGACGTAACACCAGGATTGGGAACAACAAGAGGTGAGGCGAGATGGGGTAGAATGACATTTGGAGGTGAACAAGCCACGAAGGATGGAGTGATGTTTGAATTTGTAATACACGGTAACGTAGAGTTCCAAGAATGAACGTACTGAGGCGGGAGGGTGGGATAAAACTGATTGTACATAACTTGATTATGTTGCCGTTGTAACGAAGTATCAGTGAAGTTACAATCACTTGGTTTAAGACAAGATAACATAGGAAAAGGAACTGTACTTCCTGATGACGGATGAACAATAGGTGTGCCGAAATCCGGTAGTTTAGAATGACACATAATCGGGGAAGTTTCGTTTGAGTGTGGTACGACTACAACCTGATGCGTGATTTGCTGAACACCAAACGTGTCATGCCCCAGTGGTATAATTCGCTGTGAGTGAAAACTCTCGATTGCAGGGTTAATTTGACAAATGTTCTTAAACGATGAAGGTTCTATTTCCTTTACGGGAGTACAAACTGGAGACTTTTGTGTTGTAAGTGGTTTGTTTTGTTGAGGAGTCACGGCATCAGGAGTCTCTAGACAGTGAACTATATCATCATCAACAACTGAACACATAGGCTCCGTAATAGCATCATCTATGTCGTCCGAATGAGCCCACGCTGATGTTAATCCTGACTCAGACAAGACTTCTGACTTTTTTTTCTTAATATATGCTTTCCTGGGAGATTTAGAATTAAAAGCACCTATGATAGCAGTTGCATTTAAACTAGCCAACCGCTTACCATGGACTTCGACAGGAGATATATAATCAGGCCCAAGTTCACGTTTTAAAGATTTGTCAATATTTGAACTTTTGTTCCGACATTTACGGTCCTTATTTAGGCTCTTAGCAGATTTATGAACAGAGCCAATCGGTCGGACAATTTTTTTGCTAGTCTTGGTCAAGCCTCTAACTACAAAGGCTTTCTGGCTGGAATCTTGCTCAGTACTATCGCCACTTTTAGTGCCAACATTCTTTCTACGTAGCTTTGAGTTGGTCGGATGAGTCAAACTTGCATAAGAACCGTCATCAGCCGACTCTTTCTGAATTGACGATACTAGTTTGTTGGTACGATAAGGGGATTCCCTCACATAAATGTCATAAAAAAGTCGACCATTTTGTGTATAAGTGACGAAGTTAGAAGCTCTTCTACGACCTACTAAATGTGACGATTTGTAAGTCTCCGATATCCGTTGACGCTTCGTACGACTGACAACTTTCTTTACTTTATCTGATTTTTGTTTTTGTTCGCCTGTACGTGAATTTCCGCGATCTACAGACTTTTCTGGGACGTACGTTTTCTTGAAATCTGATCTATATACAGACCCTCTTGTTTTCATAACAAAAACAGTAAAAAAACTGTCAGCTGGGACTATATTCCAAATACGCGCCCAAACGACAGTACTCAAGAGAGCTAACTGCCTCAATCAAACACTAGGTCGACCACTGGTGTTGTAGCAAAGGAATCGTTGATTTCAGGAGTCCTCATGGCGGAACCTGAGACAATCGGATTGGAAAAGCCTATCGCGTCACTAAGTCATTGCTCTTAGTTTCATTTACCGAGTAAGGCGAACTCGTAATAGCATTCAAGCATATAAACTGGCGAGCATATCATTTTGCGACGATGGTTTTTGGAAACGCGAATCCTTCTAATCTTTAATTATTACTTGAACAGCAGCTAAAACTAATGCAGATGTTGATAGATATCAACAGTTCGCCTCCTACATAGCTTAGCTCATTGAATGCAACCACAGCACCATCAGTAGATGGCCTCGCAAACAACATTGCTGAGTTTCTTTATGACCCTGATGCTAATTTTACTTTTGACATATGATTCCGGCGTTATGAAGATCTATTTGCGTTTGATTTCGCCAATCAAGATGATGCTTGGAAGGTTTGGCTGCTACTTTGAAAGTTGGGTGCAAGGGAGCTAGAAAGGTACTGTAATTTGATCCTGCCTTTGAACACACGTGATCGCTCATTCTCAGACTCAGTCCAGACATTAAGAAAACTGTTCGATTACAACTATTCATTGCTTAATATACGTTATCGATGTTTGAAGTTTATTATGAACGAAGACGATGATTTTCTTATGCATGTGAGAATCTTCAACCGTGAATGAGAACGTTTACGGTTGAAGTCCCCATCTGAAGACAAGTTTTAAACCCACATCCTCATATGCAGCCTCCATGCCCAACAGTTCAGTGATATAAGAACACAGCTACTGTGTCGATTGGATCCTAAACCCACCCTTAGTGGAATTAACAATGAATACCAACGCCCCATTCATCTGCAACCAGACATAACTATGGTTCACAGTGGTGGGTCTAGTGGATCTGAAATACGAGTAGTGTGACACACACCTAACCAGAATAAATATACCCCTGTCACACCCAGTCCACCTCCTTCCAGTTCAATCCGACAGACTAAAACGAATCCCCCTACCACCAGCTGGCACTGTGTGTGAAACTGCCGATTCAGGCAACATTGATGCAAAAAGTGGTTTAACGTTGTGGGTCATAAAGATGGCTTGTGTCTGAGGAAGAAGCCCAATTGATTCAGAAGTAACAAAAGACTGTTCCGAGACCCTGTATCTCTTCGTTTAGCCTAATATCTTCTTGTCAAAGCTCATCCCCAGGCGATAGGAAATTCATTACTCTTAATATTAATGGGCATCCGTTAAGATTGAAAATACATACGGCATCTGATGTCACCACCCTCTAACGTAGAATCTGGACCAAAATGGACAGCCCAAGCCTCCAGTGGACAACACAAAAGCCTCCTACTTCATGTGATAATTACCTTCGTCTGTTATGACAATTGGGATGTAAAGTTACCTTCCAAGATTCGTCGTTTACTGGGGTGTGTTATATAACGCCAGCTGATCTAAATTTACTTGGTTTAGATTGGTTCAACTAGTTGATGTCCCGTTAAATGCCATATTCCACCTGGTATCACGACCACATGACACTGAAGCATTTACGAGGACGCTAACGACGAAGTTTTCAACCATTTTCTAACCTGGATTGGGTCAGCGTTCTGCCATGAAAGCAACACTTCTATTAAAACCTATGGCTAAGCCTGTTTTCTGTCCACAAAGACCCACGTTATACAACATTACCAACAGTGAATGAAGAAATGAATCGTCTTCAACAACAAGGAGTTATTCGGCCCGTTTCTTGATCTACTTAGGCAGCACTTACAGTTGTTATCAAGAAGGCCAACAGCACGATACGTGCTGACTTTTCTGCAAGCCTCAGTGCAGCTCTGGAACAACATCATTATCTTCCTCCGGTTCCCGCAGATCTGTTTACTATGCTTGATGGCGGGAATTCTTTCTCAGAACTGGATCTAGTTGGTGCCTACTTACAGGAAGAAGTAGATGAAGCAAAAAGAAAGCTCCTTACTATCAGTACTCATCGTGGTATAACTGTTTGCCTTCCAGAGTCAAGACTGTGCCATCTATCTTCCACCACTAATGGATACCATCCTATCAGGTTTCTCCAAGTTCGCGGCTCATCTCGACGACATTAAAACAGCTGCAGGAACGCCCGACATTGCTACTGCAACGCATCAGAGACGACGAGTCCCGGTCATGGCTGGAGAAATGCCAGTATTTTAATGCAGTCGGTAAAGTGTTTAAGACTCATCTTTGATGCCGATGGCCGCAGACCAGATCCTGAGAACATCCAAGCTATCAAACTGATGCCCACTCCCACTAATGTCTCGGTACGATGCGTTTCAATGCGTTGTCTAATTCAGAAGAATAACACTTAGGACCGGACTAAAGAGTGTGACTCGAGGTTTCGTAAACTCAGGTCCATAATTAGTTCGGAGTTGTTGTTAACGCACTATGATCCATCCATACCAATCATTGCACCTGCAGACGCTTCAGCGTATGGCCTAGATGTTGTTATTTCACATCAGTTTCCGGACTCGTCAGAAAAAGTCGTCATGCATTTAACTCCAGCAAAAAAGGAGTACAGCCAGATAGGAAGAGGATGTTACCCTTGTGTTTACTATGCATCGTCTCCACAAGTTTCTGTACGGTCGGAGATTCACGCTTCTCACAGATCACTAGCCTCTCCTCGCAATATTCAAGTCAAAATCTGCCATTTTATTCCATTCTGCAAATCGTCTTCAGCCATGGTCGTTGGTACTTTTGGGGTATGATTTAGAGATCTAATACCGTCAAACTCAACAATCTGGTTAGGAAGATACTTTGCCACAACTCATTAATGATCATTTGGTGACCGAGGAAAACATGGTAATAGCATCTGTCAGCGGAAGGCCATGCAGAATGTTATATGACAACCGCAATACGGGCGTTGCCGGTGTCTGCAACAGACATACAAACCGCTTATAAGAACGAGCCCATCATCAATATGACGATGAGCTATGTCACTAACGGTCGGACGTCTAAGCGGTTTGACGGTGAAATGAAACAGCTGTATCGACGGCGGGACTCACTCTGCATTGTAAACGGGTGCTTGATGTTTGGAAAACGAGTGATCGTGCAAGAATCCCTTCGCACAAGAGTATTGAAATAGTTTCACTTTAGTCATCCAGGGGTTAGACGAATTAAATCAGTCCTGTAATGCCACCAAGGATAACAGCTCCCCAATGAGATTTTCCCTCGAAACGGCATACCAGATATGATCGTATCTGACAACGGTTCGCAACTCACTCATAGTCAATTCCAAGCATTATGCCAACGGCTAGCCGTCAGGCACTTACACTCACAACTATACCAGCCGCAGTCGAATGGGTAGGCAGAAAGATTAGCGGATAGGTTTAAAAGAACATTGGTTAGGTAAAAAAGGGAGGGGACAGCAGTAGACGCGTTACAAAATTTCTTGACCGTCCATTGAACAATGTCAAATGAGACTTTGCTAGAGTAAAGGTCTCCAGCATAAATCCTGACTGGAGGAAGACTGAAAACAATCCACAGCCTGATACATCCGAGCAATGTATCAACACCAGTACATTAAAAGTCTGAAAAGTAGTCCATGTACGAAGTAGTATTCCCCATGTTTGCCCGTGACTATAGACCAATCGATGGTCCATGCACAGAAGCAAGAGTGGTTAGAACAGTTGGCCGTGTCATGTACGAAGTTGAGGTAGAAGGCAATAGATTGTCGCGCCATCGGAATAAGATACGCAAACGGCTGATCCCATGTCACCCATCAGCAGGAGTAGATCTTCTCTTCAACATCCTGTTAGATACTTTCAACTTAGGCGCAGCTGCATTACGAGAAAAAGCTCAACAACAAGCTGATATACGTTCCAGGTGGCCTCTCCGACAGCGGCGAAAGACTGTCAAAACGCCAGTCGACCCCAGGAATGCACTCTTCTGAAGAAAGAAGTGTTGGAAGAAGTAGATCCCCAGAAATCACTTGGATAAGCCCTAGTTTTGTAATTTCATACTGAAATTTCGAATTTTATTATTTTCGCGCCGACGACGCTCAGTTGACCTTCAGCCTACATCCCCCACTCGGAAATTCCTTGTCTGATGGATTATTTTAGTAGGCTATTTTGCGGCTCTCACCAAGGGCGTTCTATTAACTGTATTTTCTGAGTGCCTGTTGAACAGATTCTCCATGACTTATCAAGACTTCCTGCTCTAGTTAGCGGAGCCTGGGACATTCGGATTAGAAAAGCCTATCGCGTCACTGAGTCATTGCTCTTAGTTTCATTTACCGAGTAAGGCGAACTCGTAATAGTTTCAAACATATCTTATGACCAGAGGACAGAGTAGATTGGAGAATGCTGGTCAGTGGCCTATATTCCATTGACGGTAAAGGACGCTAGGAAATGAGTAAATAAGTAGGGCCAGTCATCATCATGGTTACAAATATAAATAAATCTACGTGCTCTCTGAATATTAACAGGAACGTAAAATTAAATATATAAAAGTGAATATAATCATATTAATTAGAATTCAGGGTTTCCCATTTCTTTTAAGTCAGTTAGACGGATACCGGACCTTCTTGTATAACCCATTGGCAATCGCACTGATATTTAGTAGGGTATACAAACCATTTGAGGAAGAAGCCGTGTCATGTACGGCGGGGGGAAGTGGGAGGGGGGAAGGGGGGGAGGGGGGGGGGGGGAGGGGGGGGGGGGGGAAGTGGGTTTTGAGGAAGGGAAAGTTTCACTTAACACTTCCGACGCGAAGCGGTCTTGTTAACAGAAACTTAAAACGGGATAAAGAAGGGACCCGTATGTCAGATGAGATGCGTAAATACCATCAGGTCCATCGTCACAAGACTTTTGTAGGGCTGTAGCCAAACAAGATATTAGGAACCATTAGAATCACCGAAAATGGAGTAGGCAAGATACTTACACACCTGGACACACTAACAGGTACCTTCTTAAAGACTAAATTGATTTCAAGTGACCAACATTACAAAAAGTTTGTAAAACCTACTGCACTAATTTTAATGGAAATACTGCAAAAATATGCCGAAAAGTCTTCGAGATAAGATCACGATAATCAAAGTTTCCAAGCCAATTCAATCTAGAACTGATTGATGACCTATTCAATACTCTTCTAAGGGATGGGAAACAATACATACTTGAAAAAAATTACTGTTCATATGCAAAAACGTGCTAAGTAAATCTTTTCAGTCTAACTTCCACTAAGTTGAATTCCTGTTGTGAAATAATAACGATGAAATATGAAGCGCTGAGATATTTATCTTAAATTAAACCAATAGTTGAAACCCAAACTTTAATATTAGTCACCAGTTCGTCTAAACTAATGCAAAAGTAACCTTTAATACAAGTTAATAGTGCTACAAGAAACACCTTTTCTCTGAAATGTAGCTAATTTTTAGAATTGACAATATTCAAGGGAACTATCGAGTTCAAACAAGAAACTAATTGTTATCTGAAAACTTTTACACTCTAAACTGTACACCTACAAAGAATGTAACCTTAAATAATCAAGAAAAACAGTTGTTTATCAATCATATAAGTTACCAAAGAAGACACCTTTTTAAAATATATACAAATAATAACTGGGACAACAGAAAATTCCTAAACAAAATTAATAAATATATGCCGTGTTATCAACAAGATAGTAAACTGTAACAATACTAACGTACAAATCACTTGACAGCATATAAAAAGAAGTAGGGTAGAAGACTATGTATATATGTATAAACAGGTTACAATGTTATTACTATAAACATGAACGAACACTATTATGATACAGTACTTGATGAAGACATACTAATAATAAAAAGAGATATTATGAGTTACTTTTTCAAACAAAACATATCAGCAACTCAAAGCAACACAAGTAGCTCTAATCACAGTAAGAAACTAACGTTTAAAATAAATCACAAAAAATTTGAAAAATTAACAAGCTATAGAAATCACTGTAATTAATTACAAAACAGAAAAATATGAACAGGAAAAAATGCAATGAGAAAAAAGAAAGTATAAACTATAAGTTGAGTAAATAACACAGTTTGCTTTTACATGGAAACTGGTACATTATTTATAATTAAAGCCTCTTTAAAAGAGAACGATTTGGTTCGAAGTCCTGAATTATGACAAGCTCCTGTGAATGGTAGAGCACCAAAAACAGGCTCGTAGTTAGTTGGTTTGATATGGTCAATGACTTTATCGTTAGGACAATTACTAAGAGACATATTTGAGTGTACTATGGAATCCATATTACAATTGTTGTTATTATTATCCAACAAACCATCGGAAAATATCAAACCTTTTTCATTACCTTCTGAATTATTTTCTGTAGAATGCAATACAGAGTTTACAGGCGGAGAAAAATCTTTAAAATCTCCATTACAATCTGTAAGTACACAACCAGCCATATCAGAAATAGGGGATGAACTACGTATACTTGAAAGACAAGTCTGTGTGAGTGGAGGTGGACTAATAGATGACGGCAAAGAAACAGATACAGATTTGGCTACCATATCCAAATTGTGGTGTCCTGTGAAACAAGAAAATGGATGCTTTCCATCATCACTAACTTTGGAAATAGCATGGCTGTCAGTTGACATAACCTTACTGCAACGCCTGCTACAGTCATTCAGAGCATTAAAACTCCTGGAGTGTCTTTTTTTGTGGTACATTAACATAAGTTCTCTTCGAAGAGATGAAGAGGCTTGAGAGGAAATCCATGTAGTAAGGCGAGTTGAACGCCGTGTCGGTTTGGGAAACAAAACACAGGATTCAACAGATTCAAAATCTAATGTAGATGAACTTGAGTCACCTTCAGAATATTGGCTGTCTGATGATTCTGTGCTTACCGGTTCCCGGCTAGACTGGATACATTTAACCGGCGATGACTCTTGTTTACAAGACAAGTTAGCATTGGGCTTTTTACAGTCTTCAGTCAAGTTTAACATTTTTCGCTTCTTTGCCCTTCGTACCATTTCATGAGGAGGAAATAGGTCATAACGATGTCCAGTGAGATAATCAACGATGCGCACATCACGTAAACGGCAACGGCCACCTTGAATACAATCTAAAACATCGAAAGCGCGATCGACACCTGATGAAAAAGCACCATGAGTACATTGTTGACCACCAGAACTGTCAACGGTCCCCTCACCGGCAAAAAGCAACTTCGGATAAACCTGTAATGGAAAATAAACTGGAATCGTATTCCGAAAATGAGAATAGTTTGACCTATTTTATAGCCTATTAACATCCTATTTAGGAAGATGATGGTAAAACCAAGAGAAGAGCTTAAATACATCGAAAAATTTTACAATTTTAGGACGAACTATGTGGATCAAACAGTAACTTAGATTTAACGGTTCCTTACAATAGATAACTGCCTGTAATAGTAAGTGTATTTTGACCTCAAATACAGCCTGCCTAAATGTATACAGTGATTGAAATTTTTAACAACGATAACAACTGCAATGTAATAAGTTTCATATTTCAAAAAGACCACTTAGAATTATATGGGTCGTTAGACCTTAATCTGTTTGAAAAACACGAATTCCTAAAGCGATTCCACTTATTAAGTTACATTTTAAACGTTATTGAAAATAACAGATTATTACTAAAAATGGACGTCTTTCACTACTAATATATTTATGATTACGAATTGATTAGTCTCTGTTGATATAGAAGTTTTCTGGTGCGAATGCCTAAACAATATCGGTTATCTTATCCAGATAATTTCCATTGGAGGCTGAAAATAAAACTTAAGACGCAAGTTATATGTCTTTGAAGAAACCGACAGACTAGTTACAAGAATTCTAAGTGGTTTTACGATTAGTATTTACACTGTCATTCCATAACTTCGTAACCAGAAGCATTATGTACTAGGATGCAGATACATTCAATGGATCAACTCTAATTAAAGGCATGCATCCAATTAGTCACTAATATAATTAAACATATATGATTAATTAGTTCAATTTAAAGCAACAACAAAATCACAACTAACTTTAGAAGGCAGACTACTTGCATAGGCGTGTCGATCCGCGTCACCGCAACCAACCTCACCAGCAGTATAAGCACCCAAACTAAAAGGATCTTCTGACCATCGGGTAACGTGAGTATATATAGGTTCAGGCAATGGACATTGAGTCGGGTACATACCACCCAATAAATCTAGTACGGTTTTTACTACAGCTTGATCAGATCGACCAGTAATCTTGAGCTTGGAACCGCCCCACACGTGAGCAACCAAAACACCTGGGTTTCCATAAAAGTCACAATTAAGTATGTGAAGGTATGCACCGGGACACGTAATGTGAGGTGTGTCACGATCCCAAAAAATCTCTGATGGATTAAACATTAAGATAACCTAAAAAGTGGGAAATTAAGCGTAATACCTACTAGTTATCATACAGTATAATGTACGTCAACAATGCCCTCAGTTACTAAAACAGATATAAGTAGACAATTGTTGTTCCAAATTTTTGAAATTACATAAGTTTCATTAAACACATACTACATTTCTGAGACAAATGTAAGATACAAATTAGTTTATGAACAAAATTTAATAGGAAAAGTTATCAAGAAAGGAGAAACGATCACGCATACGGTTAAATGGAATTCATCCATTACATCATTGTCTCACTCAGTCTACAGCGTACAACGAAGTGATGATTTAGTGGTTAATTAGTTCGGCTCTTAGCCATTAAGTTATAAGCTCGAAACCCACTTCACCTACCTCGGTTTACGCAATCGGATATTATCACTAGTTCTAACACTTGGAGTGTGACTCAAAGTAAAGTACAAGAATGAGGTTATAAGTAAACTGAATATAGAGAAAATAGAAAGAAATTAAAAGAATAAACAAGTTAGAAATAATTCATTTTGAAGAAATACGAAAAGTTAAGAACATAAAAAATTATAGGGAATATCAGCCTTGACTGTTCGTACGAAAACCGAAAGCGTAAACCAAAATAAGTAAAATATTTCGGAAGTAGCAACATTACAATCAGTTATTTTTAGTTGGACAAAAAGGTTACCATATGAACGTAATGAATTTATCATATTGATAATGCTTAGCAATTATGAAAACCCGTTCATTCGAACAGTTGGTCTTATAAATATTAGTATGATATTTGTTAGTTGCAAGAATGAGTTAATAATCAGAACACAAGTAATTGTGCTCTTAGAAAATCTTAGTCTTCGAGTTCATTATTTCTGATGAAATTATTTAGAACATCAAAACAGTGAGATCAGTTTGAAATGTGATAAAGCAAATATGTATAAACTAATTAATAACCACACAAACCCATGTAAAAAGTTCATATATCTTTCCAAGTACAGAATCACTAGCAGAAAAATAACCGCAAACTTTTTTACTTTTGTTATGTTGGCTCAGACCCGGATATGGCTCTATAGACCAGATATTCACACTTCGTCAAGTCATAGAACATACACACTCTTTCCAGTGTCCCACAAAAGTTGTGTTCCTCGACCTTATGGTAGCGTTTGACTGTGTTATTCCTGAGGTTCTGTCGCATTGTCTGTCACTGAGAAGCGTACCCGAGAAATACATTAACTTTGTACATGCTCTCTACTCAAACACCACTGGTCGGGTTAGAGCTTATGACGAGCTATCATCAGAATTGATCACGTCAGGTGGTGTTCGTCACGGTTGCCCACTTTCCTCATCTTTATTTAAGTTTGTCACAGACATGCATTTAGAGTCAGCACTTCTGTTCCGTCTTCTGACTTCTCAGGGGTTTTTACCTCATGCCAGAAGATTCACTTGTCCGCTTCGAATATGCCGATCACATAGTTCTGTTTGGTGAAGACGCTGACAAATACAGTCTTCTGACCAACTTAAGCAACAATGCAAGCATGTTCGGGATGCGATTCTCCCATTCCCCCCGAAATGCAAAATGTTGCCTCAGGATTGGGTTGCATCGGCACCTGAACTAGTGATAGAGAGTGAAGCAGTTGAGCATGTTGACCGCTTCACTTATCTTGGGAGTCTAATCAGTGCTGATGGTCTGGTGACTGACGAAATCTCAGCTTGGATACAAAAGGCTCGATTGGCTTCTGCCAACCTGCATCACCTATGGCGCAGGCGAAATATCCGCTTGTTAATCAAAGGACGAGTGTAATGCGTAGCAGTTCGCTCTGTCCTACTATACGCCTACGGACTTTCGTAGGTTACTAGTCTTCGATCATAGGTGTATCCGAAGCATTGCTCGTGTATCCTGGGACGACCGAGTAAGCAATGCTATTGCTAGGAAACGGGTGCTAGGTAAGGATGGCAGGTCAATAGATGAAGTAGTGAAACTTCATCAGTTGAAGTGGTTTGGACATGCGTTACCAATGCCTAACCACCGACTGTCTGAACAAGCGATTTTTTGCGGTGTAGAAGTAGGTTGGAAGAAAGCTAGGGGCGACCAAACCAAAACATGGCACAAATCTATGACAAGTGGATTGAGTCATGTTGTTAAGTATAGACAACCTGGTTGGCGTCTGTGAGATGTTAGTAATCAATGTGGTGTGGCGGCTTGAACTGATACATGTAAGTACGAAGTTCTACGTTGTAGCTGACAGGCGGTGACTAGTGAGTTTAATGCAGCCTGATCATAGCTCTTTTTAACATCACACAGAAATTACGATATAAAATTTATTTTGACGCAAGTAACTAATAGCAATAAGATACTCTTAACGGGGATTTTCAATTAAAACTAATGGTCATTTGAAGTGGTATGAGTCCACTTTTGCATAATGCTGTTAGAGTTACCAATATAACTACTTCTACAAAAGTAATAGTGGTAAGGAAATATCATATCATTACCCGTAACGAATAGTAGAGCAGTGGTTTAGTAGTTAAAGCCACCAACTTTTAATCAAAAGGTTATAGGTTTGAAACTAATTCCGCTTAATTCAGTCAAGGTGGCCGTCATAAAATCAACGTGGTTCAAGGCCATATACACGAACATGTACTTGGCAAACGATTTGTACTATGTTGTAAGGTTTACGAAAAACTTTGTCACAAGTTTGTCAATCAATTGTTTATCGTAGATCAAGCGGTGGTTCAGATGATCAGATACTTTTCAGTCAGAATATTTTTCCCATGCTGTGATTATACCTATAACACGAATATTACTGGCAAATGAACAATTCGAATTAACTCACAATTAATATCATATAATAACCAACAAATATAAAACTTTAGTAGAGCATCAATGCTAGATGGACTCTACTAAAAAATTCACGAATAGAATAATCCAAAAGAGATAAAATAGTCTTATCATACTGAAAATGACATTGTACATCGAACGAAAAATAATGGATCAGTATCAGTTACAAACTGCAGGAGATTTGATAGTCAGTTTACCTTATTATGAGTTTCAGCTCCCAACTTCGGAATACCAAGACGATCTATTGCAAGTCGTTTCTCTGAAGGCAGACATGGATGAAACTGGATGGCACTACGACGATCAAGACCTTTTAGCACACCAACTGGTACTGTTACGATACAGAATCGTGCAAAATATCGTTTAGAAGATTGTCTGTTCAGTACCGATGTAGATGGTTCCCCTGAGTACTGCGCCACATCAACACAAACAAGATTAGAAGACTCAACAAAATTCATGAGAGTTTTGGTAGACCATGAGGCGGCATTTTCATGAATTGACTGAATATTAGTTTCTCTATTACATTTACCGAATTCTATGTGACTTGGCCAATAGACATGTCGTGCAACACATCGGTAATGAATGTCCACATCAGAGGCTAGAAAATCAACAAACTTTGAGAATCCATCTAAAACTAAACGATCCTCCCATTTGTGATCAGTTCGACGAGCAATGCTCTTACAGGAACCATTCAAACTTAAGTGGGTCCTTTTTTCTTGCAACCAATCCAAATAGATTCTTTTGGATGCAGAGCTTGGTTGGTCAACATTCAGAGCTAAACCTGCCATAGCATCAGCTTCAAAATGAGGTCCCAAAGAGAGTTTAGGAGAAAGTCTATGGGCCGGATTTACATATGCTATATAGCGAGCAAAAAGCGAGTCGAAAATTCCTTTTTCCCTTCGAGAAAGAGTTGGAGAAGTTCGATATCCTGCCTTGTATAGTAAATGAAGACATGATTCCAGAGCACTATGTTAAAACATAAAACAACTTTTAAAAAAAGCCAACACATAATCAAGCATACAAATAAATACATTGATCCAACAATGATAAATGATCACTAATACAGTTTTATCGAAGTAACAGGCTTTTACGAAAGGTGTCTTATAATGAACGAGTCTTTTACTAGCAAAGTTAGCAGTATATAGATTTTCATGTCTTATGAGCTTTAAATTCAAAGTAGAGCTACGTGATAAAATATTTATGAAATCATGATATGCTGTTACAGAAATGAACCTAAGCAATCAAGTAATATTTCATTATCTGGAAGATAGCTCGTACAGTATTAACACGGGTTAATGCTGTAGATGTGAATAAGAACTCTTAAGAGCACTTTAAAATGAGATGATCATAACAAAAATGACAAAAACCGCTGGCAAAATAAACGAGAGAGATTAATAAAAACTACTTAGACTGGTATACGTTCAATAATAATTTTACATACTACATATTCATCAGTCAGTCAGCTACAACGTAGAACTTCCTACGTAGGTACATCAGTCCAGGTTGCCATACCACATTAGCACAGAGACGCGATTGTCACTTCAAATCCCATAGTGGTAGAGATAGTAGAAGTATCAGCTATAATGGCGAATATTAGGGTTGAAAGATATTATTCAGGAAGTATAATTTAGCTAAATAAATTCAAAAGGAGGATAGAAATGAAGAAGACTGACCGACTGACTGAACACAGAGAATGATTGCACGTGCACTATTTCAAATAATTTTGAGCCGTGTCATTCAAAGTCTCTAACCATAGGTTACTATTGTCTTGCGGACCGCAACCAGGCAGTCTACACCTACCAACATGGCTCAGCCGGTGGTTAGGCATACGTAACACATCAATAGATGGTGTATTGAGACTTCATCAATCGAGGTGGTTAGGATATGTGTTACGTATGCCTAACCACTAACTGTCTCGACGGACTATACATATATGTCGGAAATTTTATAATCACTATGAAATGAGTTGAAACTCGCATAAAACAATACCTTGGTAATGCAGTAGCCAAAGTTTTACTTGATCGATTTTCTTGTTTTCTCTGATTTGCCACCATAAGAATGTACAGTAAACATCTGTCAAGAAGGAAACTCATATCAGCCACCTCTGGCAACCCAATTTCCTTTCCTGATTTATTGTCTCGCCACACAGCTACCTCTGGACATTCCCAACCCCGATGTGTACCTAAAACATCTCCAGCAGCAGGAGCAGTTGAGATCTTTAGACGACTAGCCAGAGTAAACAAAGGCTGAACATCCTGAGAATTGTTGCACCCATGAAGGTAGCTAGCTCCTAAGTCAACAACAGCTTTACTATGTGTTTCGCCAGTAACAGGAGGAAGATCTATCGTATGAATTCTGCCACCACTTCGTGGTCTCGCTTCTAAAACAATCGTTTTGAGTCCTTCATTAGTTAGTAGTTTGGCGGCAGCAAGTCCAGAAATACCAGCGCCCAAAATAAGTACATCACAAAATATGGCTTCGGACATGTAAGTATTTTGAACAGGAACAGCTACAAAAAATAGAAAAAATAAGAATGTCTTTAAGTATAGCACCTCATCTTAGTAATAAGCTTTCGGTTACAACGACATAAACGATATTCGTCAGGTGAGTGCCAATAATAACTTTACGAATGTTTTCTGTGGTATAAATAGTCGCCAACATTAAACGGCTAGCTTTAAATAGTATGTAGCAACTTGAAATTGTTTTTCAGACATAGGGTTATCTTGTGTTCATATAGAGAAGTTGCTAAAGTCCAACAAAATGGAAATTTCGGTTAAAGTAATAATATTGATGAGTGACCAAAACGTGAGTGATTGTTAAACTGAAAAAAACCAGTTCTCTACAGAAATGAGCTTTGACAAACTATACACAGAAGTTGGAAATTAAATTCGACTTATAAAGTAGATGAAGATATCAGACTAACAATATAAAGTGCGTAGAATCCGGCATTTTACAACCACTCTGACATGAAACGATAACTTTACAACTTCCGCGATAAGCAGTTATCGTCCTCACAGAAGTGACAGTAAGAGAGGTCCCCTAACGTTAAATTAAACTTGTTGTATACAACCCGAAAATAATTTAATAAACCTTCGAAAATTCGCCGGGACATTTAGTGTGTTTCCCATTTTGGGAGTATGAAAAATGAAGATGATAGAAATTTTTTTTAGCCCAAGTGGATGATTGTAGTGGAGTCTCGTTCACCAGCTCAGAGAGTGGAAAACTGTATATTAATCCGTTGATAGGGATGTCGTCATACACTGCGACTGACTGTCACTCGCTGCGACAAAATGACTAAAACATGTAGTCACTCTCTCTTGAAAACAGAAAACCAACTAGAATTACGTTGTATCGTCTTTAAAACAACTGCCTGTTCAAATAACAACTATTATAGTTTTTCGTCATATAAGTACTTCTCCTGAGTTCTTTTGAACAGGCCTCTTACGTAAAAGCCAAAACCTAAATGGCTTTAGTGAGCTGACTTTACATTTTTCAGTGTGCCTGGAAGGATATTAAATATTTATTTGAAATTAACAGAGCTAAAATCGCTGAAATCACAATACAGACAAACCATAACACAAAAGACTACCTGAAGTCATTTATCCATCTTCGCATTTACATCAAGACATATACCTTAAATAACGGGAGTTTATAATACTTAAGTACCTTTCACTACTAAAATTGTAGATTCGACATTAGGACTCCTGGCATGAATACAATTTTAGACAACTGTAAACAGTGCGATAACTAGCCTGTTTCAACTGCAAGTACAGGCAACATAAACACATTTGCCTGGGTACACTTAAAGCACTGCCAATTCAACTGTTTTTATAAACAGCGTTAAGACCTTAAAACTGTTCAGTGAAAGAGAACCATGCATTGCTGATCGAATTTGAAAAGTTCAGTCAATGTCGTTTGAAACAGAAGTACTCAGTTAGCATAATGAGATGGAACACAAACAGTCACTCAAATGAAGAAGCCTAGAGAAACTATGACTTATTTTCAGTTTGTGAAAATTTGCCCACAAGTAAAGCACGATTCGTTGGAAGCTTATATCTACGGCAGAACTTACTTTAATCTTTGTGAGACCTTCAAGAAACCCGAAGATTTTGCTTAAAATAGGTGGACTGATGAATGTCAAAAATATATTTCTAGACAGAATATCTAAATCTCCATCATCGAAAAACTAAGTATTACAGGACTATAATCAGTCATATAAGTAGCAAAGTTACAAAAACACCTACGCAAATATATGCGTAAACCAGTGTACGCTAAAAACCCAATTTTCCGCTCTTGACATTAAGAGACAATTTTTCCAATATCTTTTTCACTAGCTGATATAAACCAGTTGACTTCTTTGAGCTTGATTTTTGCTCTTTCAGTAAGGTTACAGGTATCATGACTCTCTGAGGTGCTCGTTTGTAATACCGAAGTGCATTTCGTGGCAATACAACTTGTAGAAATGTTTTCTTGAAAGACGTTTTGAAGACAAAAAACCTAAAGATGATGTAAACAAATAAATGAGAACATAGGTACGATCCAATCAAGTATTAAATTGAAAACAATAATATACGGGAGACAAAAACTACCTTGTAATTTAAACCGGATCAAAAATTTGAATGAATCGAATGCAAGCAAGTCGATATTTTCTCTGTGAGGTCCTCAGTTGTTTTGAGAAGTCTGTTCATTCTAACTGTGTATTATGATGAATCCACTCTTAACTCATTAAAATGAATACCGGGGGTTAAGTGGCTTATCGAGACTTATGAAAATGAGCTAAAAAAGGAATTAGAGACTGATCACCACATATGATGAATTCAGCCGATGCTACTATGTTACAACATCTCGCCTGTCTTCAATTCATCATCCTGGCCTTTAGATATAATTCTTTTCTGTAAGGAGGCAGGATAAACCTGATAGCGAGTTTAGGATTAGGCAAAGTGTGGAGTCGTTACATGATGTTTCTTCAACCCTAAGCTATCTGATTAAAAAAGTCATATCATACCCGTAACACTTGAACAGAGTAAGACTATTGATTAAAGAAAGAGAGTAAGATTTGTTGTATCGACATGACATGTTCGATCACTTCAAATCCCCAACTAATGGGAGAATATGAGCCATTTTCGTCTTTTCTGTTAGTCCTAATGGATGATCTCTGTTTCAGTGTTTTATTTTGCCTAATCTATGGCTTTTTACTGTTGTAAATGTTTCAACTGTCCTTAATTAGTTTATTTATGATACTTATATGTTGCTGGTATTATCTTATGAGAAATACGGTAAACTCTTCTTCGTTTTCTGTCGTGGAGTATCGATGGAATCTCAGTGAAGGAGAACTTCAAGTTTTGTTTATCATGGTGAGTTGATTGATCAGCTCAAAAGTTGTGTTCACTTCTGACTGCTATTCATAATGTTCAAGCTGCACTCCGCGCAAGCATGTCCCTTAATGATTGCAATCCTCTCCTGGAGTTATGTGAGCCAGCTTGCTAGGGGTCGGTTATCAAGCAGTTCTGTAATGGAATAATGGTCGCAGGGTAAGGAATAATCTACACTGTCATCGGAACTACATTCAAGTAAGTAAAACAAATATCTCCGCCAGGAGCTCCACTGGGGCTACGGCCAGTCCCAAGCCCGGATAAAGGAGGAGGTTTGAGCGTGTGGTTGGCGACCACATCCCACAAAAAAGCTAACTAAAAAAATGCTAACTAGAAAACATAATTCAAACGGTTCTAACTCTACCCTGAGGATAAGAAGGTCTTCTTTCGGAAGAATTATGACGTCTCGTGATGAAAGCCGAGTTTCTTCGCAAGTCATGAGGTCGATGTCCATTCTGACAACCAGAGAAACCGTTTTTTAGGTACATGGAACGCTCGAACATTGTGGGAGACAGGAAGACTATTTCAAGTTGCTGCAGAAATGAGAAGATACAACCTGGATGTGCTGGGAATCGGTGAAACCCATTGAACTCAGGTAGGACAACTGAGACCAGCATCAGGGGAAATGCTGTTATACTCTGGCCATGAGGGGGGAAATACTTCCCATGCACAAGGAGTTGCACTGATGCTGTCCAGATAAGCACAAAAGGCACTTATAGGATGGGAATCTCATGGACACAAGATCATCAAAGCATCCTTTAAAACAAAGAAAGAGGGCAGCACAATGAACGTCATCCAATGCAATGCGTCTACCAACGAATACAACAACGGCGATAAATATCAATTCTATGAGAGGCTGCAGTTAATCGTCCACAGATGCCCGTCAAAGAACTTAACTGTTCCGATGGGAGACCTAAACTCCAAGGTTGGCATGGACAACACTAGAAATGAAGACATGGTGTAATGACATGGACTGGGCGAGAGGAATGAAAATGGTGAGAGATTCGCAAACCTATGTGCCTTCAACAAACCGGTCCTACGAGGCGCCATATTCTCACACAAATGCATACCCATACATATATGGATTTCACTGGACCACATTACACAGAATCGATTCGACCATACCTGAATCAATAAAAAGTTCAGTAGGACTATGGAGGGCGTGAGAACCAAGACAGGAACTGATATAGCCTCAGATCATCACTTGCAAGATCAAGCTGATACTCAAAAGGCACTGGATATCTTGGCGGACATTGTCACAACGATTTAGTACGTCATTTCTTCCGGATACTGACAAACTACTCAATGAAATCATGTTTGGCCTCAGCAAGAGGTTACGGACGTTGCAATATATATGCAGTGGAAAGGAAACTACTATGGAAAACAATCAGGATGGGATCAAGGAGTTAGTCACCCAACCTGTGATGAGGTTCTTGACCACAGGAAGTACCATCACAAGGAATGGATCTATGTTGATACTCTTCGAAAATTTGAAGAAAGCAGGAACAAGAGGGCAGCAATCAACGTCAGCCGAACAAGAGCAGAGTAAGTTAAGGCACAAGCAAACAGGAAAGTGAAGAAAAACATCAGAGCCGACAAACGAAAACATTTGAAAGATCTAGCAATGGCCGTGGAAAAGGCTGCAAGAGACGTGAACATGTGACAATTATACGATATAACAAAGAAACTCGCTGGAAACCATCGTAAACCAGAACGACCAGTGAGAAGCAAGGAGGGCAAAGTAATCAGCAACACTGAAGAACAGCGAAACAGGTGGGAACAGAACTTTAAGGAACTCTTGAATCGACCAGCTCCACTGAACTCACGCGACATCGAAGAAGCAGCCGGAGACCTCCAAATTGATGTTGACCCACCAGAAAGTGATCAGCATGGATATCATACACATCAAGGGCGGAAAAGCGGCAGCACCAGACAACATTCCAGCAGATGTAATGAAAGCAGACGTGGAAGCAACTGAAAAAATACTCCACATTCTCTTCAACAAGAATTGGGATGACGAACAAGTACCAACAGACTGGAACGAAGGATACCTCACCAAAGTAAGGCGATCCCAGCAAGTGTGAGAACTGCAGAGGCATCACTCTTTCAATACCAGGCAAAGTCTTCAACAGGGTATTTTTAAACAGAATGAAGGACTTCGTGGACGCCCAACATTCTGCATTTCGTAAGGATCGATCGTGTACTGACTAACTTGCAACATTACGGAGCATTGGGAAACAATCACCACCCTATATCATTTTCATTGACTACGAGAAAGCATTCGAAGGTGTGGACAGGAGAACATTATGGAGGCATCTTCGACACTATGGCGTGTCGAGTCGCCTCCATTGAGGTGAAGAGAGGTGTGAGGCAAGGTCACTTACTTTCACCCTTTGCCATTCTCCTGATGATTGACTGGATTATGAAGAAGCCAACATCTGGATAATAGCACGTTATCCATTGGACAGCTAGGATGCAGCCGGACGATCTGGACTTCGCAGATGATCTAGACCTTCTATCGCACACGTAATAACCAATCCAAGACGAGACGACCAGTGTAGCCTCACCAGCTGAAGGGCTCAACATACATAAATGGAAAAACAAAGTTCTCCGATAGGACACAATGAAATCACACTTGATAGAGATACCTTGGAGAGAGTTAACACCTTTACATATTTGGGCAGCATCATCGACAATCAAGATGGATTCGACGGAGATGTAAGGCACGGATTGGCAAAGCAATGGCTGAATTAAAAAGTATCTGGAACTCCAAACAACTTTCAACCAAAACCAAAATCAGGTTCTTCAATGCAAATGTCTAAACATTTCCACTGTATGGAGCGAAAACTTGGAGAACTACCAAAGCCATCATCCAGAAGATACAAGTGTTTATTAGCAGTTGTCTACGCAAAATACTTTGTATTCGTTGGCCAGACACCATCAGTAACAACGAACTGTGGGAGAGAAAAAACCAGATTCTAGAGGAGGAGGAAATCAGTAAGAAGCCGTGGAAGTGGATAGGACACACACTACGGAAAGCACGCGACTGCGTCACAAGACAAGCCGTCACTTGGAACCCTGAAGGTAAAAGGTTGAGAGGAAGGCCAAAGAACACATTACACTGAGAAATAGAGAAAGATATGAGAAAAAGGAACAAAAGTTAAAAAGAACTGGAAAGGGAAGCCCAGGACAGAGTTGACTGAACACATAGACTAGTCACTGACATTGTATGGAGTAATCACATATCCCTCATTGGTTAAATTTACTATTAGGATTTGACCTAACAACAATTGGTTATGAAAGCAAGCAATAGGTTATATAGATTCTTAATGTACATATGTTCTGGCAAAGCAAAATGATGAAGAAATATATGAATAACCATATAGTGTGTGGCATTTAGCCAACTTATAGCCATACTTAAAGTTTTATGCCCAATGTTTTGAATTTTTGCCACAGTTTTTGGTGTAGTGAATTATCGATATAAGTAGAGTAACGGATAGACGATGAAAATTAAACTTTTAGAGTGCGAAATATTCTTCTCATGTGCATTCGTCCTCTTACCGTTCGAATAACCGAACACTGGATTCTAACCATACAATGGAGAACCTGATTTAAAGCGAGAGAATGCTGTCAACTTCAGAAGATGAGCATTTAGCAGATAAATGACATTTTGCATTTCCGTATCAAACATAAATACCGAGAATAAGTTTCCAGATAAATTGGTGTTGTTGAATTTTTCAACCTAAGTGTGCCCAAAACAATGGATAGTTGTCGCAAAAAGAGATATTTGTATATCAAACGTGTAAGGAAAATTAGAGTGCATCAGCAGCTGACAACATCAACACGATGGTATATTTCTTCAAATATCCTGTACATAACAAACTAGGCAAGCCACTGGTGGTAATTTGTTACGTTCACCATACGGACGGTAGACGAGTCATTGTAAAAGATGTTTTCAGTTTGTACCACTGAATATATATGTAATCATAAAGTCCAGGTGAATTCGGCAGATATACTAATGTTGTCCTTGCAATTATTTTTAAAAACTTTGGAGATAACATTGTCCAAGTGGAAGGCAAATCACAGCTGCAGGGTGACTCAGACAGTTTCTGTGTGTTGACTTCTGGCTACGCACAAAATATGAACTTATAAAACAGGTTTCAAAGTATGTGCATAAAAAATGGTTGGTACTGTGCATTGAGGCAATGTACTAAAAAACGTTTCAAACACACCGAGTTTTGCTCAATATTTCCCAATAATTTGACAGGAATTTCGCTACAATACTGACCCCACGAACTAAATTAGTTATCAGTTAGTTATGAAATCCACGTTTCACCAAAATTTTAATGAAGTTTGTGCTAAACTCCTAAAGAGCACTTATTATCGATTGATTTTAAGATGTGATTATCGCAGATCATAGTAATTAGAAATGTCACTTTAATAACTGTGATAGTAAGAACATTTAACGCCACTCCAAGTTGCCTGTGGAACGCTGTAGTATTTGTATACTGTTGGATGAGATTTAGAGATGGAGTCTTGAAATTTCCAGCTAAGAGTATTTGATCAAACCTAGGGAGTGGTAGTTGCAGCGTTGCCTCGGTCAACTTATCTTTCTGTGCCTTAGTACTTGAGACGTCGGTAAATCCCTGAAGTCAAGCATTTTGTTCCATTCTTGTCGAAGCAACACCAGTATGATTCTGCCAGGTCAGCTGGTTGGGTGCTGCATGGTTTTATGGCTTTGAAATGGCTTACGATATATATATATATATATATATATGGCCACTTCACCCATCCACTGCACCCAATCATGTCATGAGAGTGTCATGCCTTACGAGCTCACTTCATTGTCTGCAACTTCGGGGATAGGCGTGTTTCAGTCAGGATTATGATCTTCAGATTCATCTGAGAGAACACATTTCTGGTTATTAGCAGCTTATTCATCGGTCTTCTACGTTGTAATGGAGGCACTTGATGGTTTGTTTCATCACCTGGTGCACCTCTTCAGCCGCAGCCATGGGCAGATTTTGAAACAAGTTGTTCAAACTGAGGTGGCCACTTCTGTGGAATCCGAATTAATAATCGTCGCTTATAAATATGCCTTTTTTCAGAGATACAATTCTTCATACTTACAAAGCCTGATGCGCCTCAGTAAGGTGTTACTCAGGTCCTCAGATATCAGAATTGAAGACCTAATTGTCAATTTGTTATTGATCAAGCACTTGGGGACCTGGGCACCTGCGTGACTGCCGTCGCCATTGTTACACGTCATGTACGTGAGCTTCAACTAAGGTCCCACTAAGCAGCACAGGATCGCAGTGAACTACTATACTGGTCCTCACTTCACTGCAGCTGCCCGTACTGACCACAGTTTTTCATAACTGATTCCGATTGGGAAGGAGATTTCAACTGGGTGTCTCCTAGATGTCAGGGGATTTCCTGAGTAACATATTCCGAATCTAAAGTTACCCTAAATCGAGTGAGTTTCCCTTGGGCGGCGTTGTGGCCCTTGAACAGACAGCTTGGTTTGGATGCGGTATTGCTCAAGTACTTGCCCCAGTGTTTTATTAAAAGCAATGCTTCCATGCAGCAAACTACCCTCGGACATTGGAACTGTAAATAAATTGGGTGACTTGTGTCTGTCGTCCCTGAGCCTGATCGGTTTCGTTTCTCGAGTTGTGGTGTTGCCGTTTCCCTTTCTTACGCTCATCCATTGCCCCGTACTATAAACAGATACTGTGGAGTTTACAACATTTGGTAGTCCTATCAATGTACTGGTTTGGGTTGCGGTTACCTGTTTTGTGCTGAGCGAATTCGGTTTACTTGAGAGAAAGTTAGCAGATTCATTAAAGATGGCTCCGTCGCTGTTTATTTTTTTTGCAAACATAGGACCTAAAATTCAACCGAAGTTGCAGTGTTACGTGTAAATGTCCTAGTAAGCGAATTCGCGTGGATACATCAACTTTTTCGTGTTTCGTGTGTTCGCTAGTGAACAAGTGTTTTTAAGCTGCTGAAGCAACGCTTTGACAATATAACTCAAAACTGGATTTATTTCAACGCGTATATCCTTCAGCTGCAATTTTCGCCTTCTTACAACCATATGAATCCTCAACTGTTGTTCAGTCAGTAGGCGTAAAATCTTGTGTTTGCAAAATAAGACTTAAAAGATGTGTGGAACGTTGAACATCGCCAAGTTTACGGTCAGATTTTACTTATCCACTTCTTTCTAGGCTCAGAAATTATTTACAAAACAGAAAGTTTCGCACCAAGGTAAGTAGAATTTATGCAAGCTAGCAGGTATCAGGAGATTCACAGGAGACCATCCTAGGTCCATCGCTCTTCCTGATATTCATTGATGACTTGCTAGATAAAACTAGCTTGACGGCATCAGTCTACGCAGACGATGCGAAGATCTGGATGCCGATAGGAGGTGAACGGGATTCAAGTGAGCTTCAACAGGACCTTACACCAGTCGAGGAATGGGTGGAGGAAAACGATTTAAAACCAAGTCAGTCGAAATGTCACGTCCTGAACATCCGGCCCCACGTGGTGCAAGCACCTTCATTCCTCAATGTAAGTCCACCTCGAAATGCCTCCTCAGAGCACAATCTCGGTCTACCAGCCATAGGAAGCTAGGATGTAACTGCGCACTACACAGAAGATACAGCCGAATCTAACACAATCCTTCACTTCACGCGGAGACAACTTGGTGCAGTCACCCCAGAATTGTTCTTAACTCTCTTTAAAACACATGTGGTCACGTCTTGAGGTTCATGATGTCGTCGCACCTACTCTCCTTAAAACAGACAAATATCCTAAATCGAGTGCTTAGGCGAGCAACTAAATTGGCGATAGGGTTGAAGAACAAACCGTACAAACATAAATGTCAACACTTGCGATTGCCCGTATTAAGTTACAGGAGAATCAGAGGTGGTCTAATAATGGCGTGCAACATATTAAGCACGCCTAATTATCCAAACATGAGCATCTCACTGAAGCATCACCATCATGCCCCTCGAGGTAACCCTTGAAGAATTGCACATCGAAGGGCGAAAACCCAAGTTCGTGCACGCTTTTTCTTATTACCAGTCGTTGTAACTTGTAATGCCCTCTCAGACGAGGTGAACACATCTCCTACATAGGATAGCTTCAAGAACAGGCATGATAAAAACTCACTCACATGAGGATTACCATCTCGCTCTTGGACTAGGTCTGCTTGATGTATGTCTCAAAACTTGCTACTGGTTATCATCAACATTAGAATTGCCTCCTTATTATTCTGGATATTTCAATCATCTGATCGCCGGCACGGTAAAGTGATGGATGCTGGTATCCCCAAACCCTACTTTCCTGAAACAAAATCACTCACACAAATCACGTAACATGCAAACTCATGAATGTGA